AATAGATACGACTATAGATTCAGTAGTTACTACTACAGTCAGTAGATACTACTATACAGTCAGTAGCTACTACTGGGCTCAGTAGATACTACTGTACAGACAGTAGTTACTGCTACAGTCAGTAGATACTACTAGAGTCAATAGATACTACTGTAGAGCCAGATACTACTATATAGTCACTATATACTACTCTATTGCATGTAGGGTACATATGCCTACGCGGGGATTAAAATATTTTTTGAGGGGGGGGGGGGGGGAGGTCGACAATTTTCGGAAACCTTTTAGATCAACTATTTACCCCCAACTTTCTACAACTTTTTTTACTTCTGCAAGCCTCTTATAATTTTGTTGATGGACAAATGGACAGACAAACGGCATGATGGGCTTTCACACCAGCTTAGTATTTGTATATGAATATGTTATGTTTTTAAGACAAGTTTTGAAATATTTTCCCCCCCGGGCAATGCCAGGTACTTCCCGCTATTTTAAAATAAAACAAAAAAGAAAGTAACATAAATAACAAACAAAAAAAATGCAGTTTTATTTTCACTTGCGTTGAGTCCCAATGCTGGCTTGTTTGTCGAAGGGGACGCAATGAGTCCCCACAATTGCAAACACACACGGGGGTACTCGCGCGCATGCGCACACACACATAAAACAACAATCCCCTGTGTAGCCTTCACAGGCTGTTGTGGCAAGTGCTGTTAGCGAGCAGCGCCAATGAAGGCCGGCATGGCACAGGAGGTGGGTGGCCAGCACCACGCCCGACCGCCTTTGTCTCTTCAGTGGCGATGTTTACATACCGCACCAGGTACTCATGAGGCCAAGTCGAACTAGGGGGAGGCCCAGGACCCATTCAGATAATCGTCACTAGTGTTGGCCTGAGCGGGAATCGAACTCGGGCGGTGGAGTTGGTAGCACAGCACACAAACCATTTCACTGGCGCGCCTCACAAACACAAGGGCATCAACCACCATTCGACCCTACTGTACCAACTTTGTCTTTTAGCCACCTGGTGCTCCGGGGGCACGGGCGCATATGGATACACATGCGCGCACGCTCACTTTCAGACACACACTCGTGCGCACACACACGCACAAACACTTGCAGGGGGTTGCTCTGCTGAACAAAATAGTTTGGCGGTTCAGTTTGCAAGTGTGAGTTAATGTTTGAAGTCGATGTTAAAAAAATGTCATAAAAGCTGGTTCGTAAATGAACCTTACGGTGGGACCCCGAATAAACGGAAGTCAAAATTGAAATCAATTAATTATTTTTTGGCGACTCCGTCCCACCGCGCACATAAACGCCGAGACCGACCTGCCGCAGATCATTCTGTTGTCATGTCAGGACGAATGCGCAGAAGAAACAAAACTTTGATTAGCACATAGTGTAGAGCTCGTCGAGAGGAATAGATTTCCGTATCGTTCACCTTCAACAGACATAAAATAACGTCGCAACGTAGTTTAGTGAGAGCAGGGGGCTTATGGGACCCAGGGGTCCCGCCATAAGGTTCATATGTGGATGTTCTTAAATCGAGGACTGTCTGTATATGCAATTGTGTTGTAAAACAGAAGCAACAAACATAAGAGGGTTTTGGGGTGAGATCGCGTGAATATATGTGTCGTTAAAACCCACCACCACCCAACACAGGGTTGTCACGTAAACAGAACATGCCAATTCGTTGCTAGTATAGCACACCGATGTGTTGGAGAGCCAAGCCACAACATTTACAATCCGTGTACGTTTCACCAGTAATTACAACTAGCTTCATCAGAAGACAGACAGGCGTAGATGTGGTGACCACACTTCTGCGCTCTTGCACAAAGTGGGGGGTGTGGGGGATTAATGAGTCAATATGCATGCGCATTATGCAAGCCCTTTAATCTTGTCTTTCCTGTCCATTGTGTGAATTAAAACAGCCATACCAACAGTAATCCCGATTTAAGTATTGTGCCCTTTATACGCATGCATTTAAACAATGTATTATTTTATAGTTCGCTTCCACGCCGCACTAAGGCAATAGCTATCCGAACGGTTAATATTATATTTATTTATTTCAATTTCGATAGATTCTCTAATTAGTATTGGCCATTAGTAGCTAGTTTTGCACATAACTTCAACATTATCAAAATCGAGTGTTGTGCTGTGACAAGTAATTAAAACGATCAATATACCGTACATTGTGGGAGTAACTTATAAACTAGCCAGATGTTTGGAAAAACAAAACATCCGCGTCAGATTTGGCCCGGTACATATGTAGTGACAACGCTGGATGTCACCATGTTGTGGGTGCAGTACCGGCCCTAGAGGGGCACGGTGTGCGTGAAGTTAGGCCTCGGCAAGGTAAGGTAAAAGTTAAAAGGTAAAAACAACAAGCCTACCTTTACCCTACCTTTTACCTTACCACAATACAATCACTCTACCCTTACCTTTTACCCTTTAGCAGGTAAGGTAAAAGGTAAAAAGCAACGAGCCTATCTTTTACCCTACCTTTAACCCTTACCCCATACAAATTACCCAATTACAGGGTAATTACTGGGGTACTACTACACATGAACAAGGTTTATAACGGTAAATGCTAGGTAGATCGCTTTACTCATATAGAATACTCTCGATGATTCCAATTTTACACGCTTGTTGTTGTCATTGTTGTCGTTGTTGTCATTGTTGTCGTTGTTGTTGTCGTTGTCGCTGTCGTATCCTCAAATTTTGTAACTCAATTTTAACCCACTTCCTAATGTGGTATCGACTGCACACTTGGTATACTTATGGCATACTGATGACAATACTATATTGTATCATAAAAATAATAATTTAAACATTCTTTTTTTATAAGTTATGTTTCGGCTTGGGTCTAATTGTCCACGCTCAACTGACGTTGGCTGTAATTGGCCACGGTCCCTTACGTTATGGCAAGCTTCGGGGCCACTTCCTGGAGTTGTGGAGTTCTGCCATTACTTGTACGGTACATTTAATAAAACCGTGTTTTAAAAAAAGTAAAAAAAAATATTACTTATTAAATGGAGGCAACGGACTGCGCCACGGAGCTTTTAATGGTGTAATGCGAGCGTAAATGGGAAGGCCGGATGTGACGATCCGAGAGGGAGGAGAGAGGGTCACGTGGGAGAGGGAGGAGTCAGGGTAATTCTTCCGAGCTACCTTTACCCTACCCTTTACCTTACCCCTTGGCATGTCGACACCTTTACCCTTTACCTTTACCCTTTACCCGTCAAAAATGGTAAATTACCTTACCTTGCCGAGGCCTACGTGGAGTAACATCGCTGGATAGCACCATGCTGTAAGTGCAGTGCCGGCCCAAGAGGGCACGTGAGTGTGCGTGCCGACCTAAGGGGAAGGTCGTGTGAGGCCATGGCACTCTGGTTGACCCGGGAGGACACGTGACCGGCTAAGATGACAGGGGGGCCCCCAAGAGGGGGCTAGGAGGGTCACGTGATTGGGACCCAGGTTCTTCCCGATGTTTCTGGAAGGGGGATGTGGCCAAGGGCGGAGCCGAGTCCGAAAGGGTTGTTCATCCCGGGAAAGAAACCCTTCGTCTACGATCTCCGTTCTACAAGTCTTTGAGCACGTGGACCCGGGCAGTATGCTGTTGGTCCCGGGTGTGTAGTTAACAGTTATGTGGTAACTAGTGTCGTTAGCCGGGTGGTCTCCACCCGAGGTTGTTATCGTGTTAAGGGGAAAGTTTACCCTGTGTGTTGGAACTAAATAAATGCGCTGCCTCCAAGTCTAAGTGTGTGACTCGGTTGAACCCACTACACATAAAATACAGAAATTAATATCTGGTACAAAATATATATTACCGAAGCTATCAACAGAAGGTGTGTACAGGATTAACTGCACATGTGGCAAATGTTATTTTGGGCAAACAGGACGAATGATCAGCATGAGACGAAAAGAACATCAGAGAAATATTAAATACTCCCAAATACAACTGTCAGCAGTAGCAGAACATGCGTGCCAACAAGGACACTAAATTGATTTTGATAATGTTGAAGTTCTGTGCAAAACTAGCTACTACTGGCCAAGAATAATTAGAGAATCTGTCGAAATTGAAAGAAATATAAATGATTTTAGCAGTTCGAATAGCTACCGATTTAGTGCTGCGTGGAAGCGAATCATCAAATAATACATTGTTTAAATGCATGCCTATAAGGGGCACCATACTTTAATAGGGATTACCGTTGGTACTGCTATTTTAATACACACAATGGACAAAAAGAACAAGATCAAAGGGCTCGCATAATGCGCATGCATAATGTACGTTGACTCATTAATCCCTCCCCCGCCACTTTGTGCAAGAGCGCAGAAGTGTGGTCATCACATCAACGCCTCTATATAAGAAACGAAACAGGCGGACATTTCCACAAATCTGGCTGAAGCTAGTTGTAATTATTGGCGAAACGTCGTACTCATATTGTAAATGTTGTGGCTTGGCTCTCCACCACACCAGTGTGCTGTACTAGTGACAAATTGGCATGTTCTGTTTCCGTGACAACCCTTACTAGTTGGCTGTGTCAGGTGGTGGTGGGTTTTAACGACACATTTAGATATTTACGCGATTTAACCCAAAAAACCTCTATTATGGATATTGGTCGCGAAAGCCTACGTGTTAAACAGAAGCAACAAAGTTGAGATGTTTGAATAGGGAAGTTGTGCAACATTTTAAAAAAATGTGTGCAGAAAAGTTACAGGCTAATTGTGTAGCATAACAAAGTTGCCTATTGCTGTGTGCATGAACCAAATTGTTTCCACAACTCCAGCCCTCGTGATAACACTATGGTCTGGATTTTTCGTGATTACCGATCCTGTTAGTCACATGCAAACGAGCCCACTGTAAACTGCATGCACCTAATGTTTGATAATCACAGAAAGCTGTACTGGGGGTCCCCCAATGACTAGTGTTGGTGAAAAACAGAACTAAATAATCATGCCAATGTAAGCTCCACTATTCTGTGCCTCCGCACCACCCCACGAAAACTCACAGGTCATCCTTGAAGCTCAACGCAAACTTGTGTTGAGAGAGGTCACCCAGGAGGTGGGTGGGGTCACGAAAGGCTCCAGAAGTCGAGCACACAGCCAACGACTCCTCCAAGTACGACTCGTGCACGTCCGACGTTCTGCACAACACAGCAAACCACGCTCGTCACGAACTTATGCGACGCCGAGTAAACGTAGCCGAGGCCCAGAAATTGTTCACAGCAATGGAACTATGTTATTCTTTGGTTCTTTCGGTAAAGTCACGTATAAAGATAAATTAATAAATTAAATTAAATACTAGCATACGACGTTTCGATTGCAACACAAGCAATCATTATCAGGTATAAATTAAATAGAAATACAAATCTAGTATACTTAGAAATGTAATGTAATACAACAGAGAGTCGGATAACATAACAGTCAACACCCTATCTGGTTGATTACGTTCTTCCTGAGAACGCTAAATTTGAGAGAGAGATTAAACACAGAACCAGAAACATAGACAGACGTATAAGCAGACAGATATCACAGAGATACATAGAGAGAGAGCAAACATAGGCACAAAGAGAAACTACGCCTCTGTGTCGAGGCCTTAAATAGAGAAAGGGGGGGCGGGGGCGGGGAGAGAGGGAGGGGTTAGAAAAATTATCATGTCCATGAGTGGAAACGGTGAGTGGCAAGGTGTAAAAAGCTTGAGAGAGGGGGGACAGGGGTGGAGAGAGAGGGGTTAGAGAAATTAGCATGTCAATGAGTAGCACGTTGAGTGGTACGGTACGAAAGCTTAAAAAAATTAGGAGGCAGGGAGAGAGACACACTAAATTAACTAACCTAGCAAAAATTTCGAAATGCAATGCAACAAAGAGGGTCGGTCAACACACAATTAACGCATAGCCTGGTTGATTACGTTTTTTCCAAAGATTGCTAAATTAGAAGTTAAGTGTGAAATTTGAAAAAACACAGACACGAAGACCGATACACAAGCAGAGAGAGACAACGAAAAAACCCAGAGAGAGAGAGAAAACAAACTTTAAACTTCCCCGTAGAAGTGGTTCAAACATAATTTGGAGCTTTCATGACTGCAGAAATTATTCTTTGGTTCTTTCGGTAAAGTCACGTATAAAGATAAAATAATAAATTAAATTAAATACTAGCATACGACGTTTCGATTGCAACACAAGCAATCATCATCAGGTATAAAATAAATAGAAACACAAATCTAGTATACTTAGAAATGTAATGTAATACAACAGAGAGTCGGATAACATAACAGTCAACACCCTATCTGGTTGATTACGTTCTTCCTGAGAATGCTAAATTTGAGAGAGAGATTAAACACAGAACCAGAAACATAGACAGACATATAAGCAGACATATCACAGAGATACATAGAGAGAGAGCAAACATAGGCACAAAGAGAAACTACGCCTCTGTGTTATGTTATCCGACTCTCTGTTGTATTACAATACATTTCTAAGTATACTAGATTTTTGTTTTTATTGCATTTATACCTGATGATGATTGCTTGTGTTGCAATCGAAACGTCGTATGCTAGTATTTAATTTAATTTATTATTTTATCTTTATACGTGACTTTACCGAAAGAACCAAAGAATAATTCCTGCAGTCACGAAAGCTCCAAATTAAGTTGGAACTATGTTATGTGTGAACGGGGATTTAAATAAAGTTACAGGATGTCAGTGGTGTGCCTGTTAAACTACTAAATAAAATTACGCATTTAAAAAATATCACCTGCACTTCACTACCTTGTGTCACCAGGTTGAATGTTTAGCATGCTAACCAAAGCACCACCAATCCACACACACACACTTCCAATAAACACATACACTCTCTGAGGGCACACTCTCAAAACAAACACACTCGGATAAACACACATAAAACACTCAAAGATCCCACTTAACACACGGTGAGAGCTACACTCAGTCGCATGCTTGGCTCTTTTACTTCACTTTACCTGCCCAAGCTGTTGTAATTTTCCCAAAAATGTCAGGGAGCTTTTGGTGAATATTGGAAAACCGCTAAATGTTGCTCCCACTCATCAACTGCCATTCATGGTCACACAAAACTATTAAAACTACATTCCATATAGTCACAGTGGATCAGATCTTATAACGAAGAGCCGAATGCCAATGTTACAGTTAAGGTAAGTGGTGCAGTACTGTAATGATACTGTGGAATGCAATGGAGATAAGACTCTTGGAATACATCTCTATAGGTGGAGCAATAATGCAGCTGCAAGTGTACTGCTCTATGAACCAGCAACATTAATTAAATTTCTAGCCATGGCTAACATCAGCGGTCAGCGATATAACCGGTCCCGGGCCTCTTTCTTCACCAACCCGCACTGACCAACATGGTTCGTATTCTTTGGTTCTTTCGGTAAAGTCACGTATAAAGATAAAATAATAAATTAAATAATAGCATACAACGTTTCGATTGCAACACAAGCAATCATCATCAGGTATAATGAAATAGCGACATAAAATCTAACCAGAAAACTATAGACAGACATATAAGCAGACAGATATCACCAAGATACATAGAGAGAGCAACACAGGTACAGAGAGGGGTGATCGTCTCTGTGGGGTGGCCTTAAATAGACAGAGGGGGGCGGAGGCAGAGAGAGGGAGGGGTTAGAGAAAAAATGTACATGTCAATGAGTACGAAGAGACGCGTAGTAAAGTACGCAGGCTTAGAGGGAGAAAGAACACACTAAATTAAATAACCTAGCAAAGTATTATACGTGACTTTACCGAAAGAACCAAAGAATAATTCCTGCAGTCACGAAAGCTCCCAAATTAACATGGTTCATATGGTCAAACAACCCAAATGAATGATATGGCATAGGTCGGACTTCATCCAGCAGTGGACCAACAATTCTGCCTCCACACATTACTGCCATCATCTCCAGTACACATGTAGCGATTCATCAATTAAAATCACGCTTGTGTTCAGGATACATAAAATTGTGAGTGTGTAAGAATTAATTATTTTAAATCAATGTTTTCTGCTTGGGATAATTTTCACAATGAAAGAGACAGAGTGAGGACGGCACAGGTGAGATAGAAAGGATGACTGAGACAGCACAGACAGAAAATCAAGACAAACAAAACCAATGAGATCAAGAGAAACATGGAGACAAGAGTGAGCAAGGAGGCTGGGCACCGCACCTGTCGTCGGAGCCTTCTTTCCGTGCGGCTGTGGAGATGGCTACGGGGGGGCCCAGGCTGTCTGGGGCAGACTCCGACAGGAAGCTGGGGAATGTCTCATCCGAGAGATTACCAACGCTGCTCCTGGTGCTACCTCCAGACGCCATGGCTCGCAGCGCCGCGGCACGACAGCTCTGAGAAGTCCCCTCTGCAGCTGTTGGAAGGGTTTGAGAGGAACGGTCAAAACACCCTCGCTTGACTCGCACACAGGGCGTGCCAGTGTACGCCTGTCAACTGGGGGCACGAGGAGTCACACTATGGAAGTCAGGGGTGCCCTCCTCGCAAACTGTTCCAAGTGGTTGTTGCTTCGTTTACACATTGGACCTGGGAAGTTTGCCGATCAACTTCATCACAGATAACAGGAGTTCTAATGTGCAGTCATTAAACCAACACAACTACAATAATTTCTACTGACTCATTGCAGATCCTAGTGTTCACACCCTACTGTGTAATTAAAGGTTATATCATCAGCATAATCAGCATTTGTCACCTTATTTAATTTTGTCCAAGGTTTGGTGGGTGTGTGTGAACTTCATCTAAATATGTTATGGGTGTTTGGATACCCACGACACCCACAGTGGCTACAAACATGTCTGTTACCGGGCAATCGGGAGACGAGGGTTGCTGGATCATACGATTATCGTGTATCGGTGACTGTCACCAGCAAGGCAAAACGGTTGCTAAATAGGAGGCAGAAAAGTAGGATGATGACCTTTTTGTAGCAGCATCAGAGTTGGCCTCTCATCAGGATGTTTTTTTTCAAGCATTCCAGAAATAATTGGCCAAACATACAAAAGCAGAACTCTCCTGAGAATAAGTCTTCTGACTGTGAAGCTTTCCTAGGTAAAAAGTTATTTGGGTTGTGACTGTCATACTATTCACCATTGGAATTGTTACATAATTATTACTGCAGATTAACTCCAGATGATGAGACCAAGGCCTTGAGATGGATCTCGAAACAAGTTGAGTATTTAGAACTGCTTCAAGTTCCTGACCTCTTCTGGGACCCATCCATGTTCATCATATCCTTGTCTGACTGGATTGTCCGATGTTGGCGCAGTGGTCAACTCAATTAGGTTACCAATTGAAATCCTGGGCACTGATTGAATCAGCTCATCGTTCCTACTAGGTAAATAAAAACATTTACACTTTGGAAATTCCAACACTGGCGTAGGGCCAGTAATGCTTGTTTGAGCAGGGAGACACCTTGAACATCACGCGACTATTGCATTAATAATAAAAACCATAACAGTACTGTATTCTAATTCTAGACACATTTGACAGTGAATACCTCTAAGTGCAGTACTAACTCAGGTATTTCTGTCACAGCACAACTGCCTCGGGTGAAAACAAGTGTCACTAAAACGTCTACTTACAAGGCAGCTCATGCAGTCTGCATGCCATGTGTTATAAGAGAGCATGTGTTTGGTGTTACATAGCATCCTTATAGAGGGGTGTCTGTGTGTACACAACTTCAGCCTGCTCTCAAGTTCACTCAAGACTGCAATTCGTAATTCCAATTCCCAGTTCCCACTTACTAGCCCTCGGAAAGGTAAGGTAAAAGTTAAACGGTAAAAAAAACAAGAACACCTCTTTTACCTTACCACGCTGCCTGGGGCGAGCACGTTGTGCTTCTTGAGGTGGGCTTTCCACCACGACGCGTTCGTGTGGGTGGAAAACCACGTGCGTGTGCTCCCACAGGAACGCACACCGCTGCCTCTTTCGATTGCTGTTCGCATCAACCCCAAAAATGTCGTTGCTGGCATCCTCGACCTCGTCCTCTAGTACCTCGACCTCAAGAACGTGGACCGTCTCCATTTGGTCCGACATCAATTATCGCAATTAAAAATGGAGGCCACGGACTGCGCCACGGAGCTTTTAGCGGTAAACAAGGTACTGTAGTTATCGTGTAATTATTCGCACTACCTTACCCTACCGGGCAATTCTTCTGAGCTACCTTTACCCTACCCCTTGGCATGTCGAAACCTTTACCCTTTACCTTTTACCCGGTAAAAAAGGTAATTTACCTTACCTTGCCGAGGCCTACCACTTACATTACAGTCCGTACTATGTAAAATGTACACGCAGACACTCTTATTTCACTTTTGACCACAATTGGATGTTATCAGTGATATGTCTTTATCGACTGGAATCAACTATGAGAACGTGGAATTTCCACCAATGGCTCAGAGCTGTAAATAAAAACATTTTATATTATTGAATAACTGATAACTAATACAATGCTGTTAATATACTGCCTGGTATTGTGTGTAACGAGGTATATTATAAAGGGCAATCTATGCATTACATGGATGTGGGCATGGCGTTATGTGGTGGCCAGATTTAGAAGCCGACCCAACATATTTAACCGTGAGACCATCCCTTCTTCCCTCCCGTAATGTTAACTAAACCCATTAGACCCAATGTCTAGAGGGATATCATAATTTACAGCCCTTTGTCAATCCGCTGCTGTATTGTTCTTGGGGGTCGTTTAACCATACTTCATCATGCTAGTCAGCGTAGGGATGGAGGGAAGGCCAAGACCAGTTCTGATATAACTTGATAATTAGGTCAGTCAGGGCCAAGAGTGAACCCGAGGTAGCCGGTTCGTGGCGCTGTGCACTCACCACTGTGCCACCGCTCCTGACGGAGGATATTAACACTGGAGTACCCATTTTGAGAAGCAAATTGCGAATAGGACAATACAAAAAATAAAAGGCTTTTTAGAAATTAAATTTTAGAAATTAAATTAACGGTCGGTTGAAACGTTATTCATTTACTCTAAGTCAGTGATTCTCAATCAGGGGTACGCGGACCCCTGGGGGTACGTGGCAACGTCCCAGGGGGTACGTGAGGTAATTTATAAATGCGTGAAATTGTCATACGTGAGTCATTGGTGAATAATCACGCATAAATCTGGCATCATAAAATAACTACGATAAGATGCAAATCCATATGGTAACCTAGAACAACATAACAGACCTTTGTAATGTGGGTTACAAGAGTAATCAGCGAGCGCAAACACATGACGTTCCACTGCTCTGATAGAAAACCACCATCACATGACGTTCGTTGATTGTTGTATTCGCTTGTAGTTACTGGAGCGTTAGGATGTCTCACAAAATGGGCAATTTGTTAAAATGTTTACGTTCATTATTCATACATTTATTTATCAGAACCATTTTAAGTCAGGCAAGAGAGTAACTGTATTCGGTTGAAACTATACTCAACAAGGAGTACAGTAGCCAAACAATGTTGAGAACCACTGCTCTGATAGAAAACCACCATGAGAAAGCTCACCGAAGCAGCAACTTTATTATGCATTGTACATGAATTGCGACAGTGTTGATTGCATCGAGCCTTGATGTCCTCCTCACGCTGGTGTTATTGTAGTCTTCTACCACTTGTGCTACCAAAGTGGCAGAGGTCGCAACCGGGTACCCGATACCCGTACCCTACCCGATACCCGGCTACCCGTACCCGGTCAGGTACTGGTACGGGTACCTATTTGCGACCCTGGTGCGGCCGGGTACGGGTACGGAATCAAAACCCGTTTGCGACCTCTGCAAAGTGGTGCTTCGCCTGATACTATTAAATTCAGACGCTCTTTTAATGAAGTCGCGTTCTCTTACCTTGTACCATTATATCATTACTACAAAATGCGAAGCCGATTTTGAATTTCCTGCACATTAATTTACAATGTACGCTTATAAGCTTTGTTTTTAACCTTACTTTAAATATCCTTCTTGGCAAAAGCAACATTAATATTATAGCAATCATAGCACTGTGCTTACAATGTTAAAGTATAAACTGCAGTTATATCTACATTTCGCCTCTGTTAATGTTATGGATATAAGGCTCCGGTATTAAAATGTGCCAGTGTCATTCCTGGTATATTTACATTATTATGAACTTCCCGAATAACACTTATTTTAAGTGCTGCACTCTTAACGATATTACTGACCTATCACAACAGCAGGAGCGACATTACTCTCGTCGAGTCCAACGCTTGGCACATACCGTACAGAGTCGTACTCATCCACACGCACCTGCACGGCGTTCGTTACACGGTAACCGGTAGTGTGCATCAATTATTTACTGCCGTGCGGTTGTGTTCATGCTGCCGGGACTGTCTTGCTCGTGCTCTTGACCCTTGCACACTATACTGTGCATGTATTTGAGATTGTATGATCGTACATTGTACAATTGGTATATTTTAAAATATCTGAATGTGTCATTTGGTGTTTGCTACGTCTGTGCTACTTGGCACTTTTGTAAACGATATCTTCCATCTCAGTGAATTACCCTGGCAAAATATTTTTGTAAAATAAAAATCCTTCGGGAGCACTCGGCCATTGGTGTAGATTCCACAAACCACTGTAGCTACTACTGATGTTATCAGTCGTATACACATTACAGTGTATGCTATCAGTATCATCACAATATAATGTATAATTCAACACATTTTACCAATCCATTGCTCGTGAAGGACTCCCCTCGCATTGTCGGACCATACTTCACCTTATTTTAGAATAGTTAATTTTATTATTTGTTTCTACCTACGTGACTTTACCGAAAGAACCCAAGAGTATTTATTTTAATGTTTGAACAATTCCCCTCAACGTGAACCTCTCCAACACAACCTCTCACCTTGAGCCTCGCCTTTGTAAAAGGTCAAAGTTGTTTCCCCAAGTAAACGCGAGTGTGAGAAGACGCTCATCTCCTGCTCGCAGCCCTGAGCCAGTGATGTCCATTCCACATTCCCATGACGAGTCAGAACGGGCTTTTGAGCTCATTAGTTTACAATGGCACGTATGAACACCGCCACACTTATACCTACTGCACGGATGAATGTAAAGATGCACAAACAACATCGAGGTGAGCGGATATCTGCATCGAGAGTGAAGCCGAATAAACTTCAGCGGCCAGGCCTAACTAGTCTGGTGCGGCGGCAGGTTGCCCCACACAAACTCACGCAACCCGATGACGGCAGCTGAGGTGAAAAGAAACATCGCAAGATTACCTTGCTGCAGGCGTTCCCGCTTTGTTCAAGCCCCTCCGCTCGCTAATATCCTTAACCGAGGTGAAGTTTCGATATAAAAAACACAAATTCTTTAAAACCAAACGGGGCTCCCACTCGCCCGCGACCGCCACAATCTTCAAACGGAGCCGTACGAGAACGCGCCTCCTATTGGCTGCCTTGCGGGCCTGCCCCGCCTCGTCACATCGCCCAATGGGAGGCGCCTTGCGCGGAGAGACGCGCCACTCCATTGGCTGCTGGCCGCGCCAGTCCAATGGCTGCTGGCCGCGCCAGTCCAATGGCTGCTGGCCGCGCCAGTCCATTGGCTGCTGGCCGCGTCAGTCCAATGGCTGCTGGCCGCGCCAGTCCAATGGCTGCTGGCCGCGCCAGTCCAATGGCTGCTGGCCGCGCCAGTCCATTGGCTGCTGGCCGCGCCAGTCCAATGGCTGCTGGCCGCGCCAGTCCAATGGCTGCTGGCCGCGCCAGTCCATTGGCTGCTGGCCGCGCCACTCCATTGGCTGCTGGCCGCGCCAGTCCATTGGCTGCTGGCCGCGCCAGTCCAATGGCTGCTGGCCGCGCCAGTCCAATGGCTGCTGGCCGCGCCAGTCCATTGGCTGCTGGCCGCGCCAGTCCATTGGCTGCTGGCCGCGCCAGTCCATTGGCTGCTGGCCGCGCCAGTCCAATGGCTGCTGGCCGCGCCAGTCCAATGGCTGCTGGCCGCGCCAGTCCAATGGCTGCTGGCCGCGCCAGTCCAATGGCTGCTGGCCGCGCCAGTCCATTGGCTGCTGGCCGCGCCAGTCCAATGGCTGCTGGCCGCGCAGTCCAATTGGCTGCTGGCCGCGCCAGTCCAATGGCTGCTGGCCGCGCCAGTCCAATTGGCTGCTGGCCGCGCCAGTCCAATGGCTGCTGGCCGCGCCAGTCCATTGGCTGCTGGCCGCGCCAGTCCATTGGCTGCTGGCCGCGCCAGTCCAATGGCTGCTGGCCGCGCCAGTCCATTGGCTGCTGGCCGCGCCAGTCCAATGGCTGCTGGCCGCGCCAGTCCAATGGCTGCTGGCCGCGCCAGTCCAATGGCTGCTGGCCGCGCCAGTCCAATGGCTGCTGGCCGCGCCAGTCCAATGGCTGCTGGCCGCGCCAGTCCATTGGCTGCTGGCCGCGCCAGTCCAATGGCTGCTGGCCGCGCCAGTCCAATTGGCTGCTGGCCGCGCCAGTCCAATGGCTGCTGGCCGCGCCAGTCCAATGGCTGCTGGCCGCGCCAGTCCATTGGCTGCTGGCCGCGCCAGTCCAATGGCTGCTGGCCGCGCCAGTCCATTGGCTGCTGGCCGCGCCAGTCCAATGGCTGCTGGCCGCGCCAGTCCATTGGCTGCTGGCCGCGCCAGTCCATGGCTGCTGGCCGCGTCAGTCCAGTGGCTGCTGGCCGCGCCAGTCCAATGGCTGCTGGCCGCGCCAGTCCATTGGCTGCTGGCCGCGCCAGTCCAATGGCTGCTGGCCGCGCCAGTCCAATGGCTGCTGGCCGCGCCAGTCCAATGGCTGCTGGCCGCGCCAGTCCAATGGCTGCTGGCCGCGCCAGTCCAATGGCTGCTGGCCGCGCCAGTCCAATGGCTGCTGGCCGCGCCAGTCCAATGGCTGGCTGGCCGCGCCAGTCCAATGGCTGCTGGCCGCGCCAGTCCAATTGGCTGCTGGCCGCGCCAGTCCAATGGCTGCTGGCCGCGCCAGTCCAATGGCTGCTGGCCGCGCCAGTCCAATGGCTGCTGGCCGCGCCAGTCCAATGGCTGCTGGCCGCGCCAGTCCAATTGGCTGCTGGCCGCGCCAGTCCAATGGCTGCTGGCCGCGCCAGTCCAATGGCTGCTGGCCGCGCCAGTCCAATTGGCTGCTGGCCGCGCCAGTCCAATTGGCTGCTGGCCGCGCCAGTCCATTGGCTGCTGGCCGCGCCAGTCCAATGGCTGCTGGCCGCGCCAGTCCATGGCTGCTGGCCGCGCCAGTCCAATGGCTGCTGGCCGCGCCAGTCCAATGGCTGCTGGCCGCGCCAGTCCAATTGGCTGCTGGCCGCGCCAGTCCAATGGCTGCTGGCCGCGCCAGTCCAATGGCTGCTGGGCCGCGCCAGTCCATGGCTGCTGGCCGCGCCAGTCCAATTGGCTGCTGGCCGCGCCAGTCCAATTGGCTGCTGGCCGCGCCAGTCCAATGGCTGCTGGCCGCGCCAGTCCAATTGGCTGCTGGCCGCGCCAGTCCATTGGCTGCTGGCCGCGCCAGTCCAATGGCTGCTGGCCGCGCCAGTCCATTGGCTGCTGGCCGCGCCAGTCCAATGGCTGCTGGCCGCGCCAGTCCAATGGCTGCTGGCCGCGCCAGTCCAATGGCTGCTGGCCGCGCCAGTCCAATTGGCTGCTGGCCGCGCCAGTCCAATGGCTTGCTGGCCGCGCCAAGTCCAATGGCTGCTGGCCGCGCCATCCAATGGGCTTGCTGGCCGCGCCAGTCCAATGGCTGCTGGCCGCGCAGTCCATTGGCTGCTGGCCGCGCCAGTCCAATGGCTGCTGGCCGCGCCAGTCCAATGGCTGCTGGCCGCGCCAGTCCAATGGCTGCTGGCCGCGCCAGTCCATTGGCTGCTGGCCGCGCCAGTCCAATGGCTGCTGGCCGCGCCAGTCCAATGGCTGCTGGCCGCGCCAGTCCATTGGCTGCTGGCCGCGCCAGTCCATGGCGCTGGCCGCGCCAGTCCAATGGCTGCTGGCCGCGCCAGTCCATTGCTGCTGGCCGCGCCAGTCCAATGGCTGCTGGCCGCGCCAGTCCATGGCTGCTGGCCGCGCCAGTCCAATGGCTGCTGGCCGCGCCAGTCCAATGGCTGCTGGCCGCGCCAGTCCAATTGGCTGCTGGCCGCGCCAGTCCAATGGCTGCTGGCCGCGCCAGTCCAATGGCTGCTGGCCGCGCCAGTCCAATGGCTGCTGGCCGCGCCAGTCCAATGGCTGCTGGCCGCGCCAGTCCAATGGCTGCTGGCCGCGCCAGTCCAATGGCTGCTGGCCGCGCCAGTCCAATGGCTGCTGGCCGCGCCAGTCCAATGGCTGCTGGCCGCGCCAGTCCATGGCTTGCTGGCCGCGCCAGTCCAATTGGCTGCTGGCCGCGCCAGTCCAATGGCTGCTGGCCGCGCCAGTCCATGGCTGCTGGCCGCGCCAGTCCATTGGCTGCTGGCCGCGCCAGTCCATGGCTGCTGGCCGCGCCAGTCCAATGGCTGCTGGCCGCGCCAGTCCAATGGCTGCTGGCCGCGCCAGTCCATTGGCTGCTGGCCGCGCCAGTCCAATGGCTGCTGGCCGCGCCAGTCCAATGGCTGCTGGCCGCGCCAGTCCAATGGCTGCTGGCCGCGCCAGTCCAATGGCTGCTGGCCGCGCCAGTCCAATGGCTGCTGGCCGCGCCAGTCCAATGGCTGCTGGCCGCGCCAGTCCAATGGCTGCTGGCCGCGCCAGTCCAATGGCTGCTGGCCGCGCCAGTCCAATGGCTGCTGGCCGCGCCAGTCCAATGGCTGCTGGCCGCGCCAGTCCAATGGCTGCTGGCCGCGCCAGTCCAATGGCTGCTGGCCGCGCCAGTCCAATGGCTGCTGGCCGCGCCAGTCCAATGGCTGCTGGCCGCGCCAGTCCATTGGCTGCTGGCCGCGCCAGTCCAATGGCTGCTGGCCGCGCCAGTCCATTGGCTGCTGGCCGCGCCAGTCCAATGGCTGCTGGCCGCGCCAGTCCAATGGCTGCTGGCCGCGCCAGTCCAATGGCTGCTGGCCGCGCCAGTCCATGGCTGCTGGCCGCGCCAGTCCAATGGCTGCTGGCCGCGCCAGTCCATTGGCTGCTGGCCGCGCCAGTCCAATGGCTGCTGGCCGCGCCAGTCCAATGGCTGCTGGCCGCGCCAGTCCAATGGCTGCTGGCCGCGCCAGTCCATTGGCTGCTGGCCGCGGAGGGAATCGTTCGTAGCGCGCGATTCAAATCGGAATCTGTATTTCTCCTGCGCGAGGAATCCGATGAGCTAGGAAGCTCTTTGTCACAGACGTCCAAATCGGAAACACGCGCCTGGGGATATACAGGAAGTGCTGTGCCGTAATGTTGAACTTCTTTCGCACCGTACGTAGCCAACTAAGATAATCGGAGGTGCGTGGAAACGACAAAAAAGAACTAAACACAAAAAGCAGTTCTAAATGAATAAGTTTGTCAATCTCGATGATGATTTAAAAGTGCAGCGTAGCTCCCAGCGGCTTCCTCATATCGGAAGGAAGAGCGTTCCAGACGGCCGCAGAAGCAGCAGCGCATCTGAAAGCGCCTCACGATGCAGTGGCCGTCTTTGTTCGATGGGCAAGGCGCAAGCTGCGAGGTCTGAGAGGCATGTGAGTGCCAATTGAATGATCTCGAGTTGAATCGTGTGAGGTTCGAGGTTTGCGAGGAGGCGACTCATTCTATTCGATTTTTGGGATGGCAGCGTTATGTTCTGGAGCCAGTGACGACCTACCCACAGTCAACCATGACCTCAATGTACCACACCTCCGACTCAAATCCCGATCCCCAGTTGGGATCGCTGCTGCCGTCACCATCCTAGAATCTCACCCAGATCCGGAGCAACGCTGCTGCTGCTGGCGAACAGTGGAACAACGCGGCCACCCAGAATAAACACCTCATTCGAGACCCAACATCTCACCCGATCGCTTTGACATTCCTCGAAGATATTGATTGGTTTGTCTATAAACCGCATCAGAACATCAACGGGCCGATGTTCACATCTCCTTCATAAATGGAACACTTAAAGACAAGCCACAGTCGTGCGATTGTGTCCATGCATCCCAAACTATGGGTCATATAATCGTAAACCACTGCACGCGAGTCTGTGCTTCAACTACGAAATAGCAAAATACACGCACTGGCTGCTGAAAACCTCTCGTGGCTAGCAGACCTCGAAATTGGGATCTATCCAGCTCCTGACCATGTTGTTGCTGCCGCCATGCCCAAAAACATCTGATCATTAGATTAAAACTTGCTCTGGCGCCAATGAGCAGGGCGGAACCTTTTTTCGCCCAGAACCCAGGCCGTGCACAGTTTCCGGCCGGATCAGGCTCGCGTTGCACAACGACCAGGAGGGATGGCGGCGCCCAGGCTGCTGTGCACGCTGGGGTCGCGTGCCCCGCTGCTCTCGCGCTCCTCATCCCGCTCCTCTCTCTCCTGCTCCTTCTCCTCTCTCTCACTCGGTGGCCCCTGCTGCCCCGCGGCTGTTCAGCGCCCGCTCCTCTCGCCCGCCACGTGGCTCGGGTAAGAGACCCGCTCGCGCCCGGACAACTCGCGACGCCTCACTCCTGAGCTTAAGCCAGTGGTGGAAATTCCACATTCCTGTGTCTGGGGTGAAGTCTATCCACACGACAGTCACTGTATATTTTTCCACAAAGTGGTACTCGGATATGAACGATCCACTCCAGATGTACACGTTGACATGTAAACTCAGCCTCATTCGGCAAAGTTGTAAAGGTCCTTTGATCCGAATTCCGCTAAACGTCCTTTATGATCGATGTACGCGTGGGAATGTTGCTGTAGCCGCGCAAACCCTACACGCCGTCGCCTTTAATCAGCATCTTTATTCTGGAGAAATCCGATTAAGCTATTTTAATCCTGGGAGGCGCTTGCTACATGGAGATGCCACCACCGTGAGGTCCCGCGTCACCAGGGTTGGAGGGAACCTGTGGCCCGCGGTCGCATCCGACCCGAGACTTCGTGTTAGTATACAGTACGTACTGTGTACTCGCGGGGCCTTACAGGCGGGCATGATTCATGTGTTTTGTAGAAAAGTAGTTTTCACTTAAATTCGCCAGCGACCCCACAATCCTGACCTACCGAGGAAGATCTGATCCTCCTTGAATCAGATCCGGACACTCCATGGAAGATGTTTGGGAGACTTTCTTTATAAATGGAAAATTAACGAGAGTCCAGTTTGTAACTGAGGTGGTGCGACATCTCAGACCGTGCAACATCTCGTGAATGACTGCCCAATCGGTTCATTCAACGGCGATCTGAAACAAATCCACGCGGCTACGCCTGAAGCAGTTGAATGGATATCAAATCTCGGCATCAATTTGTAATCTGTTGCAAACCCCCAAAATGAATATTCTTAGGTTTTTTCGGTAAAGTCACGTAGGTAAAACATCAAAATTAATAAAAATAAAACAAAAATCACGACTTTCGATTTAAAGCTTTCGTGACTGCAGGGATTCATCTTCTTGGTTCTTTCGGTAAAGTCACGTAGAAGGGAAGTAATAAAATAATAAAACATAATAAAACAATTCTCACGACGTTTCGGCCACAACGCAAGCAGCCGTCCTCAGGTGAAAACCAGGTCCGTCGAGGCGACAGAGTCTGAATGAAACAGCACACGAGCTTGGAGCATATATATAAGTGATATATACGTGACTTTACCGAAAGAACCAAGAAGAAGAAAAATCACGACGTTTCGGAGGCAACACAAGTCTCCGTCATCAGGTGGGACCGTCACAGCCGGATTAGCTGCATCAAGTGAGGCAATGATTCAAGATGTAATCCCTTAAAAAGCAAGTTGAGGGGGAGGAGAGGGGGGGGGGAGCTCATCAGAATATGGTAGCCAATGAATGGAACGTATCGGGAGGGAGGGGGGCGGAGCTCAAAGACGGCACGGAGTGCCAACGTACAACGCATCGAGAGGGGGAGGGGGGCGGGGCCAAAAGAATGCACGACGACAGGGACGCGGTTGCTGTTGCACAACGCCAACGCATTGGACAGAGAGGGGGAGGGGAGGCCTGATACACATGATAGAAAAAGAACGAAAATGCCCATGTTTATACCAATGCTGGCTGAACAATGAAGAGAGTACTGTTAAACACTGGGGATGTTAACACTCGGTAAAGTAAACTAAGATAGTGCCTGTCAGATACGATGGTCCAAAAAAGTGTAATTAAGTCTTTTTTGCGTGGTTGATAACATCTTTCCAATGATTACTAAGTTTGTACCCATCATCACGGTTGAAATTATGTCTGTGTTTGTATATTTGTATGGCTTCGTGTACAAACCTTTGATGGTAGCCGGGAGGTTTGCAGAGAACCTTGGTCTCGGAAAAGACAATTTCATGAGAGCCCACCGAGTTGTAGCAATGATCGGCAACGGCCGAAGAATCAGTTCTGCCGTGTTTCAGATCTGACTTGTGCTCGCGGACACGATCAGAAACATGACGTTTCGTTTCTCCAATGTAGCAATCACCACAAATGCAACTCAATTTGTAGACTCCAGGATACTGTAAGTCAGGAACGACATCCTTCACAGATGGAATCAGATCACGTATTTTATGCACTGTACTGAATCGGACTTGGATCTTATGTTTGTTTAGAATTTTGGAGATCTTTTTGGTCACGCCTGCTATGTATGGTAACGTGATAGTTTTGGTCGGAGTTTCATGTGGCTGTTCCTGTGTGGTGGGAGAGACAGCTTGGCGGATAGTACGGTCAGAGTATCCGTTCATCCTGAGGGTCCGATGTACATGTCTTAATTCACCGGTCAGGTGGTGTTGGTCAGAAATGCCATGGGCTCTGTGGTATAGCGTTTTGATGAGAGAATTCTTTTGAGATGGGTGGTGGTGGGAATCCGGTTTCAAGTAGGAATCTGTGTGGGTGGCTTTCCTGTAGACAGAATGTCCCAAAGATCCGTCAGGCCTCCTCTCAAACAGAATATCCAAGAATGGTAGTTTACCGTCTTTCTCCACTTCCATGGTGAATCTGATGGATGGGTGTCTAGAATTGATGTGGTCCAAGAAGTGGTTCAATGCTGGGAGGCCATGTGGCCAGATGACGAAAGTGTCATCCACATACCTCTTCCACAGGGAAGGACGCAGGGTGGATGTCTGAATGGCGTCTGATTCAAACTTTTCCATGAACATGTTGGCTATAACTGGTGACAAGGGGGAGCCCATAGGGGTACCCCCATTCTGTTTGTAGAAGGTGCCATTCCAGGTAAAATAGGTGTTGGTGAGGCAATGCCTAACCAGCGCAGGTGCATCAGAATTCAATCCATGTTGGACTAAGTCCTCAATTATTGTTAGGGTGTCCGGTACTGGGACTTTGGTAAACAAAGATACTACATCAAAGCTGACGAGGATGTCATCAGGGGATAGTACCATGTCCTTAACCATAGAGACCAAAACTATCACGTTACCATACATAGCAGGCGTGACCAAAAAGATCTCCAAAATTCTAAACAAACATAAGATCCAAGTCCGATTCAATACAGTGCATAAAATACGTGCTCTGATTCCATCTGTGAAGGATGTCGTTCCTGACTTACAGTATCCTGGAGTCTACAAATTGAGTTGCATTTGTGGTGATTGCTACATTGGAGAAACGAAACGTCATGTTTCTGATCGTGTCCGCGAGCACAAGTCAGATCTGAAACACGGCAGAACTGATTCTTCGGCCGTTGCCGATCATTGCTACAACTCGGTGGGCTTTCATGAAATTGTCTTTTCCGAGACCAAGGTTCTCTGCAAACCTCCCGGCTACCATCAAAGGTTTGTACACGAAGCCATACAAATATACAAACACAGACATAATTTCAACCGTGATGATGGGTACAAACTTAGTAATCATTGGAAAGATGTTATCAACCACGCAAAAAAGACTTAATTACACTTTTTTGGACCATCTTATCTGACAGGCACTATCTTACTTTACTTTACCGAGTGTTAACATCCCCAGTGTTTAACAGTACTCTCTTCATTGTTCAGCCAGCATTGGTATAAACATGGGCATTTTCGTTCTTTTTCTATCATGTGTATCAGGCCTCCCCTCCCCCTCTCTGTCCAATGCGTTGGCGTTGTGCAACAGCAACCGCGTTCACGCCGTCGTCCATTCTTTGGCCCCGCCCCCCCTCCCCCTCCCGATGCGTTGTACAGCAGCAACCGCGTCCATGCCGTCGTGCATTCTTTTGGCCCCGCCCCCCCTCCCCCTCCCGATGCGTTGTACAGCAGCAACCGCGTCCACGCCGTCGTGCATTCTTTTGGCCCCTCCCGATGCAGTTGTACGTTGGCACTCCGTGCCGTCTTTGAGCCCCGCCCCCCTCCCTCCCGATATGTTCCATTCATTGGCTACCACATTCTGATGAGCTCCCCCCCCCTCTCCTCCCCCTCAACTTGCTTTTTAAGGGATTACATCTTGAATCATTGCCTCACTTGATGCAGCGAATCCGGCTGTGACGGTCCCACCTGATGACGGAGACTTGTGTTGCCTCCGAAACGTCGTGATTTTTGTTTTATTTTATTTTTATTAATTTTGATGTTTTACCTACGTGACTTTACCGAAAAAAACTAAGAATATGAATCCTTGCAGTCACGAAAGCTTCAAATCTAGAATTAATCCCCAAAATGAAGTTCAACATTTTTACACCACTTGGGCATCCAGTCATTCAACCCGTGAATGACAGTTCATTTATTTCAGTGCCCTTATTGAACCAGATGTGTTGGTAACCTGATGTTCTGTTTGTTCACAGTGCAAGGAGCCATAGTGCAATGGCGAGCGGTAGTGCAGCGGTTAGAACGCCACGCTACAAACCCAGCGACCAGAATTTGGAATTTGATTCCCGCTCACGGCTACCACCAGTGACGATTATTTGAAACGGTACTGGGCCTCTCCTCAGTCGACTCAGCCTCAAATGAGTAGCTGGAGCGGTGTGTAAACATCACCACTAGGGAGACAAAGGCGGCCATGCGTAGTGCTGGCCACCCACCCCCTCGTGTGTCGTTCCGGCCTTCATAGGTGCTACTCGCTCACATCACTGACCCAACAGTCTGTTAAACAGTTAAAGGCTATACGGGGGGGGGGGGGGTGCTGGTCTTTGTTTATGTGTTAACCACTTAACTAATGCAACGGCCATGAAAAGTGCCATTTAAGAACGTTTATGGCCAAGCTCGAGATCTTTTACCTTCTTCCTTATAACTGACTGCCTCTAAAAAATAAATACGTTCACTCTTTAATGTACCGTCCTAAGATACGGTCACAATTAGATGTTTTATAAATTAACGAAACCCTTGGAAATTAGATACTCCAGCTCAAGGGATTATCCAAATGCAAAATGTTAACAAATATAACACTAGATTTGAAGCTTTTGTGACTGCAGGAATCCATACTCTTTGGTTCTTTCGGTAAAGTCACGTAGGTATAAAATAAAATAATTCACGACGTTCCGATTGCAACACAAGCAATCATCATCAGGTGGGAAAACCACAGCAATATTTTTTTTCTGAAGTAGGAGAGAGTTGCCGTGGTAAGAGGCTATATAGGTAAGAAAGGGGGGGAGGGGCAAGGGGGGGGAAAGGGGGTGTGGGGTAGGGGGAGCGCTGCGTGGACGCTAGGAGAGGGAACGTGAAGCTGGGTGGGGGGTAGAAGTGGGCGGGGCTGGAAGTGGGAGGCCGAGAGAGCTGGGGATGCAGGGGGGAAGTTAACTCGGAATAAGTAATATTTAAAAAAAGTTTTTTAAAACACGCTTGTATGAAATTTACTAGTAATGGCAGAACTCCACGACTCCAGGAAGTGGCCCCGAAGCTTGCCATAACGTAAAGGACCATGGCCAATTACAGTTAACGTCAGTTGACCATGGACAATTAGACCCAAGCCAAAACGTAACATATAAAAAAGAATGTATATAAATATATTTTTTATGATAGAATATAGTATTGTCATCAGTATGACATAAGCATACCAAGTTTGCAGCCGAGACCACATTGGCAAGTGGGTTAAAATTGAGTTACAAGATTTGAGGATACAACAACGACAACATCAACAGACAGAGTGAGTTAAAAGAAGGCATGTAAAAATAGACTAGTACCCGGCCGATATGATAGACAACAACCACTATAAAGCAGTTAGGGTTTTACCTGGGTAATGACATCCTTCCAATGATTGCTCAATTTGTATCCATCTTCTTGGTTGAAGTTATGTCTGTTTATATATCTGGATGGCTTCATAAACAAACATTTGATAGCAGCCCGAAGGTTTGCAGAGTATGTTTGGATGTTTTGTTTGAGAAGAGACCAGACGGCTCGTTGGGACACTCTGTCTACAGGAAATCCACCCACACAGATTCCTATCTGAAACCTGATTCCCACCACCATCCGGCACAGAAGAATTCCCTTATCAAAACACTACACCATCGAGCCCCCTGCATTTCCAACCTACACCACCTAGCCAGTGAACTGGAACACGTACACCAGGCCCTCAAGATTAATGGGTACTCGGACCACATTCGCAAAGCTGTTTCTCCAACCATGGAGAAACAACCCCCTGAGAAGCCAATCAAAACCATCATGTTACCATACATAGCAGGTGTATTGCAATCGAAACGTCGTGATTTATTTTATTTTATACCTACGTGACATTACCGAAAGAACCAAAGAGTAAATATAACACTAACAGAATCCACAACATAGGGTACTTTCTGGGTTATTTGGTCAAACAACATAATTGTAATTTAATTAGGGTGATAATGATAACGGCAGTAATAGATACGGGGCGGCTGATGATTGACTGGACGTGATGTGTGCTGCTCATGTGCAGAGCCGGGTGTGTGGTGAGCGCGCGCTGCGTGTCACGGAGCACCTCGGACACGTGGTGGCACGAGCACCTCTCGGAGGAGAACAACGCCTTCCTGCGGCGCCACATCAAGCAGGAATTTACCGAGCTCACGGCTGCGCGCCTCAACCCCCTGAAGGATGAGCCATGGTCCCGGCACACGTGGACGCCCGGTCAGGGGCACGCGGGGACCCAGAGACCTGGCACTGCACATTCATTCAGCCTGCTACCAAGAATGGGCTTTCATTCTCTTTGTTGTTAATTTATATTGCTGTTGCATTGAAGTGAAACCCTTGCTTCCAATACAATTTCATTACGTGTTGTGGAGCATTACAGGTCATGTAAAAGGAGACCTCTTCTGTGTCTCCTCATTTTCGTCCATCAACCGGTTGGCCAGCTGCATTTGTGTACCTGAGTCTGCTTGATAGAATCCAACAGAAATTTTTGGTTGAGGCTTTTACTGATTTACTCAAGTCACACTATAATTTGATTGGATGTGGTACGTGCTGCTCATGTGGGCCTTACCTGGTGAAATAATAGAAAAAGTGTCGTGTTTAGTTTATTTCGTTGCTTTCATGTTACTCTTCTTTTGCTACTACAGGCATTTTTTTTATGAATTTCACTCCTTAATACCTCTGTTAATGTCAAATCATTATTTTACCAGACAGACAGTTTCCTATTCTTCTTGTCTTTCAGTAAAGTCACGTAAATAGGTTCAAAGAAAATAACAAAAAACTATGATGTTTCGATCGCAACACAAGCGGTCATCATCAGGAAAAGGGGGTTAGCCTCTAAAGGCAAACTGTTTATAGAGGTTTGAAATGGGCGTAGCTCAAGTGTCATCAGCATGGGCGGGGCAGCAAATGTTAATGTAAGTGATGGTACTCGTAGAGGGCAACGACGGTGCTGGTGGTGGGTTTCCACAAATTATAGGGATGCCAGGTCTAAAATGGAAACATAGCCAGTTATAACTTAAACTAGTTGATAATGTCCTTCCTCCAGTGATTGCTTAGTTTCTACCCATCTTCTCGGTTCAAATTGTGTCTTTGTATATATGGATGGCTTCATGAACGAATCTTTGTTGATAGCCAGTGGGTTTGCAAAGTACCTTCGTCTTAGAGAAATCTATTTCGTGTGAGCCCACTGCATTAAAATAATGATCAGCCACGGCCGAGGTATTGGTCCTACCGTGTTCCAGGTCTGATTTATGTGCACGAACACGGTCCGAGACATGTCGCTTAGTTTCCCCAATGTAACTACTGCCGCAAATACAGCTTAGTTTGTAGACGCCAGGGTATTGCATGTCAGGGATCACATCCTTCACAAATGGGATCAGATCACGAATTTTATGTACTGTGTTAAATCGAACCTGTATCTTGTGTTTGCTCATGATTTTGGAAATCGTTTTGGTGACCTCTGCTATGTATGGCAAGGTGATGGTTTTGATTTTGTCCTCAGATGGTTCTTTCCCAATGGTTGAGGTGATAACTTTACGGATTGTGTAGTCTGAATATCCATTCGTCTCGAGAGCTTGGTGTACGTGTTCCAGTTCACTGGCGAGGTGATGATTGTCGGAAATACATCGAGCTCTATGGTGTGGAGTTTTGATGAGGGAATTTTTCTGGGATGGATGGTGGTGGGAGTCAGGTTTTAGGTAGGCATCCGTATGGGTGGCTTTCCTGTAGACAGTGTCCCATTGAGCCATCAGGTCTCTTTTGGATTAAAACATCCAAGAATGGTTGCTTGCCATCCTTTTCCACCTCCATGGTGAATTTGATGGCTGGGTGTATGGAATTGATGTGGTTGAGGAATTGGTTCAGAGCTGGTCGGCCATGTGGCCGACCAAGTCAAGACAGTTTTCTGTCATCCATACTCACTTAAACTACCATGTGGGGGACAGTACATCAGTTATCTTATTATATGCTATATTCTTAGGTTTTTTCGGTAAAGTCACATAGGTAAAAAATTAAAATTAATAAAAGTAAAATAAAGATCAAATAAAAATCACGACGTTTCGGAGGCAACACAAGCTTCCGTCTTCAGGTGGAAGCTTGTGTTATCTCCGAAACGTCGTGATTTTTATTTTATTTTTATTTTACTTTTATTAATTTAGATTTTTTACCTACGTGACTTTACCGAAAAAAACCTAAGAATATGAATCTTTGCAGTCACGAAAACTTCAAATCTAGAATTATTATATGCTCTTACTCTCAGCTTTGGAACTCCCATCTATTGTGTTCATCCACAATTCAAGAATGGTGCTCATCTGTTGTAGTATCTGGGTAGCTAATGAGCCAACACGTCACACTGTAGTGAAGTCGCTGCAGTGATAGTGCTAAGTTTGTGTCCTGGAAAGTAATTTTAAATCTTTCTGTCCAACAAAAATTCAAATGCATGTCGGATAGCCCAGTATGCATAACCCATGTATGCATCTACAAACCAACAGCTGTTTGATTTTTGGATTATGTCTGTGCTCACTCGCAGTACTTGCCCCAAGAGTGTGCTGTGTGATGGCTGAACATGGTGGTGTGTGCGTTCAGGCTCACGGAGAGTTGGTCTTGTTGCTGTTAAACTGGGCATCGTGCCAGCCTGGACCAAATCTGGTGAAAAGCAACCCGTCACCGTCTTGCAGGTTTGTGTAGCTCGCTCTGTTCCGTGGGATCCACACGCTCACCAGCTGCCTGTCGGCCCCAGTGCTAATGTGGTCACCCACTCCACTCATGCCTCTGTATGCCGCACAGGTGCAGGACTGCCACGTGCTGCAGCACCTCTCCAAGGAGGAGTACGACGGTGTAACGGATGTCCTCCTTGTAGGCGGAAAAAACGTCTCTCCATTTAGTGTACGTCACTCACTGGTTGACCCATATGCTCGTTTGCTTGCTCGCTAGCTTGATAACTCGGTTACCCCTACGCTCACTTGCTCAGCCTGCGTTAACGGACTTGGTCACTTGCTTGCTTACTCAATTGCTTGCTCACTCACTGATTGTCTTATTAACTTCCTCATTCAGTAATTCGCTCACTCACACTTGCTGACTTGCAGACTAGCTACCTTGCTCGCTCAGTGACTCGCTCCTTCGCTCACATGCTTACTTAAAACACGTTCCTTCGGAGTGGGCAGGTAGGAACTTGGTTGGACAGCGCATTCATGCAATCTGTGTCACGCAGCGCAATCTGCGTGGGGCGGTGCGTCACGTGGTGCTGAGCCTGCCCGAAGCGCTCTATGAAATACAAATCGAGGGCGGCGTGGCTATGCACGACAGACAGACAAATAATCCCTGTTGGGCAGTGTGGAACTGTTGTTCCTACCTGTATCACACACTTGCTTACTGGCTTGCTCATGCACTGTTGCCTAATTAAATAATGAACAATGTATTTAATTGCTGATTATTATGATAATGATTATGATGGTTCTGCCTCAGCACTCGAGGGTTCACTTGGAGCGGTGTCGCCTGGCTGGAGTTCCTCCCAAGCAGAAGGTGTCAGTCTTTGAGGTGTCCAAGCACGCCCTTGTCAAGCCAGGTGACAGCGCCTTCATACCCAGCAGTGCAAGACTTAAACCATTAACACTGCCAATAGCACCATCGCCAGAACCATGGACAGCACCACCATCAGTACCAAGTGCATCAGCACCATATATATCACTCTAAATATGAGTGCCATTGTGCCATCATCAGCCCCACCATCCTCATCACCACCAGCATTATGACCGGAACTACTATAACCATAGTGGATATCATCACCACTCTTGTGCCACTGTCAGCACCACGAACATCAGCACCAAAAATAGTTCCATCACAATAGACATCGCAACACTACCTCCATCAGCACCGCTATGGAGCAAACATCTCGCCTGAACCATCAAGAAATTACATCCAGTAATACCCCGATGTACGTCCTCCCGCTGTACGTACTTTAGCTTTAACCTACTCAACTTACTGATACCCAATCCCGTTTTATGTACCGTGGTACCTCGCCAGAACGCACTCGAGATTTACAAGCTTTACCGTTAAGACCCCGACGTTGTTTACACTGCACGTCGACATTTGGGCACCAGTTGGCGCCCACGCGTTAGTATCCCTGACTGACTGGCTATCGTCTCTTCTACGGGCACATGTTCAGTATCAATATTTTTTCCCCACATACCGTATTTATGACGACTATGTTTATACAAGTGTAAACTATTTTAATATGTTAAATAAATAATATATAGTATAATAGACAAGGTAATATTTTAAAATATGAATAATATACACGTTCACACCGATGGTTGTACAGTATAGATGTGCAATGGGTTATTGAGCATCTTCAGTTTAGGTACTGCGCCACGTTACGATCCACCATTCCATCTCTTTGCTTCGATTTAAGTACAGCAAAAGCTCTGTTATCCAGCACTTTGCCACCCGAAATGGTTTATTAACCGGTGTCTGTCATAGACGGTGATACGAATCTTCCTTCACTTATCCGGAAAAATTCCGAAATCCATCCGGTATCTTGTCATGTGCTTCTCAGAGATCTGTTGTTTACGGAAGCTTTAGGATGCTGCTAGATGGTGGGGCTAGCAGCAGTCTCAATTGCAAACACAAGGTGCATTCAGAAGCAGCTGAGAGGCAGTAAATGTAGAGTATACTATTTACAGTGTAGTCTTAAGTTATATAATAAGTGTAGTGTTATAAGTGTGACACTTGAGCGATCTGGGTGTATGCCATATGCACTGCCTAACCTAAATTTGTTTCATTGTACTGTATATACAGTACTGTATACTGTACTTTAAACTATCCCACTGCTTTTCGACAATCAACTTGGAATGTGTGTATATTCAACTTCTTTCACACCATACATAAGCCGACCGTGCTCAACTGAGGTGCGGGGGAAAGACAACAAACTAAACAAAAAAAACCAGTTATAAAGAAATTCGTTTTGAATTTAGATTTAACAATGCATAGCTCCAGTGGCTTCCTAATATCGGAAGGAAGAGCAGTCCAGACGGCCGCAGAAGCACGTCTGAAAGCGCACGATGCAGTGACCATCTTTGTTCAATGGTTATCCAAAAGCCGCTGCGAAGATTACCGAAGTTTGTGTGATGGTTGATGCTCTTTGATGAGATCACCAACGTATTATGATTAATTTGTCGCAACCACTTTGTGTGTAATGAGTGAGACCTTATAGAATGCTCTACGACTTATTGGTGAGTACCTCTGTAAATGTCTTATATCATAGTTAAAATGTAGGCTTAGTTTTAGTCTTGAAGAGTTTTTTGTAATTAAAAAATTTGGTGAACTATAAGTATAACTCTCAAATAACCGGCACATTTGATTAACCGGCACCCTCCATTCCCCACGGATGCCGAATAACAGAACTTTTGCTGTACTTTGAATTTACGTTCTGGTTTTCAGGAACGCATCCTGGGCGTAAACATGGTATGCCTGTCAATGAGTACGAATGAGATCAGAAAGAACTGGTTCTTGCATTGAATTGTGACGATTCAGTGAATCACTGGGGTGGGGAGGGGAGGCAGCGGAACCAGTCCTTATCAGGTCATCACCAAGACTGCCACCATCACCGTGCACTGCCACCTTCATTACCTGCACCTTCAACAACACTGTCATCTGCACCCATAATTGACACCAGCGCTGGCTTGAATCTCACTGCTTTGCGATGCCCATCTTGTTGCAGGAACCCCGCTCTACGCCGCCCACTTTCGGCCTGGGCAGTACGTGGACGTCACGGCCAAAACGTGAGCGCCACTCCCCCCCTCCCCCACCCCGAGTTCTCAACCATCGGTTTATTCTCACCCTCTGATCCCCCTCCATGCTGTCACTGCCACTTAGAGGAAGACAAACCCAGAGAGCCCACACCTGCTGTATGACTGCAGGGAATTTTAAGTCTTCTTTTTCTCACCATCTATATATATAAAATCGTTCATGTCTGTCTGTCTGTGTGTGTGTGTGTGGACTTTGGCCCATACGCACTTTCATTGGACGGCGGTTGCCCCTGGCAACGGCTAGCCACGCCTTCGCCGCTTTCATTGGACCTGGCAACGGCTAGCCACGCCTTCGCCAAGGGCTGCAGTTTCATTGGACGGCGGTTGCCCCTGCCAACGGCTAGCCACGCCTTCGCCACTTTCATAAGCTCCGTATTTAATTAAATAATAGCCATTACACAGTATTGTTGGAGCGCTAGGGGGGGGGAAGGAACGCCACCCGTACCCTGCCTCTTCCAAGCCGACAATTTTAGGCGAGGCCGCAGGCTTTGCACGCTACTAGGCCTCGACACCCACCACGCCACTCTGAGGTAAATTCATCAAAGTTTTTCCTACTCTTCACTACACCCCCACCACAATGTGTGCTATTAATATTACTTTTAAACCCAACGCGCCAACAATCGATTACTTTAATGTTCACTGTACAAATACTCATTAAGCTGGGTGAGCGTACTGCCAGTCTATCATGTACACTGTAGCCTGCTTATTAAGCTCGGTGAGCGTACTGCCACTCTATCATGTACACTCTAGCCTGCTTATGAAGCTGAGTGCGTGTACTGGCAGTCTATAATGTGGACTCTTGCCTGGTTATTATAATCGATTCTTTATATGTTCTTTGTACAAACAGTCATTAAGCTGCTTGAGCGACCCCAGTTCGATTCCAACTCACGCCCACCACCGCTGACGATTATTTGAAACGGACCTGGCCCTCCCCTAGGTCCACTCAGCCTCAAAAGCGTAACTGCTGTCGTGTGTGAACATCGTCACTGGGGAGACAAAGGCGGCGGGGCATCGTGGATCCAAGTCCCGGGCGAAGCCGGGTCATGTGTATGTGTGTTTGTGTTTATGTGTATGTCTGTGTGTCTCTATGTATGTGTGTATGTATGTGTATGTATGTGTTTGTGTGTATGTGTGTCTGTATGTATGTGGGTTTTTTATGTCTTTATGTGTATGTCTGCGTGTCTCTATGTATGTGTGTATGTACGTGTGTGCATGTGTTTGTGTGTATGTATGTGTGTGTCTATGTATGTGTGTGTCTATGTATGTGTGTGTATGTGTGTGTATGTATGTGTGTTATGTGTCTGTCTGTGTCTGCATGTATGTGTGTGTGTATTGTGTATGTGTTTGTGTGCATGTATGTGTGTGTTTGTGTGTATGTGTATGTCTGTGTGTATGTGTTTGTGTGTATGTGTGTGTATGTATGTGTGTGTATGTGTTTGTATGTGTTTGTGTGTTTACGCTCGCATTACACAAATGTGTTGCTGGTCTAAGGCGTTCCTCGCACAGCATTGCCGCTTTATTATTTCAGTCGTTTACTGCCTTACGCACCCTGAAAGTCGTGTGTGTCTGCAGCAAGCGCGTGTATGTGTACCTATGGACGCGCGCGCGTGTGTTGTGTAGGGGGAACGGTAGTGTAGTGCTTAGCGTGCTGTCTGTGTCTGTGCGTGTGTGTGTCTGTCTGTGTCTGTCTGTGTGTGTCTGCGTGTGTCTGTGTGTGTGTCTGTGTGTGTGGTGTGTGGGGAGCGGTAGTGTAGTGCTTAGCGTGCTGTCTGTGTGTCTGTGTGTGTGTGTGTCTGTCTGTGTCTGTCTGTGTGTGTCTGCGTGTGTCTGTGTGTGTGTCTGTGCGTGTGTGGTGTGTGAGGAGCGGTGGGTGTAGTGCTTAACGCTACGCTGCGCTACCAACCCGGCGAACCCAGTTCCATTCCCGCTCACGGCCACCACCGGTGACGATTATTTGAACCTCCCCTAGGTCCACTCAGCCTCAAACGAGTAACTGGTGTGGCGTATTAACATCGGCACTTGGGAGACAAAGGCGGCTGGGCGTGGTAGATCCAAGTCCCGGGCGAAGCCGGGTCATGTGTATGTGTTTATGTGTATGTCTGTGTGTCTGTATGCATGTGTGTATGTATGTGTGTGTATGTGTTTGTGTGTATGTCTGTGTGTGTATGTATGTCGGTTTTGCCGCCGTGGTGGATCCAAGTCCCGGGCGAAGCCGGGTCATGTGTATGTGTTTATGTGTATGTCTGTGTGTCTGTATGCATGTGTGTATGTATGTGTGTGTATGTGTTTGTGTGTATGTCTGTGTGTGTATGTATGTCGGTTTTGCCGCCGTGGTGGATCCAAGTCCCGGGCGAAGCCGGGTCATGTGTATGTTTATATGTGTTTATGTGTATGTCTGTGTGTCTGTATGCATGTGTGTATGTATGTGTGTGCATGTGTTTGTGTGTATGTATGTGTGTGTGTATGTATGTGGGTTTTTTTGTATGTGTTTATGTGTATGTCTGCGTGCCTGTATGTATGTGTGTATGTACGTCTGTGGATGTGTTTGTGTGTATGTATGTGTGTGTCTATGTATGTGTGTGTATGTGTTTCTGTGTTTGTATGTGTGTGTATGTATGTGTGTTATGTGTCTGTCTGTGTGTCTGCATGTATGTGTGTGTGTATTGTGTATGTGTTTGTGTGTGTTTGTGTGTTTACGCTCGCATTACACAAATGTATAATGCGGGTCTAAGGCGTTCCTTACACAGCATTGCCGCTTTATTATTTCAGTCGTTTACTGCCGTATGCACCCTGAAAGTCGTGTGTGTCTGCAGCAATGGACGCGCGCGCGTGTGTTGTGTAGGGGGAACGGTAGTGTAGTGCTTAGCGTGCTGCCTGTGTCTGTGTGTGTGTGTCTGTGTGTGTGTGTCTGTGTGTGTGTCTGTGTGTGTGTCTGTGTGTGTGCGTGTGTGGTGTGTGGGGAGCGGTAGTGTAGTGGTTAGCGTGCTGTCTGTGTGTGTGTTTCTGTCTGTGTGTGTCTGCGTGTGTCTGTGTGTGTGTCTGTGTGTGTGTCTGTGCGTGTGTGGTGTGTGAGGAGCGGTGGGTGTAGTGCTTAACGCTACGCTGCGCTACCAACCCGGCAAACCCAGTTCGATTCCCGCTCACGGCCACCACCGGTGACGATTATTTGAACCTCCCCTAGGTCGACTCTGCCTCAAACGAGTAACTTAACTACTGTAGCGTATTAACATCGCCACTGGGGAGACAAAGGCGGCCGGCCGTGGTAGATACAAGTCCCGGGCGAAGCCGGGTAGTACAGCTAGTCAAATAATAAAAGTTGTGTTGTAGAGCCCGCGGCACGCAGTGTAATTATACGTATGTACATGTCTACATGAGCTTTTAATGTTTTGGGTTATGACGCTCATGAGATTAACTGGTAGAAGATGACCAGTAAAAGGTAAAGCCCTGGAATTGCTTGTTCATGCCACTGCTGGTGGAAGGGCTTCTTGAGAGAGAAAGTCCGAGACATACCATTGTGCATTGCCAAACTGGGTTGCTGGTATACATGTGTAGTGACGCAGATCGGAGACGATAATACTTGGAGGCACTTCTTTATTTCACAAGCACCATCGGGATAAATACACACCCTACGTGGGTGCACGCTATTATAATTAAGACCGTCTATTGTCGGCGGCACTGCTTAGAACAGTTGGTAGGCTGTCTAACAGCACCCCGGGATGGTGATGACGGAGACGACGACAAGGAGATAGTGACGACGAGATGGTGACGACGGTGATCTTGAACAGCACGACGGGGATTCCACTTCCAGCAACAGCCCCGAGCTCCCACTCAGGGCCCCCTCTTATACTCCCAGCGTGGCCTTGCTCCGCCCCGGCTACACCCCCCTTCTGAAACCTACTAGCGGGTTCCCGGGGCTTCCCGATAGGCCCCTTTTATAACCTTTCCCATAGATGTCCCCCTTTCATATATATCGTGGTCTGCTAATGCGAGTTCTGCTGTATACCGCAGTTACCCTTTTCCGCCAGCAGCCAGCCCTATACCCCTACACGTGTGAAGGCTGAGTGTGTGTGGGGAGTGGTGCAACAGTGGTTCCTGTGCTGCACCACGAACCCAGTGACTGGAGTTTGATTCCCACTTATAGCCAACATTAGTGACGAATAAATGAACTGGTCCTGGGCCTCCCCTAGGTTCACTCGGCCTTAAATTAATATCTGGTGTAGTGTGTAAACATCAGCACATGAGAGGGAAAAATACGGCCGGATGAGGTGCTGGCCACCTACCCCCTCGTGTGCCGTGTTGGCCTAAATAGGTGCGCGTGAACAGCACTTGCCCCAACAATCTGTTAAAGGCTACAAGGGGAATCTTTATCTACAGCATTGTAAAGGTATCCCTCGGTGTATGGATATTCGGTTTATGAAATTTTGCATAAACGAAATTGACAAATTATGGATACTTTTCGATAAACGAAATTTTATTTCTGCCTTCACGAAATTTCACTCTGGCACACCCCATGAGATTACACAAGAACCATACGGGAGGCTGCGTCGTCATCCATCCCCGACAACGTCATGGTGTCCCTGTAGTGCAATAGTAGCAACACCTCCACATCACCTCTACAGTCATTCCAACATGCAGCAGATATTTAGTTGAGTTCCCTGAAAAGGATTTTTTAATTAATTAATTATTATTTAATTGCTTTAATAATTATGTTCTTTATTATTATTTTGTATTGTGAAAAGAGATATAGGTGTATATTTTTAGGTTAGGAGTAGAGTTGGAATGACTATCTAAAACACATCCCTGATTTTTTGTATTAAAAGCCGTTTATATTCACGAAATTTCAGTTTACTTGTGTTTTTTCAGGAAGAATGCATCCCATTTGTAAATCGAGGCTTACCTGGCAACTTGAGTTCAATTCCTGAAATCAAATGGCCACGATATATAACTCTGGTGTAAATCGGTATTTGAGGCTAGCCTCGGCTGACTCGGGTTCAAATGTGTGCATTGAGGCGCTGTGACGAGGGTGGCCTGACGAGTGTGCCTCCGGCCACACCTTAAACCCCCCCCTCCCCGCACCCCCCCCCCCACCATGCTTTGCCGGCCTGAAAGCAGTGTCCCTTGCGGTCTTTGAGGCTGATGTGCGATCTGTGTGTGGCAGCATTGGTAAGGGCTTCCAGGGCGTGATGAAGCGGTGGGGCTACTCGGGGCAGCCGGCCACTCACGGGCAGACCAAGACGCACCGGCGCATGGGCGCCATCGCGGCCGCGGTGAGAGAGAACAACCCTGGCGTTCCCTAACCCCAACAACAAACACGACCATTCCTTAACGCTGACAATATCGCTAACCTTAAACCCCATAACACTAGCGCCAACGTTCTGCTTAAGCCCAGTCTGTAATGTAACCCGAGTGTTAACACGAGGTAGAATCCCTGATTTCTAAACCAAACCTCAGCCTTGATCCACATGCTAGCATCGGCTCTAACCCCAACACCACCATGAGTCTTAACTGCCCTCTCTGTCCTGTTCCGGTATTTGCGCAATATTAATTTCATACGGGACTTTCACGAAGGAACTTATTTTTCACAAAGTCTGCAGTAGATTCAGAATAGGGGACGATGTTGCTCTATGTGATCCCAATTGAGTCATTTGCAGGTAATTTGTCAAATTTGGACCGTGATGCGAGCACACAATGGCCTACTCTTTTTTAATGACATGACACGATCTTTAACAGACATCTTGCAGGCAATGCACCCACGGTATTATAAAAATCCTAATCTTTAATTGGACTGGAAGAATCCGATGAGGTATGAAGCTCTTTTTCACGGATGTCCTGTAGAGGTGGGGCATCAACATAGGAGTTCAAAGTAGAGAATGTAAGCAATTCACTCATGAACAAATAAAAATAAAGTATAGTAGAGGTTTTTTTGGGTTAGATCGCGTAAATATATAATGTGTCGTTAAAGCCCGACACCACCCGACACAGCCGACTAGTAAGGGTTGTCACGTGAACAGAACATCCACTTCGTCACTAGTCCAGCACACCGGTTTGTTGGAGAGCCAAGCCACAATATTTTAAATCTGAGTAGGACGTTTCGCTAGTAATTACAACTTGCTTCATCAGGCGACAGCCAGATTTGTGGAGAAGTCTTACTGTTTCGTTCCTTATATAGAGGCGTAGATGTGGTGACCACGCTTCTGCGCTCTTGCACTCGCGTGGGGGGTGGGGGATTACTGAGGCAACGTACATTATGCGAGCCCTTTAAACTTATCTTTCCTGTCTATTGTGTTTGTTAAAATAGCCCTACCAACGGTAATCCCTATTGAAGTAGGCATGTATTTAAATAATGTATTATTTTATTATTATTCAATACCCTTGTTATTCTGCCTTGCCCAAGCTTGCATTTAGTGTTGTCAAATCGGCAGGAAGTTACATACTTATATAATCTTGACTTAAAACTTTCGTGACTGGAGAAATTCATATTCTTTGGGTCTTTATACTCTTAGGTTTTTTCGGTAAAGTCACATAGGTAAAAATAAACAAAATAAAAATAATAGAAATAATAATAGAAATAAAATAATAAATCACGACGTTTCGGAGGCAACACAAGTCTCCGTCATCAGGTGGGACCGTCACAGCTAGATTTACTGTATCAAGTGAGGCAAAATTCCAAGAGACAAGCTCTTAAATACAAGTTAAGGAGGGGGGAGGGGCTTATCTGAATGTGGTAGCCAATGAATGGAACGTGTTGGGGGGGGGGGGGCTGAAAGAGAACAATAGGTGCACATGTTGTCGTTTTACCCAGTGTTGGTTGACAATCCAAATACAAAACGGCGAGTACTGTTAAACGCTGGGGATGTCAACACTCGGTAAAGTAGAATAGTACCTTTAAAATAAGATGGTCCAAATATGTGTAGTTAAATCTTTTTTTGTATGGTTAATAACATCTTTCCAATTATTACTCAGTTTGTACCCATCATCACGGTTGAAGTTATGTCTGTGTTTGTATATCTGCGTGGCTTCGTGTACAAACCTTTGATGGTAGCCAGAAGGTTTGCAGAGCACCTTGGTCTCGGAAAAGACAATATCATGAGAGCCCACAGCGTTGTAGCAATGATCGGCAACGGCGGAAGACTTAATTTTGCCGTGTTTCAGATCTGACTTGTGCTCGCGGACACGATCAGAGACATGACGTTTCGTTTCCCCAATGTAACAATCACCACAGCTGCAACTCAGTTTATAGACTCCAGGGTATTGCAAGTCAGGAATGACATCCTTCACAGATGGAAATAGATCACGGATTTTATGTACTGTACTGAATCGGACTCGGATCTTATGTTTGTTTAGAATTTTGGAGATATTTTTGGTCACGCCTGCTATGTATGGCAACGTGATAGTGTTGATCAGAGTTTCAAGTGGCTGTTTTTGTGAAGGATGTCATTCCTGACTTGCAATACCCTGGAGTCTATAAACTGAGTTGCAGCTGTGGTGATTGTTACATTGGGGAAACGAAACGTCATGTCTCTGATCGTGTCCGCGAGCACAAATCAGATCTGAAACACGGCAAAATTGAGTCTTCCGCCGTTGCCGATCATTGCTACAACGCTGTGGGCTCTCATGATATTGTCTTTTCCGAGACCAAGGTGCTCTGCAAACCTTCTGGCTACCATCAAAGGTTTTTACACGAAGCCATCCAGATATACAAACACAGACATAACTTCAACCGTGATGATGGGTACAAACTGAGTAATCATTGGAAAGATGTTATTAACCATACAAAAAAAGATTTAACTACACATATTTGGACCATCTTATTTTACAGGTACTATTCTACTTTACTGAGTGTTGACATCCCCAGCGTTTAACAGTACTCTCCTTTTTGTATTTGGATTGTCAACCAACACCGGGTAAAACGACAACATGTGCACCTATTGTTCTCTTTCAGCCCCCCCCCCCCCCCCAACACGTTCCATTCATTGGCTACCACATTCAGATAAGCCCCTCCCCCCTCCTTAACTTGTATTTAAAATTGTATTTAAGAGCTTGTCTCTTGGAATTTTGCCTCACTTGATACAGTAAATCTAGCTGTGACGGTCCCACCTGATGATGGAGACTTGTGTTGCCTCCGAAACGTCGTGATTTATAATTTTATTTCTATTATTATTTCTATTATTTTATTTTTACCTACATGACTTTACCGAAAAAAACCTAAGAGTATAAAGACCCAAAGAATATGAATTCCTCCAGTCACGAAAGCTTTAAGTCAAGATTATATAAGTATGCAACTTCCTGCCGATTTTACAACACTAAATGCAAGCTTGGGCAAGGCAGAATAACAACAAGAACAGTCCCAGACCACACCAAGACAACAACACACAGTCCCTCAATTAAATTGCATATTAAAATTAAACTATCGATACACAGATAAGGATCAAAGTTAGATATCAATTCGGGACAGCCCTATAGAATCGAATCACAATCCTTTACATTAAGCTGTGAATACGCTACCACGGGGCCATGTCACTAAATCTGAGTGTGCGACGTGGAAGAGGGTGACCGCGCGTCGCAGGCGTGCGCACGGACGCAGCACCAAGCCGCGCGTTCACGAGGGTGGCCGCTCATTCGCGAGGGTGGTCGAGCGTTCTCAAAAGTAGCCGCGCGTTCGAGAGGGTGGCCGCGCGTTCGAGAGGGTGGCCGCGCGTTCAAGAGGGTGGCCGCGCGTTCGAGAGGGTGGCCGCGCGTTTTGCCGCAGGGCCCCGCACGTGTGTGGCCCGGAACCAAGATGCCCGGACACATGGGGAACATCTACCGCACCGAGCATGGTCTCAAGGTAGCGCCCACGCTGCACCACGCATGCACACATGGAGGAGTGTCCACGCACGCACAAAGACAGAGATCCCCCGTGTATCCTGAACATACTTTTGGGGCAAGTGCTGTTAGTGAGCACCTATGAAGGCCGGCACGGCACACGAAGGGGGTGGGTGGCCAGAACCATGTCGGCCTCCTCTGTCTCCCTAGTGACGATGTTTAGACACTGCACCAGGTACTAATTTGAAGTTGAGTTGGCCCAGGGGAGGCCCAGGACCGGTTCATATTATCATCACTGGTGTTGGCTGTGAGCGGGAATCAATCTCGGGTTGCAGGGTTCGCTAATCGCTCCACTACCACTCCCCGCTGCACTACGACACACATGCACACATTCACAACAACCGCCATTCACCACTTTGTGGCGGTGACGTCACCATGGCGCTTGTGCCAGGCTATGTGCACATTAAAACCACGTGAAGTGTCGAACGGCCGCTGGCAGGAGGTCACAGGGCAAACCCAGGTGCTATGGGTCAACTGACTGTAATGACTGGCCGATGCACCACCTGTGCCCCCTACTGTGCCAACATTCTGCATTTTAGCCGCCCGGCACTTCGTTCATTGTTGTGAGCGTCGCTCCTCTGCCCTCCATTGTTGCTGGTGCCTCCAACTGCCCAGTAGCGTCCTTCACGAGCCTCCTGCAAAGAGGCCAATCTTGACACCGCCGGTACCAGTCATCGGCAAGTCCATTCAGTTCCACATCCTCTTGTACCACATCACTCCATCTCTTCTCTAGCCTGTGTCACGCCCGTTTAGCCCCCTTTATCCGGCTGAATTAAAGCTGTTTAGGCATGTGGTGGCTGGGCATGCGGGCTCTACATAACCCAGCCAACGCAGCCTTGCCTGCCAGAGGAGCTCACCGATGGGACTTTGTCCAGATCTTTTCAAGAATTTGTGAGCTCATACAATCCAGTCTGGTTAAACCCAGGATGGATTGTAGGCAGGCTAGCCTAAATGTTTCTAACCGGCGAAGATGGTCCACGTATTGCAAGCATAACTGCCCCATCACCAATTGGGAGTTGTGGAGGGGGAGTGTCTGATGGTACAAAATACCCAGGCAGGTGCTTAGTTTCAGTGGGGTTGATGGTAAGGCCCCGCCTCTTAGTGGCACGCTCCAGGTTCGGCAGCAGCGATTCCAACTCCTCTGAGTGAGCAGCAATCACCATCCCTTGACCGCACCTGGGCATCGATCAGCCTCCCATTATATCTGTGCCAGATGGAAATTTCTTCGGTACAGCCATCGAAAGCTTCACGAACTATGTGGTCGAAATAACACTATGTAACACAATTATTGCTCCTGGATAGTAAGTGTTATTTCGTAATTGCTGATGCCTAAAAAGTATAGAAAATGGCTATTATTGCTTTTGTGACCAGGACAGTGATATTTTGAAATTTACCTATTTTCAATGCGAAAACAGGCGAATTTGTGTCTTTTCGTTCACATAAAGTCAGGAAACAACAACATATGAATCAAAATTAACATGTATTTATACTAAAGCAATACAAAAATTACGACAAAAGATTTATAAGTGAGTTCTTTTTCGAGATTTACGATTATACTGTAAACCACTTTGACGAATCAGCTTCCAAATGTAGTCTCCCATCATGTTCTCGTTATACTGCCCTTAGTAGCGGCGTTCAAAGTCCAGTATATCCTGGTGGAAGCGCTCTCCTTGCTCCTCCGAGTACGCTCCTATGTTCTCCTTGAATTTATCAAGATGAGCATCAAGGATACGGACTTTGAGGGACATCCTACAGCCCATTGTGCCGTAGTTCTTCACCAGTTTCAACCAGCTCCACATAGTTTTCGACCTTGTGATTGCCCAGGAAGCCACGAACCACTGCGACAAAGCTGTTCCAAGCCACTTTCTCCTTACTCGTGAGCTTTTTGGGGAATTCATTGCTCTCCAGGATCTTCTTTATCTGTGGTCTGATGAAGAAACCGGCTTTGACCTTTGCCTCAGACAGCTTAGGGAAGAAGTCTTGAAGGTACTTGAAGGCTGCCCGACTCCTTATCTACAGCTCTGACAAATTGTTTCATAAGGCCCAATTTTATGTGCAGTGGTGACATCAGCACCTTCTGGGGGTCCACCAGTGGCTCCCACTTGACGTTCCTCCTCCTCACAGAGAACTCGGTCCGCTGTGGCCAGTCCCGCCTGTGGTAGTGTGCCTTAGTGTCCCTGCTGTCCCAAAAGAAAAGATAGCAGGGAAACTTGGTAAAACCGCCTTGGAGACCCATCAGGAATGCCACCATTTTGAAATCACCGATGACCTCCCACCCGTACTCATCATACTTCAAGGTGTCCAGCAAGGTCTTGATGCTGTTGTAATCCTCTTTGAGGTGCACCGAGTGAGGCAGGGGAAGAGACGGGTACTTGTTACCAGTATGGAGCAGCAAGGCTTTGAGCCTCCTGGGTGAGCTGTAAATGAAGAGGCGCCACTCATTCTGGTTACAGGCGATTCCGATTGCCTCGAACAGACTGGTCACATTGTGGCAGAAACAGAGTCCATCTTAACGGGTGAAGAAGCTGCAAAAAGGTTGGTGACGCTTCCTCTGATCTGCGACTTGCACACTTTCATCCAACAAGTTCCACTGCTTGAGCCGAGACATCAAAAGCTCGGCATTGGACTTGGTGAGACCAAGATCTCTGATCAAGTAGTTGAGGTCTTTTTTGTTGGGGTAGTATGGGTTTCTCTTCTCAGCTCCACCTCTTAAATTGTCATCTGGATCTACAACGTCTTCCTCGCTCTCTGACTTGCTGCTCTCTTCTAAAGATGGCTCTTCTCTCTCCGGAGGAGTGGGTTACAGGGAGCTCATGGCAGTGTGGCACCGGGGCGATGGATGAAAGAAGGTCCGGATATGTGATAGCAGGTGAATTCTTGCCAGTCCGACGTTTGGAAGGGTCCACCATGCAGAAGTAGCAGTTGCTTGAGTGGTCAGTGGGTTCCCGCCAAATTCTTGGGATAGCGAACTTCATGGCTCTCTTTTCTCCTCTGTACCATCCTACAAAAATACATTTATTTCACCCATCACTAATGCGTAAGAGATTCTCGCAACATTTTTCATGTACGATATATTTTTTCAATAACATTTTAAATTGTTAAACATTTTAAAATTAAAAACTTTTACAATGTAATTTTTTTGACAAATTTTATAACATAAAATTTCGAGCAACAATTGTTCATCTTACCTTCCAGAGTTTTTTTTAGCATTGCTCGCAGGTGAAATGTGGTGCCCAGGGTTTGTCTTGATCCCCGACTGGCATGCCGAAATATGCCTTGTAGGCCTCATACATCTTAGCAGATGCTTCCACAGAATACTTTTTCGCTCTTGTCTTGATAAATTGGCCGCATACATCGCAAAATGCGTCTGCCGGATGGTTGCAGCCTCTTGATGCCAGATTCATAAAAATGCAGATATGTATCCACTTAGGCAGCTAGAACTAAACTGAACTGGTGGGCTTAAGGACCCTGTATTTATACTACTATTTATATTACTGGAACGTTCTAGAATGTTCTATAAGTTACTCCAAGTTTACTCAGCACTGAATCTATCTGGAATATTCTGGAAAATAGTTAAATTTCTAAATATCACTGTCCTGGTCACAAGCAAAGTTTGTGGGGGATAATAGCCATTTTCTGTAATTTTGAGGCATAAGCAATTAGTAAATAACGCTTACTACCCAGGAACACAAAAAAAAAATGTTACACAGTGTAATGTGGGAGCCAGAGGACATTGCTGTCACACCCCAAGGAGAGAACAGGGAATGACTGCGACTTCCGACCACGTAGTTTTACCCGGGCCTGCTCGCCATCGTGAAGGTCCTTAATGATCCTGAGCAGAGAGTCAGAGACTCCGAAAGCACGAAGAATAACCCAGGGTCAATAAAGCAGAGATTTAGGTACGTTGGGAAATCTCTACACTTCTGTTGTAGCAGATGGACAGAAAATATGGCATATGCGCAGGACCGCCCTTTCCTGAAACCACATTGGGGCACTGCAAGCCTCTCCTCAGCGTGCCTAGCAAGGCGATGTTGAATAATTCTTGCCAGGACCTTTCCTGGCACACTGAGGAGGTATATGCCCCTGGAGTTGTTACAGTCAATGCAGTCCCCCTTCTTAAAGAGGGGGACCACCAGGGCACCCTTCCAATTCTGCGGAACCCATCCAGTGGTCCAGACCGTTATTATGATCTCATGTAGGGCAGTCTGCGCAGAAACGCCACCCTCCCTCAGCATTTCGCTTGGGAGATCATCTCTGCCCGGTGCCTTTCCTGGTCTGAGACTGGATTGCCTTCTGTACTTCCTCAACAAATGGCACCTCAGCCAGCCACTCACAGGGGGTGACTACTTCTTCCAATATTTGAGGCACCACAGCCTCAGCAGGGTCATCCCAACTTTGTCACATGATGTTTTTCAGGCTGAAGGATTTCCCTTCCCCCACGACCTCACAAAAATGCTCAGCAAATCTGAAAACCTGTTCCTGGGGGTTGGAGATCGAATTACCTTTCCTTCCCCGAATGATGGTGATAGGTATGGCGCTGCAAGTTACTTTTTTGATGGAGTTAAGGAGTGATTTCTGATCTAGGGCTACTGAGGCAGACTCCATCTCCTAAGCAACCAGCGACCACCACCCATCCTTGCAGCACTTCACGGCTCTCCGAACCTCTGAGCGAAAGCTGTGGTAAGCCTCCTCGTTCTCTGATGTGGGATACTGTAGACGGTGAGAGTGGGCCTCTCGCTTTTTCTCAGCCAGCCTGTCAACCAGGGTCTCTGGGGAGGTTTGGACCGTGTACCCAAAGGAGCCATTTCAGCTGCATGAGCTACAGCCCTGAACCTCGCCCATTTCCCCTCGGCATCACAGGAGTGGAGGACGATGCGCCAAGCCCAGCTGCAAGCGATGAAATTCTCGCTTGCAACTTTCATCAGCTAGCTGAGACCAGGCTACTGTGGGTTTGAATGGGGTCCTGGGTGTACACCCTCCACGAGTGGAACAATGGAAGACATTTTACAGATGACACATTAACACACTAGCATCCACACAAACATATGCAGCAGTATCTATACACACTCGTATATGCCAACCACACACTTATGCACACGCACGTATGCATGCAGACTCGTTTGTACACTATCCAGACACAGTTAAGAACCAAAAATAAATAACAAAAAATGAACTCTATTAATTAGATAGCTCATGGAGGTTGATTGCCGTGTGGGTGGTTTGATTGACCGGTGCCGGCTTGTGTGTGCATTGATGCGCAGGTGTGGAGGGTGAACACCAAGTACAACGTACTGTACGTGCACGGCTCCATCCCGGGCCACAAAAACTGTTTGGTCAAGGTGAGTCCTGCAGTTTCCTCCACTTGCAATGACTTCCTTACCGGTGTACCTAGTCATTTGGATATTGGCTGTCTGTGGTATAGGTGGTAGGGATGTATAAACATCGCCATTAGGGAGACAAAGGGCCATTAGGGAGACAAAGGGTGTGGTGCTGGCCACCCACCCCCTTGGGTGCCATGCCAGCCTTCATCAGTGCTCGCTAACAGCACTTGTGCGTACCTATACGCGCATGCCTATACGCGCGTGCTTGTGTTTGTCACAGGTGCGGGACACCATCCTGCCCAATCGCTTGAAGTTCAACGAGAACCCGCCCTTCCCCACCTACTTCGCTGATGGCGAGGAGGAGTTGCCTGAGGAGTTGTTTGACGAGGAGCTCTTCAATTTTGACCAGCCGTCCATCACCTTCTGAGAGCCCGAGCCCCGTTCTGCCCACACACAGCTACTATAGACACACACCAACTCAACACACACACACAGCTACTACAACAACAACAAACACCATTCGCCACTAAGTGGCGGTGATGTCACCACGACGCTTGTGCCAGGCTATGTGCACCTTGAGGCCACGTGAAGTGTCGAATGCCTGCTGGCAGGAGGTCACGGGGCAGACCCAGATGCCACAGGTCGACTGACTGAGACGACTGGCTGACGCAGCTACTACACACACACAAACAGCTACTACAGACACACGCAAAAAAGACAAAGATCCCCCGTATAACCTTAACAGACTGTTGGGGCAAGTGCCGTTAGCGAGAACCTATGAAGGCCGGCACGGCACACAAAGGGGGTGGGTGGCCAGCATCACACCTGGCCACCGTTGTCTCCCGAGTAGCGATATTTAAATGTCACACTAGCTACTCATTTGAGGCTGAGTTGACCTAAGGGAGGTCCAGGGCCGATTCAGATAATGTCACTGGTGTTGGCCGTGAGCGGGAATCGAACTGGGGTCACTGGGTTTGTAGTGCAGCACGCTAACCACTACCCTACCACTTCCCACTGCAGACACCCACACACACAGCCATCTGTCTCTTTCTCAGCCTCCGAGCCCTGGCCTAGGTGCACACACACACTATCCTGGCCTAGGTGCGCACACACACACACTATCCTGGCCTAGGTGTACACACACACACTATCCTGGCCTAGGTGCGCACACACACACACTATCCTGGCCTAGGTGCGCACACACACACACTATCCTGGCCTAGGTGCACACACACACACTATCCTGGCCTAGGTGCGCACACACACACTATCCTGGTCTAGGTGCACACGCACACACACACTATCCTGGCCTAGGTGCGCACACACACACACTATCCTGGCCTAGGTGTACACACACACACTATCCTGGCCTAGGTGCGCACACACACACACTATCCTGGCCTAGGTGCGCACACACACACACTATCCTGGCCTAGGTGCGCACACACACACTATCCTGGCCTAGGTGCGCACACACACACACTATCCTGGCCTAGGTGCGCACACACACACACTATCCTGGCCTAGGTGCGCACACACACTATCCTGGCCTAGGTGCGCACACACACACACACTATCCTGGCCTAGGTGCGCACACACACACACTATCCTGGCCTAGGTGCGCACACACACACTATCCTGGCCTAGGTGTACACACACACACTATCCTGGCCTAGGTGTACACACACACACACTATCCTGGCCTAGGTGCACACACACACACACTATCCTGGCCTAGGTGCGCACACACACACACTATCCTGGCCTAGGTGTACACACACACACTATCCTGGCCTAGGTGCACACACACTATCCTGGCCTAGGTGCACACACACACACTATCCTGGCCTAGGTGTACACACACACACTATCCTGGCCTAGGTGTACACACACACACTATCCTGGCCTAGGTGCACACACACACACTATCCTGGCTTAGGTGCACACACACACACTATCCTGGCCTAGGTGCACACACACACACACTATCCTGGCCTAGGTGCACACACACACACATTATCCTGGCCTAGATGCACACACACACTATCCTGGCCTAGATGCACACACACACACTATCCTGGCCTAGGTGCACACACACACACACTATCCTGGTCTAGGTGCACACACACACACTATCCTGGCCTAGGTGCGCACACACACACACTATCCTGGCCTAGATGCGCACACACACACTATCCTGGCCTAGGTGCGCACACACACACTATCCTGGCCTAGGTGCGCACACACACACACTATCCTGGCCTAGGTGCGCACACACACACTATCCTGGCCTAGGTGTACACACACACACTATCCTGGCCTAGGTGTACACACACACACACTATCCTGGCCTAGGTGCACACACACACACACTATCCTGGCCTAGGTGCGCACACACACACACTATCCTGGCCTAGGTGTACACACACACACTATCCTGGCCTAGGTGCACACACACTATCCTGGCCTAGGTGCACACACACACACTATCCTGGCCTAGGTGTACACACACACACTATCCTGGCCTAGGTGTACACACACACACTATCCTGGCCTAGGTGCACACACACACACTATCCTGGCTTAGGTGCACACACACACACTATCCTGGCCTAGGTGCACACACACACACACTATCCTGGCCTAGGTGCACACACACACACATTATCCTGGCCTAGATGCACACACACACTATCCTGGCCTAGATGCACACACACACACTATCCTGGCCTAGGTGCACACACACACACACTATCCTGGTCTAGGTGCACACACACACACTATCCTGGCCTAGGTGCGCACACACACACACTATCCTGGCCTAGATGCGCACACACACACTATCCCTGGCCTAGGTGCGCACACACACACTATCCTGGCCTAGATGCGCACACACACACTATCCTGGCCTAGGTGCGCACACACACACTATCATGGCCTAGGTGTGCACACACACACACACACTATCATGGCCTAGGTGTACACACACACACTATCCTGGCCTAGATGCGCACACACACACTATCCTGGCCTAGGTGCGCACACACACACTATCCTGGCCTAGGTGCGCACACACACACACTATCCTGGCCTAGGTGCGCACACACACTATCCTGGCCTAGGTGCACACACACACACTATCCTGGCCTAGGTGCGCACACACACACACTATCCTGGCCTAGGTGCACACACACACACACACACTATCCTCGCCTAGGTGCACACACACACACACTATCCTGGCCTAGGTGCACACACACACACACTATCCTGGCCTAGGTGCGCACACACACACATACTATCATGGCCTAGGTGCGCACACACACACACTCTCCTGGCCTAGGTGCACACACACACACTATCCTGGCCTAGGTGCGCACACACACACACTATCCTGGCCTAGGTGCGCACACACACACATACTATCCTGGCCTAGGTGCGCACACACACACACTCTCCTGGCCTAGGTGCACACACACACTATCCTGGCCTAGGTGCGCACACACACACTATCCTGGCCTAGGTGCGCACACACACACTATCCTGGCCTAGGTGCGCGCACACACACAATCCTGGCCTAGGTGTACACACACACACTATCCTGGCCTAGGTGCACACACACACACACTATCCTGGCCTAGGTGCGCACACACACACACACACTATCCTGGCCTAGGTGCGCACACACACACACTATCCTGGCCTAGGTGCGCACACACACACACTATCCTGGCCTAGGTGCACACACACACACACACTATCCTGGCCTAGGTGCGCACACACACACTATCCTGGCCTAGGTGCGCACACACACACTATCCTGGCCTAGGTGTACACACACACACTATCCTGGCCTAGGTGTACACACACACTATCCTGGCCTAGGTGCGCACACACACACACTATCCTGGCCTAGGTGCACACACACACACACTATCCTGGCCTAGGTGTACACACACACACTATCCTGGCCTAGGTGCACACACACACACACACTATCCTGGCCTAGGTGCACACACACACACACTATCCTGGCCTAGGTGCACACACACACACACTATCCTGGCCGAGGTGCGCACACACACACACACTATCCTGGCCTAGGTGCACACACACACACTATTCTGGCCTAGGTGCACACACACACTATCCTGGCCTAGGTGCACACACACACACTATCCTGGCCTAGGTGCACACACACACTATCCTGGCCTAGGTGCACACACACACACTATCCTGGCCTAGGTGCACACACACACTATCCTGGCCTAGGTGCACACACACACTATCCTGGCCTAGGTGCGCACACACACACTATCCTGGCCTAGGTGCGCACACACACACTATCCTGGCCTAGGTGCACACACACACACACTATCCTGGCCTAGGTGCACACACACACTATCCTGGCCGAGGTGCGCACACACACACACACACACTATCCTGGCCTAGGTGCACACACACACACACACTATTCTGGCCTAGGTGCACACACACACTATCCTGGCCTAGGTGCACACACACACACACTATCCTGGCCTAGGTGCACACACACACTATCCTGGCCTAGGTGCACACACACACACTATCCTGGCCTAGGTGCACACACACACTATCCTGGCCTAGGTGCACACACACACTATCCTGGCCTAGGTGTACACACACACACACACTATCCTGGCCTAGGTGCACACACACACACTCTCCTGGCCTAGGTGCACACACACACACACTATCCTGGCCTAGGTGCACACACACACTATCCTGGCCGAGGTGCGCACACACACACACACACACTATCCTGGCCTAGGTGCACACACACACACACACTATTCTGGCCTAGGTGCACACACACACTATCCTGGCCTAGGTGCACACACACACACTATCCTGGCCTAGGTGCACACACACACTATCCTGGCCTAGGTGCACACACACACACTATCCTGGCCTAGGTGCACACACACACTATCCTGGCCTAGGTGCACACACACACTATCCTGGCCTAGGTGCACACACACACTATCCTGGCCTAGGTGTACACACACACTATCCTGGCCTAGGTGCGCACACACACACACTATCCTGGCCTAGGTGCACACACACACACACACTATCCTGGCCTAGGTGCACACACACACACACTATCCTGGCCGAGGTGCGCACACACACACACACACTATCCTGGCCTAGGTGCACACACACACACTATCCTGGCCTAGGTGCACACACACACACTATCCTGGCCTAGGTGTACACACACACACTCTCCTGGCCTAGGTGCACACACACACTATCCTGGCCTAGGTGCACACACACACTATCCTGGCCTAGGTGCACACACACACTATCCTGGCCTAGGTGCACACACACATTATCCTGGCCTAGGTGCACACACACACACACTATCCTGGCCTAGGTGCGCACACACACACACTATCCTGGCCTAGGTGCGCACACACACACACAATCCTGGCCTAGGTGCACACACACACTATCCTGGCCTAGGTGCGCACACACACACACTATCCTGGCCTAGGTGCACACACACACTATCCTGGCCTAGGTGCACACACACACACTATCCTGGCCTAGGTGTACACACACACTATCCTGGCCTAGGTGCGCACACACACACACTATCCTGGCCTAGGTGCACAGACACACACACACTATCCTGGCCTAGGTGTACACACACACACACACTATCCTGGCCTAGGTGCACACACACACACTATCCTGGCATAGGTGCACACACACACACACTATCCTGGCCTAGGTGCACACACACACTATCCTGGCCGAGGTGCGCACACACACACACACACTATCCTGGCCTAGGTGCACACACACACACACTATTCTGGCCTAGGTGCACACACACACTATCCTGGCCTAGGTGCACACACACACACTATCCTGGCCTAGGTGCACACACACACTATCCTGGCCTAGGTGCACACACACACACTATCCTGGCCTAGGTGCACACACACACTATCCTGGCCTAGGTGCACACACACACTATCCTGGCCTAGGTGCACACACACACACACTATCCTGGCCTAGGTGCGCACACACACACACTATCCTGGCCTAGGTGCGCACACACACACTATCCTGGCCTAGGTGTACACACACACTATCCTGGCCTAGGTGCGCACACACACACACTATCCTGGCCTAGGTGCACACACACACACACTATCCTGGCCTAGGTGCACACACACACACTATCCTGGCCGAGGTGCGCACACACACACACTATCCTGGCCTAGGTGCACACACACACACTATCCTGGCCTAGGTGCACACACACACACTATCCTGGCCTAGGTGCACACACACACACACACTATCCTGGCCTAGGTGCACACACACACTATCCTGGCCTAGGTGCACACACACACTATCCTGGCCTAGGTGCACACACACACTATCCTGGCCTAGGTGCACACACACACACTATCCTGGCCTAGGTGTACACACACACACTATCCTGGCCTAGGTGCACACACACACTATCCTGGCCTAGGTGCACACACACACTATCCTGGCCTAGGTGCACACACACACTATCCTGGCCTAGGTGCACACACACACTATCCTGGCCTAGGTGCACACACACATTATCCTGGCCTAGGTGCACACACACACACACTATCCTGGCCTAGGTGCGCACACACACACACTATCCTGGCCTAGGTGCGCACACACACACACTATCCTGGCCTAGGTGCACACACACACTATCCTGGCCTAGGTGCGCACACACACACACTATCCTGGCCTAGGTGCACACACACACTATCCTGGCCTAGGTGCACACACACACACTATCCTGGCCTAGGTGTACACACACACTATCCTGGCCTAGGTGCGCACACACACACACTATCCTGGCCTAGGTGCACACACACACACACACACTATCCTGGCCTAGGTGCACACACACACTATCCTGGCCTAGGTGCACACACACACACTATCCTGGCCTAGGTGCACACACACACACACTATCCTGGCCTAGGTGCACACACACACTATCCTGGCCGAGGTGCGCACACACACACACACACACTATCCTGGCCTAGGTGCACACACACACACTATTCTGGCCTAGGTGCACACACACACTATCCTGGCCTAGGTGCACACACACACACTATCCTGGCCTAGGTGCACACACACACTATCCTGGCCTAGGTGCACACACACACACTATCCTGGCCTAGGTGCACACACACACTATCCTGGCCTAGGTGCGCACACACACACACACTATCCTGGCCTAGGTGCACACACACACACACTATCCTGGCCTAGGTGCACACACACACACTATCCTGGCCTAGGTGCACACACACACATACACACTATTCTGGCCTAGGTGCACACACACACTATCCTGGCCTAGGTGCACACACACACACACTATCCTGGCCTAGGTGCACACACACACTATCCTGGCCTAGGTGCACACACACCACTATCCTGGCCTAGGTGCACACACACACTATCCTGGCCTAGGTGCACACACACACTATCCTGGCCTAGGTGCCACACACACACTATCCTGGCCTAGGTGCGCACACACACACTATCCTGGCCTAGGTGCACACACACACTATCCTGGCCTAGGTGCGCACACACACACTATCCTGGCCTAGGTGCGCACACACACACTATCCTGGCCTAGGTGCACACACACACTATCCTGGCCTAGGTGCACACACACACTATCCTGGCCTAGGTGCACACACACACTATCCTGGCCTAGGTGCACACACACACACACTATCCTGGCCTAGGTGCACACACACACTATCCTGGCCTAGGTGCACACACACACTATCCTGGCCTAGGTGCACACACACACACTATCCTGGCCTAGGTGTACACACACACACTATCCTGGCCTAGGTGCACACACACACTATCCTGGCCTAGGTGCACACACACACTCTCCTGGCCTAGGTGCGCACACACACACACTATCCTGGCCTAGGTGCGCACACACACACACTATCTGGCCTAGGTGCACACACACACTATCCTGGCCTAGGTGCGCACACACACACTATCCTGGCCTAGGTGCACACACACACTATCCTGGCCTAGGTGCGCACACACACACACTATCCTGGCCTAGGTGCGCACACACACACACTATCCTGGCCTAGGTGCGCACACACACACACTATCCTGGCCTAGGTGCGCACACACACTATCCTGGCCTAGGTGCGCACACACACACACTGTCCTGGCCTAGGTGCACACACACACACTATCCTGGCCTAGGTGCACACACACACTATCCTGGCCTAGGTGCGCACACACACACTATCCTGGCCTAGTATAAGGCTGTGTCGACCTAGGGGAGGCCCAGAACCGGTTCAAATATTTTGGTCGTGAGCAGGAATTGAACTCGGGTTGCCGGGTTCGTAAGAACACACAGCCCCACCGTCGCCCCCCGCCTTGGCAGACCAAGCAAAGGCTTCACTGTTGTATTCGGCATGCAGTCGTGCATCAAGATATCCATTTGTATGCTCAATACATTCTCGGAATTGTGTGAGAATCTATTTTTTATTTGTATAATCAAATGTAAATGTTAACATTGAGGTTAATGGCGCGAGTCCAACTACCTCAGGAGAGAGAACAATTGAGAAATGGTCCGCGACGTAAAACAAAGCAGAATGGTGCGTTGAACTTATTTCGCACCGTATGTAGCCAACCGTGCTAATCGGGAGATGCGGGTGAAGGACAACAAACTAAACACAAAAAATCAGTTCGAAAGAAATTAGTTTTCAATTTAAATTTACAAGTGCATAGCTCGCACTGCTTCCTAATATCAGAGAAATAATCTTTAGACCTGATGGTTTAAATGCGCTATGCCCAGTATGTCCAGAGTGTTCCAGACGGCCGCAGACGCGCATCTGAGAGCACGACTGCGAATTGTGACAGTTCACCGAATGGAGGCGGCGTTCATTCTGGACGCGCCCGCGTTCTGCTGTCAGCCTGCGCGTTCTTCCCCGTTTGGGGCAAGTGAATGCCGACGAGAGATGAAAGCGAATGGAAGCCCCCTTGAGCCCGCCACGCTGCCGCCACTAGAGGGCGCCTTCGTGTCGAGTGGCCAGAGGGCGCCCTTGAGACGTCTCTCGCCGCGTCCCGGGTTTGTCCGTTGAGGGACTGTGGAGCGCCACACAAAGCGGACACGCACGGAGGCAGATAACTAAAAATGGAAGTTGGTAAATGGCAAAAAACACTTAAAATTAAAAGGCACCGCTGGGATTCGAACCCAGGATCTCCTGTTTACTAGACAGGCGCTTTAACCATCTAAGCCACGGCGCCGCCCCGTGGAAGGCAGCTCAAATTGTGATTAAGTCTCGCTTAGGTGATCCCGAGTTTTTGGACATCCACGGCGCTGGTAATCCACGCCGTGCAAGTCGCGGGGATATTTTCGTTTTGACCATACTTCACCACGCTGGTCAGCGCCTGTTGGCGGAAGGTGGGGAGCATAGACGCTGGAGCAGAGTGCAGGACGATGTTAGACCGCCCTCTGCCGACCGTGGCTCTGACAGCGCGCGTCCAGCCAGTCTGTCCATAACAAACATTCTATGGCGTGATACGTGTTGCTACATTGTTTTACATGTTAAAAAAAACCGATTAGATTTAATACACTTGTTTAATATATCCCCAAGTATCGTCCACACACGTGTCTGTGGAGTTGCTGAATGTCGGATTTACACAGCCGAGTCTATACAAAGGGAGATCTTTAACAGACCTCAAACTCCTCACTCGTCTCTTAAAATAAAACAATGCTCTCCTGCTTATCTGCTTTGACAGCCAAGAGCTAATGGTGCCGATTTCACATTTTAATGGCAGGGACAAGTCAAACCATTGGTGACCTTTTCAAACATCCAGAAAAAAGCTGACTGATTGAGGGGACAGCGTCACGACTAAACTCAGTGGGGAGAATTCTGATGAATCTTCTTTCGTACGCTGCTGACGTAGATGCAGAGCAAAAACTACATATTTCACATTCATGTGGTCAAACCTAGATAACCGTGTCAGGAGTAGCAGAATGTGGCGTCAATTTACAATGTCTTTTGCACTCTCGTGTGTGCATACCAGACTAAATATAGGGTCAGACATCAAGGACAGAATCATGTGCAACAAATGAGTCCTATAACTTTCAATTTATTGAAAATATAGCTCCTTAAAAGTTACCACATACCTATGAACAGAAATTATACATTAAAAAGAGACCAAGGCAATACGGTTGCAACTATAGACCAAAGAGTTTGAATTAAAAACAAACACAAATAGACATTCAGTACGAGTTTTGCTCGTCTAAAGTGACAATTCTGCAAATTCTAACAGGAGAAAGGAAAACTACAACCGAGAGATTCAATCCATACATTCAGACTCCAAACAGTGCCAACTCAGAGCTCGAGGGAGATGCTCACGTTGGCACCGTTTGGCAACAGTGACGTGCAAAAGGGGGGCATCAAGATTCATGTGAAATGTGCTTTCATAACTGTTCACTTGTTAGTGACCATGAGAAACAGATGTCGTTTCAATGAAGTGCAAACCGATCTCTTGATAAGACCTCGATTTACCCATCAGATTATTTTGCGCCAGACACATACATGACCCCAATAGCGACGCAAACGCGACCATAAGAAAAATAAACAAGGCATGTGTGGTAAAACATAGTATAACTAACAGTACAAATGTTCAGCATCCAAGGTTTCCTACTGTGACGAGAGACAATATTATAAGTCACGGTGGATCGTGCTGCCCGGTGACAAGTCCTGGGCATCTAAATGGACCGCACGATCCACAAGTCGTGAACAACACCACCACCAAGGAACCGCCACCCTCTCACATGGCAACCACTGCCCGCCCAGCAGAGGCGCTTATGCTCTGGGAGAAAAACTAGATACACATTTCCAGTTCTACAACCATTAAATCAAAACTACACTAGCCAATGACATCGATGTTCACATACTTTAACACAAGCCAGAGAAAAAAGCTTGGACCACCTGAGGTGTCAACACTTTAGCAGTGCCAATATCCTTTCTTGGGATGGTCTTCATAGGGTGACTATCCGAACATCAGGCAGCAAATAAGCATGTCAAGATTTATTAACTAAAATATATTCTTACGCTCACAAAAAATGATTTTACATTGGCTAATGGTACGTCAGACAGAACAAGGTAATATAATGACATTGCAAATACGGTGCAAGCAATCATTAAAATATTCCTGAATACAAAGTTTTTGTAACAAATTGGTGGAGGTAGGTGAATTGTTCTATGCCTGGCGGCTATAGACCTTTCCAAAAACCCACAATTAACATTTATTTGCAACCTCAAGCGGTTGGGACCAACTCGTGAAATATCTGCCTTGGGATTATGATTTGAGACCATATATCCACTAAACGCCAGTTATGATTTCAAAACCCTTCCAATCGCCAGGGCCGTGGAAGGTAAGTCGTGGGCTCGGTCTGCACTGGGAGTGCACTCCAGTGCACAATGCGTGCTCGCGAGCCGTGGTGGTGATGCAGAGGAAAGTTTATCAACCCATGGCACCTGGGTCTGTCCCGTGACCTACCAGGGGGCGTTCGACACTTAACGTGGCCCTCAGTGCACATAGCCTGGCATAAGCGTCGTGGGACGTCACCACCACTTCGTGGCAAATGGCGGTTGTCGTCGTTGGTGGCGATGCAGAGGAAAGTTCCGCGAGGTCTGGCGCTCAGGAGTGTTGTTGAAGACAGTACAGGCTTAATACAAGTCCGTCTTTATAGCCGATATATTTTTGTTACCATTGCTTATTGAGTTGAGTACAATTCACGACTCAAATAAGCACGTTTATACGGTACAATCATTTTATCAACTGAATTTTAAAACAAGGCACATTGATTAGTTGAATCTACATCTACGTTCCAGGGTTAAGACCAATGTTAAAATATTTATTTCCATTAAATGCAAGATATAATTTATATAAAAATCAATTATTTGCATGAAAATACACGTGAAAGCAGTTGTTACCTACTCCAAATATACCACGATGAACCGTTGATAATAATCAGTCTTGAATTTCACGAGCATGTAAATATGAAAGGTCTCTAGCGATTAGTTAATTCCTACACACACTAAAACATCTTCAAACAATACTGGCCAAGTATTCCGCAGCAATTGGTGGAACTACCACATCGCTTTGCTGGCAGCATTCTCTCCATAGCACAACAGCTCGCTTCCCTGGCACTCACTGGTCATGGTACTCCTTGGATTGACCATGGATGCTTGAAAGTGCTGGATCAGGACCTTTAAAGACGTTCACAAACATATGACTGGTCTTGTTTAAGTGAAGATTGCTTTCTCATCTCTCGTCTCCTATACAGGTGTAGTAGCTTTCACGACTCTTGGACACCGGAGTTGGAGGCACACGGGTTTATTTGACACAGCACGTTCGTGGCATACAGCACTGGAGGGGGTATTGGCCCCCTCACCCGACTAGCTGAGGATACACGTCCTAGCTACTCCTAGCCTGCCTCTTAGTCCTCCACTAATGGGCTAGGGGAGGCTATCTGGCCCGACACTGGTAAGTCGGGCCCGGTACCCGGAGTCCCAGACCAGCTCTTACAAGAGCACCGGCTCTGGCTTTCGGGACCACGGCCGCTGGCTCTGTCTTGTTCGGCCCTGATAAGGACAGCGAACCAGGGGAGTCCAGGGCTCTATCTAAGACGTCTTCAGTCTTCTCTGGTTAGCTTTTAACATAACTGCCGAGCCCTTTGATACATCCCCTTTTATACCCAACCCCTCGCTGAGGGGTGGGGCCCCGGGGGATCATAACGTTCGAACCAGCCCCCCCCCAGGGTGCCTGGCTCGGACGTCGTAGAGGGCACCTCCCCGTGCACTTACGTAGCCCCGCCCACTGTGTTTGTTTGCCATAGGCTGCCATGCATAACGGGCTCTCTCTCTAACACCCCTACACAGGGGACAAACATCTACGGAGGTGTTAAGAGAAGGGAATAGGGTGCCTGCACATGAAATGGCAGTTCTACTCAACAAAAGGAAATATAATTTGAAGAACATTTTCAGGAAACCTCTCCCGAGTCTTAAGAATAATTCTCACGAGGGTCCTGCGTGTGATGCGAGAGCCACTTTATTCTCATTTGCTGGAGGAAACTTGAATTCCACTCAAACTGTGTTACACGGATGGCATGTCAGGAACCCTACTTGGTGTACTGCCTCCTGCAGGCACCCCCTCAACCGGTGTCACAAAAAGTTTCTGTGTTCCACCAACTTGACCGTTCAGTGGCCTGAGCGCTCACATTCATGGCCGCTGTGTCGATTTAATCAAAATATTTGCACCTCCGATTAGCATGGTTGGCTGCGTATGGTGAAAAATAAATTCAACATACATACAACGCACACGGCCATGGCTGCCCAGGGTATCATGCTCACAAACCCCAATAGCTGTCGTTTAAATGGCCTCCATTTGGAGCTGCTGACTGGACTGGTTGTGCGCAAGACTGAAGAATTAAAAGGCAAGACATTGCTCATAAAGTGCTGGGTGATGAGAGTTTGGCAGCTCACTGGGCCCAAGCTACACTAACTCGCGTCGTGTGCACATTACCTGCCCTTGTTTTCTCAGTCTAACCACCAGGTCGTGTCTGTACACCGACAATAGCGAATCAAAAGGTGAAAAAAATTAAGCATTAAGGTTGACGTGAGCATCAGGTGTAGTGCTACGCTCCCAAGCCGTGTGACCTACCCCTGTAGTCGTTACGCTTTCACATTTGGAATCCTCATTTTTGGCGTTCACAATGAACTTTGGCCAATGCTGTGGTGCGTCCATTAAGTTACCGTAAAGGACCAAATGCGGCATCTGGCCCTTTTAACTGTCCAAAGGTAACACAGCTGTCAACATGGACCAACTACAGCAGGAGATACACAAACCTTATCAATGCATTACACCTCATCTTGGACAGTATTGCTGTATTCAAGTGTGGTAATAACGTTCATTGCAAAGGCAAGTATGTATGGCATGTGAAGGTAACATCCTAGGAACTGGCTTGCAAGTGAATCATTCAAAAGCTTCGCACCAGGTATCGTCTGCTAAAGGTGGGGCCAATTTTGTTGCTATGACTAGGCAGCTGCTTTAGCACTACAGATATGTGCACCGAGTATTGCGTTTACATTTTAAAAGGCAGTACGTAGTGTTTAGTGAATTGCTGCTTGCATGCAGAATCCTTCTATATACTTAGTGTTATCACTACTTACTCATCTTCGTCCCCTATGGGACATTAGGCTACAATGTGTTAGCACTACGAGGTGCGCTATTTCAGTGGCTCAAGTTTGAGGAGCCACTGCAGCCGTAACATTGCCAAAAGTACATATTATAACAGCAGCTAAATTCAGTACATGAGTATAAAGTGTTGCACACTGCACATGCAGCAATTAGGAGTATTGAGTAACTCAGATTCTGAAACCGTCATCTAAAAACGGAAAAACTGGCCATGCAAAATACCAAGCCGGTAACCATAGCTTTCCACATAGCGAATTCTCCCTGTGAAGTTTGTATGCTTGGCGGAAAATAACAGCACGGTGGCAATATCAGCCACAACCTAGGCAGTTGCTGCTCAACAGGTCAGCTTGAACACAGCTCTAACGAGCACAAAAGTGACCAGCGCTGACCTCACAAAAGCTCAAATCAAAGAAGAGCGGGAGTGTGTTCATGTACGAGAAGGCACATGGAGACAGGAGTCGTAGAAGGGAGACTAACCGTGGAGTGAGTGTAGCTGGAACTTCCTTCTCCCCCATCCATCTGTGCTATCCACTACCTGCCACTGCTCAAGTCCACGCTCAAAACCTTCATATTTCCTCTGCTCTTAGACCGACTGCGCCTCGCTCTACAAAAAAAGTATTCCCACTATTCTTGTTAAGCGTATTGAGATGTGGTCGCATTTAGAAGTTGTATAAAGCCAGTATATTGTAACTGTGAACATGCGAGACGTGCGAATGCATAGGAGTGCGAGCAGCTTTTGGGGACCCTTAGGGCTTGCAAGAGCTCCGTGGCTGCCAGGTGCGCAGGTCAAGCAGCACCTGGTTCACTTTGTTCATCCACAAGTCGCGCTCCTCCTTTGTGTCGGCCGACAACCAGTACCTGCCGACGAGGGCAAGAGCACAGGAAAGCATTTCTCATGGTGCCAAGCCGGGGGAACACAGACCATTGGGAGACATCACACACATTGGCTGGACACCACACAACATACAAAATAGATTTTACTTCAAGATAAAAAAAAAAAATTCCGGTGGGCCACAAATAAAATAGCGAGTGTCGGCGGGGCACGTGACGTCATATGTCACATGTACAGACGTATGTATGTAGAACTGTTTCGTATCAAACGTAGCCAACCATGTTAATCGGAGGTGCGGGACAGAGGTCATAACATGACATGACAATCTGCGCAAGCGCTAGCTCGGCGGACATTCGCAGGACCAAATTTGGCCACCAGTTCAAGAATTCTGAATTACGAAACAATCACCGGAGACTACACGACACTCACCAGAGATCACATGGCCTGCACCAGAGCACACGGGACACTCACCGGGAGACCAGCAGCGCGTCCTTCCGTTTGCGCACGAGCGTCTGGCAGTCATGTGGGCGTGCTGCGCGCGCCGTCCTCAGCTCCAGCGTGTTGGGGCGTGCGCACGCCTCGCGGCTCGCCGGCCCCACGCGAGGCTCCTCCACCTCCGCCAGCCCGACCTGACCCAGCGCCTCCTGGCGCACACGGGGGGAGCGGCAGAGCGGTGCCGGGAAAATGTGATTGGGTTCGTGTGGCCAAATATCCATAATAGGTTTGCTCACTTACAGATTCGTACTGTGAATTCAAATATGGCCGTGTGTTTTGGGTCATTGTCATGCTAGAATACCCATCCACGACCCATTTTCAATTCCCTGGCTGAGGGAAGGAGGTTCTCACCCAAGATTTGACGGTACATGGCCCCGTCCATCGTCCCTTTGATGCGGTGAAGTTGTCCTGTCCCCTTAGCAGAAAAACGCCCCCAAAACATAATGTTTCCACCTCAATGTTTGACGGTGGGGACGGTGTTCTTGGGGTCATAGGCAGCATTCCTCCAAACACGGCGAGTTGAGTCGATGCCAAAGAGCTCCATTTTGGTCTCATCTGACCACAACACTTTCACCCAGTTGTCCTCTGAATCATTCAGATGTTTATTGGCAAACTTCAGACGGGCATGTATATGTGCTTTCTTGAGCAGGGGGACCTTGCAGGTGCTGCAGGATTTCAGTCCTTCATGGCGTAGTGTGTTACCAACTGTTTTCTTGGTGACTATGGTCCCAGCTGCCTTGAGATCATTGAGAAGATCCTCCCGTGTAGTTCTGGCCTGATTCCTCACCGTTCTCATGATCTTTGCAACTCCACGAGGTGAGATCTTGCATGGAGCCCCAGGCCGAGGGAGATTGACAGTTCTTTTGCGTTTCTTCCAATTGCGAATAATCGCACCAACTGTTGTCACCTTCTCACCAAGCTGCTTGGCGATGGTCTTGAAGCCCATTCCAGCCTTGTGTAGGTCTACAATCTTGTCCCTGACATCTTTGGTCTTGGCCATTGTGGAGAGTTTGGAATCGGATTGATTGATTGCTTCTGTGAACAGGTGTCTTTTATACAGGTAACAAGCTGAGATTAGGATCACTCCCTTTAAGAGTGTGCTCCTAATCTCAGCTCGTTACCTGTATAAAAGACACCTGGGAGCCAGAAATCTTTCTGATTGAGAGGGGGTCAAATACTTATTTCTCTCATTAAAATGCAATTCAATGTATAACATTTTTGACATGCGTTTTTCTGGATTTTGTTGTTGATATTCTGTCTCTCACTGTTCAAATAAACCTACCATTCAAATTATTCTTTGTCAGTGGGAAAACGTACAAAACCAGCAGGGGATCAAATACTGTTTTCCCTCACTGTATGCATTTACAGCCCATTGTCAATCCACTGCTAAAGGCATTCGCACAGTGCCTTTCATGGGAGTTATTTAACAATTGTTCACCATGCTGATCAATGCGAGTTGAAGTGGGGACCAGGAACGATTCAGCATCACTCATCACTGATGTTAGCTGTCACTGAGAATTGAATTCAAGTAAACTGGTTCATAGTGCAAATCCACTCACCACCGGTTGCACCATGAACCTAATATTGTATGTCACTGTGTCAGCATGAATGGCTGTTAGGCATTGTATTACACGCATCAGCGTGTATTGTGTCGGCGCATGTCAGTGTCAGCGGCGCGTCTCCATGTACAGGGCACGTGCGTACCCACCTTGCTTCGCTCGTCGTCGGGGTACGTCCAGTAGCTGAGTCGTGTCCCCGCGAGCACGAACCAGCGGCGGTGCCAGGCGCCCAGACCACCCACGTCCTCAAACACCGTCTGCAGGCGTCACGCGCCACCGTGGGGTCACAACGAGGGGACATGCGAGAAACCCAAGAGCCCGACATCGAATGCGGCCGAGTGGAATTCTGCGTTTGAACCCCGTGCTAGTCTTGCATGGAGTCCGGCATTCGTGGGTAACCTGCAAAGCGGGCCGGAAGTAGTGTTTACGTAAAACCGAAATCTGTAAAAAAACTTGGTTACGACCCACCTTGTGGTTCACCCACGGGTCACCCAGATACCCGATCCAGTACTCGACCCTAGGTTTCGCATTTGTGACTATAGGAAGGTGCAATGATAAAAATAAACAGCCGTGAGCTTGCGCCTGGGCTGTGCGTCCCTGTAGACAGGAATCTTGAGGTGGAAACGAGGATACTAGACGTTAGTATCACGACAACTCCCATCGTGCTCCAGTGACATCGGTGCACTGAAGATTCATGTTATAAGTGTGCCATAATTGTGTATACGAGCTTCATTTAAAAGTCTTCACAATTGTGTTCGATGGCAAAGGGACACGGAGCACAAGGCGTGAATCCACATGAGCGTGGAAGGCCGGGGAGGGGGGGTTCACTCTCGACGCTCACCAGGAAGCCGCGGTGTTCAACAGCCGACGCCGCTCGGCACTCGACCTTCAAAAAGATCGGCCCCTCCAAGGGCGACAGGAACGGCACCTGAGGAGGCACGCAGTGAACCAGGCTCGCTCACGGAACTAGGTTGTGGGGTTGTTGGATAGTGGCCACAATCAACCACGACAACGCCCTTCATCATGTTTTGCTGCCATGCCGGAGCTTGCATTTAGTACTCTTTGGTTCTTTCGGTAAAGTAACGTAGGTATAAAATAAAACTTAAGTACTTGTGCAATTTGGACTTTTATACCTCACCTCCATCCTGTAATGTTTCTGTTTAAGCGTACATACACAGTATGCAGGTTCTTTATTTCCTGATGACACCTACTCAGCCAAAGCATCGATATCTTCCTTTCCTCTCAATGATTATATTTAAAAACAATCTGTTATGATTTATTTTAGTAATTCACACAGCACGTGTTTTCTCAAAGAATTCACTTCGCATCATTAACTAAGAAAAAAATATTATTTTCATATTTTTGATACATAATTAAAATATAACTTTTAATCGTGTACAGTTAAACAGATTCTTTATAAAGTGTATATTGGCATGTAGTTACAGATATTTTACAGTATGCTTATGACGAATATTTGCAATCTTAACATCTATTTCAATGGTGAGCGTGCACGAGGCCAATAACTTCATCACGGCAGCGTAACAGACATCATACGAGCCAACAACATTTGCATTCATAAGAGTCGACACAATCGGATCTCAAGACTGCGCACTGGAAGGACAACCGATTCTTAGTCAGGGAGGGATTGACATGAGGTACAGATGTGGGATAGAGAAGAAATCAGGTAAATCAAATTCAAAGCGTTGAGTTTTAACATTGAAGATCATAACAGAAGAGTTTAAACCAGCGCTTCTCAACCTTTCACATTCCACGGCACACTTGTGAGCTTACTCGATCTTCGTGGCACACCGAACCCAAAACATCGCCGTGGACCTGCTGCTGGGCGAGCAGGGTAGCCATTGCACTGTGATTGAGAGAATTCACGATCCCTTTCCCATCCTGATCTTGTCGAGAACATGGAAACCAAGCTGCGCCGTCAAAACCCATAACAAGAATTTGCCTGACTGCGTGAGTGTACAAGGGCATACCTCTTATAACACTGCTTCTTTTAGCGCCATTTGACGTATAATGCTCTTTTTCCTGGAGGACAATACCTGCGTGAGAACGCGCAGCAGGCAACGCTCCCCCTCTGCTCCGAGCCGTGCGCTCAACCAGCGAGAACAGCGTGCGTTCAGTGGCACCGAGCCAACCAGCGCCCCCACCGCCTCCGCCCCCCCCAGTCTCGAATGGTTTCCGTGGAACATGTGTTCACGCCGTTGGTAACTGTTTTTGCTTTTTGTGATAACATTTCTGACCCACAATGTCTGGAAAAAGGCCTGCAAGTGATAATGCTGGTAAATGTGGCTAACCAGTCAAGGGAAGGCACCAGTTGGATGTGAACATGCATGTTATACGTGTGGAGGCGGGAAAGCGTTGGGTTGATGTCGGATCGAGCTTGGGTTTTGGCTGTATCAACCGTTAGAATCGCTCAATCGTTAACTGCAACCAGGACAGCTCGTTCAAGGAGTATTTTACTGGAGAAGGGCGAAAGAGGTAATTAGGTGTGTGGGTCGAAGTTCAGACGCAGCAACACATGCCCCCAAGCCAGATGATCATCATGGAGAAGACTATGGTTAATCTTACGCAAGCTCCGACCAAATGCACTGGCGGGTAAATTACTTATTGTATATTTCTTTACGTCATCATTAAAAGTTATTCTTTTTCTTTTTAAATACATTTATCATGTGTATAGCATCATTATTAAGGCTATTACTGATACACCAATAAACTCTTATATATCACTCACAGGTAAAATATGGGGCCGTTAGGAACGCATTTCCATGAGAACCACGTTATACTGACCTCCTGTAGCGTTGTTTCGTGCAGCGCTCCGTTTACCAACAACACATCCTAATCGCTATAAGAGGTATGCCTGTATGTGTTTGAGTGTCTCCTCGTCTGTGTCTCGGTGTGTATTAGTGTCTGTCTCCGTGCACATCTCCGTATGTGTCTCCATGTCCTTGTGTCTTTAAACATGTCTCCACGTACATTTGCCCAACTGTACTTGCGCCACCGAGGGAGTAGAAGGGGTGGCAACTGATGATTGTCTGCTGGCGTACTGCACCGCGACCAATGGAGAGGGGAGGGCGGGCAGATGTGGGCTTGTTGATGCTTTCCTTTTCTACAAAGTCCGACAATTCCACGGCACGTCTGGGACTTTGGCGAGTGACACTGACATGTCGCTGCACACTGGTTACAAAGCACTGGTTTAAACTGTTAAAGGAGAGCAGCAGCCACGAGCCGTGATACAGAATGCCGGCACCACCCCTGCACCAATTGGAATGCTCCATTGTGCAGCTGTACCGCGCGCCCACCTGCCCCCAAACCCCCCTCCGCGTGGGTTGTGCCATTTTATCCAGGGTTTTTGGGGAGGTTGTTTGGGATGCAGATGAGATAGGAATTCAAGACTGTCGTTACAGGTAATACAGCCTGGAGACATTTACTAACAGATGGAAGAAGACATGTAGAGTATTAACTAAAGAAAATGAGCCTTTTAATTTAAGAAACAAGATTCTCAGGACTGTGTGAACGGTCAACAGCAAGTTATATTTTAATTCGTTAAAACGTCAATGTGGCCAAAAGTCTTTTACTATACCAATCGAAGGTTCACAGATATTAAAACCTTTTTCAGTAAAAATCACAGAGACTTGCTCATAATATATATTTTTTCAATCTAGCTGTAAATATGGAATTCGGGTTATGACACAACCACAAAAAAACTAATTGTTTCAGGGTCTTTGCAGACATTGCACTTTGGGGAAAAGTCAATAAATCAACTCAATATGCTCATCTCCTGTTTGCAGCCCAAGTCATTGATGAATATTATACATTCTGATGGTGGGGGTAAGTATATTCATAGGACAGCCACTTTTCGATTTAAAGCTTTCGTGACTGCAGGGATTCATCTTCTTGGTTCTTTCGGTAAAGTCACGTAGAAGGAAAGTAATAAAATAATAAAAATAAAACATAATAAAATAAAATAATTCTCACGACGTTTCGGCTACAACGCAAGCAGCCGTCTTCAGGTGAAGAATGAGACACTACCAAGCTAGGAGCTTATATATAAGCTGCGTTGGAGGTGGAAGAGCGCCTTAACAAAAAGAATGTCCATATGAAGGGGAATTTAGCATATTCATGGAAAATGCGTAGGAGGTGGGCGGGGGGGTTTCAAAGTCATATTATGCCCATGCATTATGCAGGATTAGCAGCACCAAGGGGGGGTGCAGGGATTAGCAGTAACAAAGGAGAGAAATGTTAATATGTAGCTGCAGTTACTCAACAACCACGTAGAAAACTAAAGTATAAACTACATAAAAAACTGAAGAATAAACTGCATAGCACCATCAGTATACTTACTATACTCTACAATAAGCTGAGTTACTAACAGCAAGTAATACATTACAATTCTACGTCGTAAAAATGATATAATATGCTTCCATCTAAACTTTATTCTCTTACATCACACGAGCATATACCGTACTATATGGCAGTATATAGTACGGTATATTAGTAACTCAGCTTATTGTAGAGTATAGTAAGTATACTGATGGTGCTATGCAGTTTATACTTTAGTTTTTTATGTAGTTTATACTTTAGTTTTCTACGTGGTTGTTGAGTAACTGCAGCTACATATCATTAACATTTCTCTCCTTTGTTACTGCTAATCCCTGCACCCCCCCTTGGTGCTGCTAATCCTGCATAATGCATGGGCATAATGACTTTGAAACCCCCCCCGCCCACCTCCTACGCATTTTCCATGAATATGCTAAATTCCTCTTCATATGCACATTCTTTTTGTTAAGGCGCTCTTCCACCTCCAACGCAGCTTATATATAAGCTCCTAGCTTGGTAGTGTCTCATTCTTCACCTGAAGACGGCTGCTTGCGTTGTAGCCGAAACGTCGTGAGAATTATTTTATTTTATTATGTTTTATTTTTATTATTTTATTACTTTCCTTCTACGTGACTTTACCGAAAGAACCAAGAAGAGGACAGCCACTATTTACTTTCTGGAATGGTATATATTTTTTTATAAATACCAGACCGATGATACCCAAGTCAAGCAGGATTTTAACTTGTAACCTTGATTGAGGCTCTTTAACCTGTGCCAAGTGACTGAATTCAGCAATAAGGCACCGTGGAAATTATGGGGAAAACTTTGGGATTTGAACTATTCACGATAAAGTATAAACCCTAGGAATGACAACATCACGATTTAAACAGTGGTGTGGCACAAATACAGGGAACCATAGACACGTATGTGTCAGTGCAAACTTTCATCACTAAAAACAAATGTTCGCTTTAACAATTACTAAGTCCTGAGAATCGAATTGTTAACTTTGTACAAGCTCGTTGGAGAGGGATCAACTGTGAGGAGACAAGGACAGAGGGGGAGAGAGGAGCACCTTCTCTTGAAACTCATCTCCCAGCAGGTGTCTGACCTTCCCATCAAACTTCATCTAGAGCCAGCAGGGGAGAGAACACCCAGTGAGACACCACGCGCGCCTTCACAACCCGTGACAACACAACCTGCACCCCGAGATACAACACTCCACCACCTCAACCACGTCACTCCACCACCTCAATCACATCACACCACCTCAAGCACCTCACACTCCACCACCTCAACCAGCTCACAATTACGTGACACTATTCACCAGAATCATGTCGCACCTTACAGTTTTAACATTCAAATACCATGCCACTAATGTCAGATTTCTAAACTATTTTTCCTTTACCAAGTAAGGCCTATGGAGCTATATAGCTCTTTTTAGAAGCGACCTGGCTATCACAAATTATAGCTAAACAAAGTGGCTAATCACGTGGAAATGTATTGCAAATAAATACCCTAAATGCGGAAGGAAAAAGTGGAGGACTCGGAGAAAAATTAACGCGACCATAGGGAGAACACGCAAACTCCACATATACAGGCATCAGGGATAAAACCCACGACCTGTATAGGAAAAGAGGTAATTAACATCTCACTACCGTGGCACCCTATTTCAGTCAATCATGTCAGACATTTCACACTACACCACTTAAATCTCATTATACCACTTCAACCACATCACACAGACACCATATTAACTCAAGTCACACACCTCACATTCAACTGCAATCACCTCACATTCCACCACTTCAACCACATCACAACTTCCTCAACACCCCCACCAACATCTAAACAGAGAAGCACAAGAGGAGCATCCACCAGGCCACACAGTGCATCAAAGCAGCAGCGCAAGATGTCGTTGTGCGTCACGTGGACGATAAGGCTTCAGGGCGAGCGTGCACGCGGCAGGGACAGAGGGAACGAGACGCAACGTGTAAACTCAAGAGTGTAAAATTAGCACAAGGAGCCAACTTCTAAACCAGCGGTCGGGAACCTATGGCTCGCGAGCCATATATGGCTCTTCTGGTGACGGCATATGGCTCCCAGACAATTTTGAGTTGAAAAAAAAAATAAAAAAATCAGTTTGGAACAGATTTTCAAATACTTGTGATATTGCTTAATAATACTGTGTCATTTTAGAAATTAGTTTTGAAGATAAATTTCACGGGTCACGGGGCCTCAACGCCTGCATGAAACTCAACCTCACTACGTACGAACCAGACTACAAGGCCATCAGCAAAACCATGCAGCACCAGAAGTCGCATTAAAAGTAAGACATATTTAATTTATTATACGTTAAAAATACTATATGGCTCTCAATGCAATATATTTAGAAATATTTGGCTTTTATGGCTCTCCCAGTCAAAAAGGTTCCCGACCCCTGTTCTAAACCATGTGTTCTGGTTGAAGATCGTGACAAGAAATTCGAGGCATGCTTTTCAGTAGAAATGTGACGCTACACTAAAAAGAACATTTTCCATACCTCTAACTTAATATGTTAAGGGTTATGAACACATGGTTTAGGCTTGAGAAAAGCATCCGATTTTGATCTAATGAGAGCAGAACAAAACGAGAAGCAGAGTGGGGTCACTGCCAAGCTTCAGAGTTGATTATAATAACAGTGAACAGAGGTGCGATTAAAATAACACTGCAACCGATCAGTTGTGCAAACTCAATAGTTAAGAGGCTGTGTAAGCTAATAGAGAAACCCTAACAACTTGAGACATTTTCTTGGTTCTTTCGGTAAAGTCACGTAGAAGGGAAATAATAAGATAATAAAAATAAAACATAATTCTCACGACGTTTCGGCCACAACGCAAGCAGCCGTCCTCAGGTGAAGACCAGGTCTGTCGGGGAGACAGCGTCTCCCCGACAGACCTGGTCTTCACAGCGTCTCCCCGACAGACTTTACCGAAAGAACCAAGAAGATGAATCCCTGCAGTCACGAAAGCTTTAAATCGAAATTTAACTTGAGACATTAACAACGTAATCACTTTATAACAAAGGCTGATGATTTATATCGCAAAAAAACAAGATTGTTAATAAGTCAAATTCAATTCTTGGTTTAAATTAGAAGCTGTTTCATCAAATTTTAAGTTAGTTTTAAGCTATAAGATGGTTAGTTTTGTAAGATGCGACGTGGGAAAACTCCTGGTGATCCATTAACCATGCTTAATGAATGTATAATTTCTGTACAAACGGACACATGGCGTTTGATACCAATAATGAGCTACATTACTCCCATTTGAAAAGATATCCAGTGACCTCTTCAGTAAGCAGACTTTAGGAGTTGCTCACACAGCAGTGAAGGGTAATGTCGTAATGTCGAGAGCCACATGGCTAAACATCCCCTCGGTAGAGGGAACACATGTCGGATAACATTCCTCTAGCACTAGCTCCAGATTATCCCTCATGGACAACCACGACTTTGGGAGCTACTTCCTCAAGCTCGGAAAGAGCGAGGTGGACTTTGATAGCACCAGTGGCAAATTGTTCCCGTGGCTTTTCCGCACCAATTTCCGATCCTCCACACCCTCTCCTCTCCCCAGTTGTGCCAAGGCAGGGCACTGCACTACACACGTTCTTATTCTAGAACACGCCACTGCTGCCTGACACAGGGAAAACCACTGAGTGCAGGTCACTCAGTTTCATTGGCGATCAGCAATCTCGGCAGTTGTTTACGCGCGGCCATCTTCTCCTACTCAGAGCCGTCCACGCTGTACGACACTTTCACGCCAACTGAACCCACATAGGCTGTGCTGCTAAACGAGATATTGGCATACTCTTTGGTTCTTTCAGTAAAGTCACGTAGGTAGAAAAATAATAGATGACGACGTTTTGATCGCAACACAAGCAATCGTCAGTTTTTTCTTGCTGTGGTTGTCCCACCTGATGACGATTGCTTATGTTGCGATCGAAACGTCATGATCTATTATTTTTCTACCTACGTGACTTTACCGAAAGAACCAAAGAGTATGGATTCCTGCAGTCACGAAAGCTTCAAATCAAGATTGAGATATTGGCACTTGCATTGAGTCGGGTTTAACATGAAGTGGTCACCAACACGTTCCAATCATACCCATTACAACACCCATTCCAGTGCCCGGCACTTGGGGAACTTAGCCGATGCGTTACATTTTCCATTGGTAGAACTGACTGTACCGTAGCACTGACTGTACGTAGCACTCACTGTGTACACAAGATATCCCCCTTGATATTCTTTGAGAAAAATGCATTTTGGAGGGGATGGCGGGCAGAATGCAGTGTGGAGGTGACCACTTATGAAAACCAGGTTTAATGTATGCACTTAATTCTATTAATTCTAGTTTATTCACACCAAGAGCAAATTTAACCTTGGAACTCTCAGAATTGAGGACACACCCTTTTGTCAAAATGGAAACAATTATTTCTACAACTATTTTTAGGACTCACCCGAGACAATTACGGCGACCCAGGTTTGTCGATCTTATCTTATCTTTTGTCAAAGCCCTTAACGATTCCCATTGTGCTCCCACTAGATTTCAATTAAAGATTAATCTAAATAAGCTTATTGGATTGTCACAGTTCATTTATTTAAAAAAATGTAATTCCTTTCAGTGATTGCAACAAACCCCTTTGCTCCTCATGAATTTAAATCGATCAAGGCGGCCAGCTCAAATTGCTAAAAATCAAATGTATAAGTTGGGCAGAGTAGACGTGGCAAAGCAAGTTATGCGAAGCGGGCGGGTAGATGCGATGCAGCGGTGACAAAGCAGAGAAGCAAACTCCTCCAGCCTGCATTCACTCTCGTGTTTGAATGTTTGAGTTCACACAACGTCGTGATGTTAGCGCATGACCGTTTTACTTGGCCCCAGGAACTGGTTTTGAATCAATCGTGCACATCACATGCTGGTGGAGGGGACATGTGCTAATGTGCAAAGCAGAGCACCCTTTTGGCTTACAAGTTTCCACAGCACAAATATAACACACAATTAGAATACTGAAGCATAGTATCCATTCCGTCACCTAATATTACTGTGTAGACATTGCTTACTGTATGCCACTGTGCATCCTTTAACATGTAACATCCACTTTGGATGACATAAAAAACTTTTTAAAGCCAGGCACTCGCCTACATAGTTTACTCCAATCACATATTTAATGACATGGATGCGTAGTATATTCCCCAACGAACTATAACATTTCCAAACATAATAAATGTGTATATATTATAAAATATGCAATGTAACGTTTGTAATTAAAAGCATTCCTATATACACGGCATCTAGTACATTATATTACGTGGCAAACATCTCATTTACAGACGCAAAGCAAGAGCACTTGCAAAGGATCTCCAAACTGATGGCCTCGACACAATGTTTGCTCTCACAGTTACTTCACCACTGTCCCTCCTATCTCCCCAACATGGTTGCAAACCTCTGGGTGGTCTCATCGAAATGATTTTCACAAGTGGACCGAGTCGCTTTGACATCGTCCACAAGAAATGACGAACGCCACTTCCACGGCACAAGCTGGCACAACGTTAGGTTGCAGTTATTTTCCACTGGCATATCCTGCCTGTGAGTTGCCCGAGCATGCACAATTCCTATGCTGTATACACTGGCTTAAAACGGTGTAGGCACCCATTCTCTGTGCTTTTCTACGTCAAGCTCGTACAACCCTACTACTGATCTCACGATCACCCCATCCTACACTTGAGAATATCTGGTCACAACCCACATGGATAGACTGGCACTCCAATAAATTGGATGTTCATCCAATCAATCAAGAGATCATTATGGCCAGTGTTGTTAATGCCAGTTTGTCATCACTTCCTTATTTCTGCCAGATGAAGGAACTACTGCAAGAATCTCCTAGGCCTGCCTATTACAGTTAGTTCACCACTGTCTATTTCTCCAACTTAGTTGCAAACTTCTGGGTGCCAACTCTAATGCTCGTCTCTTCAGCAAAACAGCCCTACAAGCGGTGTATTTAGAGCATGGCACCTCACCTTGTCCAAGAGAAACCTGGAGGCGCCGAGCGAGGCGCGCGTGATCTTGTGCGAGCCGACGAGAGAGAAGTTGCTCACGCGCACTGCGTTGGGTCCGCCCGCACTGCTCATGGCTGCCCAATGCACAAACAGCCACAAACAGGCACAGACATGTAGACACGCACAGACACGCACAGTGATGCACAGACAAAACTAAAAACATATCCCCCGTATAGCCTTCAACACTGTTGGGGCAAGTGCTGTTAGCGAGCACCTAACAAGGCCGGAACAGTACACAAGCGGGTGGGTGTCCAGCACCACGCCCGGCTGCCTTTGACTCCCCAGTGGCGATGTAACACACTGTACCAGTTACTCATTTGAGGCCGAGTCGACCTAGGGGATGTCCAGGACCGGTTCAATTAGTCACTGGTGTAAGCCGTGAGCAGGAATCTAACCCGAGTTGTTGGGTTTGTAGCGCAGCCCGCTAACCACGACACTACCACTCCCTACAAAGACAAAGTTTCCCCATATAGACTTTAACAGACTGTCAGGGGGCAAGTGCTGTTAGCGAGCACCTATGAAGGCCGGCACGGCACACGAGGGGGTGGGTGGCCAACACCAGGCCCGGCCGCCTTTGTCTCCCCAGTGGCAATGTTTACACACTGCACCAGGTACTCATTTGAGGCCGAGTTGACCCAGGACCAGTTCAGATAATCATGATCGGTGTTGGCAGTGAGAGGGAATCGACCTCAGGTTGCCGGGTTCGTAGCGCAGCACACCAACTGCTGTACTACTGCTCCCCAGAAGCACACACGCACTGTCAACAGAATGCACATGTGACTGCGTCAGGCCTCGTGCAAAGCAGCAGACTTAAAGGAAGTTGCAAACGTAGGCTGGGTTCACACTGGATCACTTTAGGTGCTGCTGCATTTTCTAGCTAGAGGTGCAGCCAACCATCGATATGACGGTTGAATGTTTGAATGGCAACCAATATCCCTGACTGGCTGCTGTTCAACCTGGCAAATATTGTGGCACGTTAACTGATCCAGTGTGAACCCAACCTTAAGAGGTTGGCACGTTGACCGCTAAGACATCCTTTAACCTTCATAATGAATGTACTAACTGCATACTACAGAGCAAGGCAGTGAGGTTTAATGTACACTTTTCAAAAGCACTAATAGCCTCTCTGAAAATCTACATTTGAATGTACTCTGATGGGAAAAGGGAAAAATATATTTACGTGTAGAACCAAAAATATCGCCGTGTGTTCCACCATTGTTTTCCCGCCAAGCCACCCCACAACATTTTATTTAACTCTATGAAGAGACTTTGGCCACCAGGTATCAATGTGCTTCACAAGGTGAACACGCGACCAAGATGGAAAAGCACAATGCAAAGCCTGGAGGACAATCTGGCATGTAGCGGGGCGACTGTGGGTTCCCCGGCAGCCTCCTCACCTGGAGAGTACGGATGATTCCTCTGAAAAAAAGAGAAACACAAATAGCTTGACCCACACAACAAACAAACCTGCCTTGTGCACAAGTCTGCGATGTAACAATCCACCCAGCACCTGCAGCTAGTGTAGACGTGCCAGGTGGATAATTACATCGCAAGATCACAACTGGAAGTAGTGGTTTCATCCAGCTATGGATGACCGAGAGTCATAATGAAGAAATTTATTAAATCCTAAATAATACTTTTTTGCACGTGATTAGATGAAAATATTGTAAACCTAACAATTTATACAAATCAATAAACTGAATCATTAGCATGACCTGTTGAACTCTAGTAAGCCAGTTACACAGCAACTCCATGCAAGTACACAGGTGTGGGAAGGCCTGCCTTGTGGCTCAATGTCCAGAGCATCTGCCTGGGTCATTCTCATCGGCATGGACCCTTCCCACATCGTCACACTAATCCAGAAATTAAATTGCAATTGGCACACGTTTCCAATGCCTGATCATTCCAAATGATTCAGTGCATGACTTGCAGTTTGATGCACTTCATTTAATTATGTTTTGAACAAATCAATGATGCAATTAATAGTGGGGGTTGGTACTGCATAAAAAAGATAGTAATTATTAGTGGTATTGCTTTACTAACTACAAGTGACAAATGATCAACTCGTGTTTTTGTATGTAATTTAACACTCTGCATTCTAAACTCAGAAAGTGGCTTTGTAATTTAATCACAATACATTTTAAAAAATATCAATATATTGTTCAATCACTGCGATATCTAAGCAATGTATTTCCATGCAAGTGTATAACTTGGAAATCAGTCTTAACCTTGACTGGAGGACTTGGTACATGCACAGGAGAACTACAAATTCGCAGTCAATATAATTTTATAACATTTAAATTCATATCATAATTGAAGTTTGAAATCAGAAAGTGTTAGTAAAGGAACACTTACAGTGATGGAAGTAAGTAGCTTTTTAGGAGTCATGACCTGGGAAGTAAGGAGTGATGGTAAGATGGTGATGATTTTAAACAAATGCATGTATTTTAACATTCGATTTAATCAAAGCTCCAGTGAATGAATGCACAACATCAGTTTACCAAGTGCGTGTTGGTCTGTTTGGACACGTGGTCTGGTTAGGTTACAGTGAGTAGTGTTCAAACATGCATACACTCCCAAAAGGGGGCAATGTCAAGATGTTTTGTTTAACCAGCATCACCAGACATGCCAAACTCATCCCTACATACAACAGCGTACTACATAACACATAACGATATAGGTGGTAACTACCACGGTTAATTCAGACCCCAACGGGATAACTACTCATCCGAGTTAGGTCAGTAACGTACTGCCTGACTCACGATGCCAAACGTCATGACCGACGACCGAGGAGACGGAGCACCGCGGGTTGATTTCTGAAGACAGCCCGGATCGGCTCTCGGGATCTTCCTAATATGCGCCGAAGCTCGGCCCGGCTCTGCCCCCGGCGACGCCCCCTTCTGGATCCTTCGAGAAGGTTTTGGGCCACATGTCACATGTCCCTCTCACCACCCCTTGGCCCCCCTCGCTACCCTCACCTGGTCACGTGCCCTTTCGGGTTCACCCAGACTGTCACGTCCTCACTTGCCCTCTCTCTGACCATCACCAGAGAGCACAGTTCCACCCTTTCCTCAGTAGCTGGCGCTAGAGCCGTAGCGGCTCAATATACGCCACTACATATATACATTATTTAGACTTATTGTACCACAAAAAATGGAGTGCGCAGAAAAAACTCATGCATGAGATAAATAAACTGTAAACCTCTGCAGAGATCAGACGTGTCTGCTTTCCTTACTGTCACGATAGCCACAAAATAGCATTTCCTGTCTCTGTGTCCTGTCTCCTCCAGTCATCCCATCCATCAGCTTACAAATCTTCCTGAATCTGTCTCATCCCATCACCCTCGCATTTGACTTGCTTCTGCATGTGTGTAACACATCATGGTTCATATCACTATGTGATCCCTCAGACTATTCGTTTGGAATGGCTGATGGGGCAGCTGGTTGTGGCACAAGAAAACGCACTGACCTTTGACTTGGTCGAGCGGCGTCTCTTATCCGAGGGGTCTCCATCTCTCCTTTGGGCCTGAGTTTGATGCACAAAACCAGATTTAAGAACTTCTAGCAAGACGCTGTGCAGTAAAACTATGCCCAGGTAAATGTACATTATCAGACGAGGCCAATTCCCAGTGGTCGACACTTTTGCTCATCATTGTCCCCCGGGCGCTGTGACATGAGTACCAACTGGTCAGCCTAGCCCAGTGGTTCTCAACCTATTATGGCTACTGCACCCCCTTGCTCAATTTTGTTTCAACCGAGTGTACCCCCCTTGCCTGACCCAACATGGTTCTGAGAAATAAATGTATCAATGTTAACCAGTTGTCCATTTTGTGAGGAATCATAACGAGCTAATTAACTGTAAGCGAATAAAAAAAATGCACCGGACGCTCTGCGTGCCGGATGTCATTTGTTCGCGCTCGCTGGTTACTCTCGGAAACGTTGTTTAAGATCAATGAGTTTAGAAAGGTCTTTTATTTCAATCTTGATTTGAAGCTTTCGTGACTGCAGGAATCAATACTCTTTGGTTCTTTCGGTAAAGTCACGTAGGTATAAAATTAAATAAATCACGGCGTTTCAATCGCAACAGTGGAACTTTTGGCGTCATCTGGTCGAACACCATATGAGACGAGGCTCCAAAGAAAGCTGTCTCTGGTGTGGACCAATCAGTTTCAAAGACAATGGATAAATTACCAGAGTATTGTTTTTTTGTTTGCATTTGACTGCTAAGTATTGTGGTTAATGTAAACATGATTCCTTGCAAAAGGTGTCAGTTTTGTTGCCAGAAAAAAGGGGAAAAACCCTATTAGTAAACAGTGGAACTAGTTCCACTGCTGGATTATATTTTTTCCGCCGGAGGACAACCGCTTGTGTTGTGATTGAAACGTCGTGATTTATTTTATTTTATACCTACGTGCCTTTTTATTTCGTTCCACGTTACCATATGGATGACATTTATACTATAATTATTTAATATTAGCATATTCATACGTGATTATTCACCAATGACTCACGTATATAATTTCACATTCATAAATCACCTCACAACCACTGGGCTACACCATTTGATGTAATGTTTACAATAGTTAAGGATATTTATGTAAATGTAGTAATAGGTTGTTTATTTATAAAGCAACTTTTGCAGACATTTCATACTGACCAGGCTGTAGACTTCCACGTCGATTTCAAAATCACTCTGAACACCTTCCCTGTTAAAGGCAACAACACCAATAAACCTAATGCACCACAGCACAGCTTCCAGTGTAACATGACATATCCAAAATAATTAATCCCATTAGTCATTCGTCTAAATTATTGGCAGTACGAAACTCTGAGTAGTACTTAAATCGGGGTACCTGTTACTTTTTGGCACAACAAATGTATTCAATTAGTCAGGCCAAATGATTCCTGTAGAAATAAAATTATTCTACAGTTGATGCTGATACAAGACTAACATAAATTATGCCATGGGACAGTTGATGCAACAGAATGGTAATCTATTTTAATTCTAGTTTATTGAAGCTTAGCTGGGCTAAGCATAGCTAATTTCAGCTTGGTTATAATAGCAATTCTGGCTAATCCAGGGGATCAAAATTACCTCTAAACTGCATTGCTGATGCAGTCGATGGAATTGGTATTTGAAAAAAGAAAGCGCTACTGTTTATTTGTTTATCTTGTCACCCAATCGATAGCACTCGGGGTAATATAATGCAGTTGTCTTATTCTACTAGAAGATGTGTATATTGGGCAGTCATCCATAGTCTGTATATACCTACATATAATATAACACACGATGATGAATCTAAAATAGTTATATACAACACCCACAAGAGGCTCACAGGGAATATTGAGACACCATCTCAGGATGGCTCTGCTTTGGAATGGCAGGAAGCAAGTACCTGGAGAAAAACGCGCGCACACACGAGGGGACAATGATCGTACAGCGAGAACTTGGTGGGGAAAGCGAGCGAGTCCCCGTCCATGCTGTGGAGCGTAGACGCCAGCGGCGTGGCCACCACGTCTGTGGAGCCATGACGGAACAGCACGAAGAAGTAGTAGTTGCAGCGATCTGTGGGAGAGCACGTGGATAGTGTCAGCACAAAGCATGTAACGACGCCATTAAAACCACTTCTTATGCATCAAATTGTACAGCCCTGTTGCCAATCAACTGCTGAATGGAGTGCCTTCCCATACCAAGAGGGTTGTGGGAGTAATGTCACCATGCTCCGCCACGTTTGTCAGCACAAGCAGGGGAGTATAGAAACCAAGAAATGTATTTCACTAAACTACCCTCTGCTGACCACCGTGCAGAACAGCTCCAAATCAATCTGTCTGTGAATAAAAATTATTTATGATTTTATTTGGAAATTAAACGTTAATGTTGCATTTAGGCAAATTGCACAAACTAACCTTTATGGAGGCAAAAACATTGAAAATAAATACAGGAGAGCCAAAATAATATTTGAAAATCAATCCTTTAATCTAATTGTGACCCTAGATCATTGACCACAAATAATGTCATATCATCTAATCACCATGAGTGGTGAATCGTTAAGTCAGTGCTGGCTGTCTCATCTCAAATACAGCCCTAAATTACATTTGCATATGTAAACTAACAAAAGTAACATAGCTGTGCTGACACACTGACTTTACCACGATGACATCGTCACGCTCTGACCTTGTGCATCCCAATCAACCGAAATAGTGTTCACCTTCGTGAAAATTATGTTACATTTTACTCCAGCACACACCTACATTTTCGTTTTTTCCTCAGCAAAGCATTCACAACACTGCTCATTGATGTGTGTAAACAACAGTGTTGTACTAGAACCATCAAAGATGTATTTCCAGAGGAGGCAAGGCTAAACTATACCAAGCAGACATACGATACTCCCTTCACAGCGTCGTTGGCCACTGACACCTATGACCTCTGAAAGATCGCTCAACATTATCAACATTTTCAAAACGTAGACATGGCTATCTTTTACAAATCCCCCTCCTCTTCATTACAATGCTTGTTTCCAAAAATGATTTCAGTGTTTTTACAAAAGGGCACATTCGCCTTCCTACCTACAATTTGTACGTTTATGAAAATTGTCTATGAAGAACCCCGGGCACGGCACAGCGAGGCTCACTTACCCGGTTTGCTTGCCAGGGAGCACACAAAGTCTGCCTTGAGCGGCAGGCAGACGTTGGACACCAGCACGGTGCCACGGCAGACCTCTGCCTTCGACGGTGCTGTCCGAGCGTCGCTCCAGACAGGCTGCTGTTGCCCGTCCCCGGGTGCCTGCTGCCCCTTGAGGTCGTTGAGCTCGTTGAGCAGAGCCAGCCGCTTCTCAGCTGCAATGCAGGGGGTAAAGGGAGTAACGAGTGAGCAAGGTTGAGTGTAGTGGTGGAGACGATCAGCTACATTAATGAATCAACGTGCAACCAAGAACAATGCAAAAACACAAATGGAAATGTGTTTATTTAAAATAAAAGTGTACAATCAAATATTTTAATCATTTATGCTCAATTAAATCCCAACTTGGTGTTTTGAAATAATTCCAGGAAAACTCTTATGGAACAATATTAGTCAGCAGTGCACCACAGGGATTGGCCACTGGACAATGACATCACAGAACTAATGCTGGAGCATCTCTCACCCAAAACTAAAGAGTACTGCTTTAGGCCCTGCACAGAGTATTCTATGTATGATAACCCACTTTTTTATTCCTCAAGACTTTAGCAATGACAAACTAAGTAGATGTTTTGGTTAATTAACATTGGCTCTGTATGTCCGTAATGCTCACTGCTGATGAGCAGCAGCCTCTCGGCCTCTGCCTCCTCCACGGAGCCCTTGCCGTGGTCCTCGTCCACGCAGCAGTTGAGGGCCTGGCTCGCCTGCTGGATGATCCTCTGCTGCGACGTAATCTCTCCGTTCAGCAGCTGCACGCACGGAAGTGAGCGACGCATGCTTAGAGAAGCGCACGCACACACACACGCACGCACACGTGCACGGAAGGAGACGACGGGACCGCAACCCTGCTCGGGCCACCATCTCCGAAGGCTGTTTGGCCAATTACCGAGGAGCATCAACAAGTTGTGTTTATTGCTTGGTTGTGACGTCGTATATGTTCTGAATTCCAACCAATGCTGAGTGTTCATGCATTAGATCTATCCGTCCTATCACCTGTCTGTAATGATCCAATATGAACCAAACTGTTGTTGCTATTTGAAAATTGGTATATTTCTCAAAACTTAGATAAAACTAAACTATTTACCAGGAAAAGTCAACTAAGCTATACAGGCAGTACCCGGGTTACAGTAGACCCGACTTACGGAAATCCAACTCTACAGAAATGCTCCAATAAATTATGGCGAATAAAAATTCAATACTGTATACGTAAATGTTTGCATTAGTTACGTAAGCGCAAATAGTGCAGGGGGGTGAGGTTGCAGATGAATCCAGCGGAGTGAGGCGTAAGGCAGAGCCGCATATTCCTCAAGGCGGTGGTGTACTGTATAGCACTCACGAGTCGCGCGGTTACATTATTACAATGAGTATACTGTACCCGTCACATTGTCTCTTTTCCTTTTGTAGCGTTACCTCATTGTTTGTTTTCGATGCTTTGTGGTATTCATAAACAATTTGACACAATACAGTATATGTACCATTAGTTTAATTATAAGTAGTTAGGGTAGATATTCGATCAAATGAATCGGAGGAAGTGCAGCGTATGAAAAGCAATATGATACAGGTAGCGGAAGAAAACGGACTACAGCGCGATGCAGTAATGAGAGCAAACGGTTGGGGAAAGCACAACTATTTTGGCTATGGGATTTTATTTCGATATTTGGGGAAAATTGTTACGGAAAATTCGAGTTACGTGGAAATGTACAGCAGTCAAATACTAAACCCACGTTGATTCTAAATGTGGAGGAAAAAACCAGAGGACCCGGAGAAAAATCCACACGACCACGGGGAGAACATGCAAACTCCAAATATACAGAAACTGAACTATTTTCCCCAAAAATCTAAATAAAATCCCATAGCCGGAAATAGTTGTGCCTTCCCCTACCATTTTCTCTCTCTCGGGATCGAACCCACGACGTCCTGTATACCAGGCGAGGGAGACAACACCTCGCCACCGTGGCGCCAGTGGAAAGAGTACTATTTGCAATTATGTCAGCGTGTTTTGCCCTGATAACTACCAGTCGGCAACTGTATTTCTAAATGGATACTTCTGAGGATAACTGCACGTTGGAGAACGTTAGATAATACCAGCTTATGCATGATTCTTCTAACTTGATTAATCTCACCTACTTATTTTAAGAATGTTGTTTTTTTCCTACACTGACATTCGTATCGGACTTATCTTTTATGATAACCCCAGCTCACAATTCAAAACAAAACCTTCATTATCAACGGGCTTTCACCTGCTATAGTTTGTGTCTATGCATTATGCATGCAACTGGCCACAGCGGGTGTAGGCCTTGCTAACCTTCACCCTCTCCTTGGTGGCCTGGCCCTGCTGCCACTGATGTTGCGCTGCAGGCGGGGGCTTCTGGTCACCATGCAGGAACGGCATCGAGCGCGGCGGCTTGGGCGGCTGTGCGGCACGGCGTTGGGTGCGGTAGGCGTCCACGCTGCAGAAGATAAAGATACCCCTCATATAGCCTTGAACAGACATTGGGGCAAGTGCTGCGAGCGAGAACCTATATAAAGGCCAGCATGGCACACGAGGGGGTGGGTGGCCAGCACGAAGCCCGGCCGCCTTTGTCTCCCCTTTTCTGATATTTATAACCACATCACGCATTCATTGAAGGCCGAGTCAAACTCAGAATTACAATCTTTATTTATCCTGGATAAATCCAATGAGCTATGAAGCTCTTTTTCACTGATGTCCGTCCAGTAAACCTAGGGGAGGCCCAAGACCGGTTCAGATATTCGTCGCCAATGTTGGCTGCGTACAGGAACTCTGGTTACCAGGTACGTAGCGCAGTGCGCTAACCACTACACGACTGCTCCCCAAGCTGCACACACACACACAAAGACCCCCCCCCCGTATAGCCTTAACAGACTGTAGGAGCAAGTGCTGTTAGCGAGCACCTATGTAGGCCGGTACAGCACATGAGGAGGCCGCCTTTGTCTTCCCAGTGGCGATGTTTATACATTGCACCAGGTACTCATTTGAGGCCGAGTCGATAAAAAGGGCAGGCCCAGGAATGGATTAAATACTCGTCATGTATGTTGGCCACGAGCGGGAATTGAACTGGGGTCACTAGGTTTGTAGCGCAGCGCGTTACCCGCAACTTCCGTTCCTCACACACACACACAAATGCCCTGTTAACTTTTCAAAAATGGATGTAACGATTGATTTCTTCAACAATTTGATCAACTGTCATTTTGGGGTCGAGAATAAATTCACTAATTTTTAAAAAGCCCAACCCCTCCCATACATGTATAATCTGTACATTATACTAATGTAATAAATGACTCCGTCAGGCACTGCTGGTCTCCGCTTGTCTTTTATTCAGGTTCTCCTCCACACCCCACTGGTCTCCTCCTCGGACCAGCGTCGTCTCGTGCACGCTCCCTATCGCGTGCCACGCACGCTCCTCCGTTAGCTCCTCTACTCCCGCACTCCGCACACCGCTGGCCGACGGCGTGCTGAGGTCCTTCGGCCACGTGGCCGATGGCGCGGATCTCTCTCTCACCACCCAACGTGGCTCAGCCTCTTAACTTCCCCGACTGCCCCGATCTCTTCCGGGCTCCCACTTATATACATTCCCCCCACGTGACCCTGACTCCTCCCCTTCCGGATCGTCATATCCGGCCTTCCCATACTACCCCGCTGGCTCCGTCCCCATTCACCTCGCCTCCCATTGGAGCCGAGGTGAACAGTGGCCCCTCCCACACGCCCCACAGACCAGGCTCCGCCCCCCAATACCCCGGGCCGTGTGATTGGACCAGAGCCCAGCAACAACCCCATTTACGCTCGCATTACACTAACATAGTACCTCTTTGCGTCTTTCGGTAAAGTCACGTAGATCTAAAAATAAGAAAAAATCACGACGTATCGATGGCAACACAAGCAATCGTCCTCAGGTGAAAAAAATATAGCAAGAGAGCTGCTGAAGCAGGGTGTTATATAGGCCTGAGATGGGTGCAGCCCAAGGGTAAGTAGGCGGGGTTAGAGAAGGAAGATCGAGACGTGACTTTACCGAAAGACCCAAAGAGTATGAATTCCTGCAGTCACGAAAGCTTTAAGTCAAGATTTCACATAGTAACATTAATAGATAGTATATGAATGATAAATAATCAATATTTACAAATGATTTCAAGCATGTATGGTGTGAATGATAACTGATTCAAGTTTTCCCAAGTGTTAGCTCATGTTACACACGATTCACTTGGGTTGCAATAATTTTCCTGAAATGCAGTTGTTTGATTTGATAAACAAATGGAAGGTGGCTCCAAAATGTTTCTCCGAGCAAAAGAGTTAAGTTGGCTGCGTGGCTCAAACAGCAAATACTGCATTCTAGATTTGAAGTTTTCGTGACTGCAAGGATCCATACTCTTTGGTTCTTTGGGTTAAGTCACGTAGGTATAAAATATTAAATTAAATCACGTTTCGGGCGCAACACAAGCGTCCGTCATCAGGTGGGAACAACCACAGCAAGACACACTTGCTGAAGTAGACAAAAGAGCTGCTAGTAACAAGGGATTATATAGATGAGGGAGGGGGAAGAGCCAGGGATAGAGAGGGTCGGGGGGGACGTGGGTCAGAGGGGAGTGGAATGCTGCAAAATCGACAAGCACGGCAAATTTCCAAAAGACTGGAATGAGCAGGGCTGGGCATAAAAACTGGAATTGCAGATATGAAAGCAAACTATAGAACAGCTAAGGTTTTACATGGTTAATAACAGCCTTCCAATGATTGCTCAATTTGTATCCATCTTCTTGATTGAAGTTTGTTCATGAAGCCATCCAGATATACAAATAGACATAACCTTAGCTGTTCTATAGTTTGCCTTCATATCCGCAATTCCAGTTTCTTATCACAGCCCTGCTCATTACAGTATTTTGGAAATTTGCCGTGCTTGTCGATCTTGCAGCATTCCACTCCCCTCTGACCCACGCCCCTCCACCCTCTCTAGCTCTGGCTCCTCTCCCTCCCTCATCTATATAATCCCTTGTTACTAGCAGCTCTTTTGCCTACTTCAGCAAGTGTCTTGCTGTGGTTGTTCCCACCTGATGACGGACGCTTGTGTTGCGCCCGAAACGTCGTGATTTAATTTATTTAATATTTTATACCTACGTGACTTTACCAAAAGAACCAAAGAGTATAGCAAATACTGCGTCAGGACACATGGCACAACCGAGATCCTGGTTCAAAGCCAGGTCGCCACTCATCATGGAGCAGATTACTTGATGATACTGTGTTGGCAGTGGTGCATGAGTCTTATTTAACTGGGTTATCAAGTGAAGGGAATTTTGTAGGCTCCACTCAGTCACCAATCAGCACGTTTAAAAAAATAACTAAAATAGTTTTTTCAATTAATTTTACTTTTGCAACTATGGGATTTGTTGTTGTTGTTTGATTAACATGTCTTAAATATTCTTTATAGGTGTCCTTTGTCACTGTTATCACACCAATGTTGCAAAAGTGTTCAGACATCACGTTCATTGACCGTGTAAACTTTGGTTTGTAAAATACTCTAAACGCATGTTTCGAAATGTGGAGGGAAATACCGGAGGACCCGGAGAAAAATCCACACGATCACGGGGAGAACATGCAAACTCCAAATGTACAGGCATCAAGGTAGGGATTGAACCAACAAGCTCCTGCATACCAAGCAACGTAGTTAATTCGGGTGCGGTAAGAGCGGAGAAGTCGTGCATTTATGTGGGGCATCTTGCCTGTAGGGGAGTCCAGTGTCCTCGGCCGTGTGCTTCCCCTCTGCCATGCCGGCGCCACGCATCTCCTCCTGGTGCAGGGACACGCTCTGCCAACCGCAACGCTTACACCGTCAATCAATTCATCCACATAATCCATGTCACACCTATCGCACTAAAATTACCTTAAAGTGCTGCACAGAAAAATAATGGGGGGGAAAACATCTCGAAAATAATAGTATCCAACACAACTGTAAAGCAATTCGTTAATATAAGAGGATTAATTCTCTTAGAAAATGTAAAACGTTTAAAAAAAATCTAACCTAATAAATCAGTTTTAAAAACAGAAACAGCAATGTCTAAAAGCACTGTAACAATTAGATGAAAAGAAATAAACACATAGCAGACAGTTGATAGTTGTGTAAAACAACTTGTAATAAAACGTAAAAGATAATACATTCTGTCAAGGTGCGAATGCTATAAACCACGATCTAATCTTATTTTAAAAACCGCAGGAGGATGCATTCCGCGTGATGTACTAACCACTCCACTGTGCTGATACGTGCACAAGATCCATTAGCAGAATTGTGTTTCAAAGACATGAATAATTCAATTCAATGCCCTCTATTCTATATCCGGAAAAGCCCAATCACAAATACATTTTCTAAAGGGTCCTGCATTCAGGTATTTGGCCAATTAGAGTGTTTTGTTTGTGAAAGCAGTACCTGGAGAAAACCCATACATACGGGGGGGGGGGATATAACACTTAATGGTGTGCACAGAAGAGTCATGAACCGTATCCTGGGCGTAAACGGGGCAATGCCTATATCACTTATTGCTGTCTTTAGAACTGCCTTTTGTGTTTAGTTTGTTGTCCTTCCCCCATACTTCCAATTAGCAGTTGGCTATGTACGGTGCAAAATAAGTTCAACATACATACACCATCACTGCTCCTGTTGTCTCAGTTATTGCTGGCACTCTGAAATTTCTGACATTCCTATCAATGCTGCCGGAGCTAATATTACTGCTGCTATACGATTGGTATCATTATTAAAGCTGCTGCTGCTGCAAACATGTCTGCTGCTAACTTTTTACTGACTGCTGTTGCCACTAACAGTGTTGCTATCACTAACACTACTGCGGATGCCACTTTCTGAGTTGCTTTAATCACTACCTCAGCTGCATTGGTCATTGGAACTGCTCCATCCTAGTAGAGCTGCTACTACTACTGCCATTGCCATTATCAACAACTACTCATTCTGTCAATCGCACACAGCTCCTAATTCTACTGTCAAGTGGCTTGGATGGCCGCACGTCACGAGTGTGGGTGAGTGGGCCCAGCGGCCTCCTCACCGGGGGCGGTGACGTGGGCAGCGCGGGCGACATCACCGCGTCGTCCGCGCTGCTTGACCCCTGGCCGTCTTGCACCAACGCTCCCTGAGGCAGTTGATCGATCGCCGGCAAGCAGCTCGTCTCCTCCACACCATCACTGCCGCCACCCTCCACTTCCTCCTTGCCTGGCCGGACAAACGACGACTGAGAAACGAGCTGCAAATGAGGCGGTCCCCACCAGACGGCTAAAGGAAAGTTCTCTCACTCCACATAGCTTGTCATTGCGGCGAATTAACCATGCTTGTGAAAAATTTGTAAAATATCTTCTTGAACACTGGATTCATTGTTAGCTGTTCGTAACTCATTGCAGGTCAGTAATTGAGTGCCCACATTACAGAAAACATGTTAACGAGTAAACACAAATAAGACAATTATATTTTTATAGAATTCTCCAACCTCATCCCAATGCCAAGTTGGTAGATAATACAAGTACATTTATACAGCCTTATCTACATATGCTTTGCTATACTTGTGCTTTTGTTTTTATCTGGGACACAACTCCCTATCAATCACCATGAATAATTAGCAGTTCTGTATTTAACAAGTATTCGGCGATGCTCATCTACATCGCCAGTCTAGGGGCAATGGGGTAAATTCCACATGTTTGGCAGAGACAAGTCTTTCTTTAAAACAAAGCACTCAATATCAGAACAATGAGCCAGCATTGGAAAATCTGGCAGGCACTCATCATTAAAACAGGAAGTCCACTAAGTTCAGTGGCCTCGGGTAAGTCATCAGTGACTACACAAATAGCATTTAGAATAAATTTGGAATTTAATTTACCTAATCCAAGCTCTGAAAAGTGAAAATTAACATACACACTGCATGACAGACATGTGGCAAACCACTCTTTGCTAAGCTTGAACAATGAGTGGTCTACTGATAAGAAACCAGAAGTAGTCTTAACGTATCATTTTCCAGGATATTCCTTTGCATTTTGAGGTTGTGCTGTGAGAATTCTCAGACATGTATTCCTTCATCAATTTGACTCTGCCTTGAAAATATTTATTTTTAGGCAGATCACTTGCAACCAGACCTCCGTAACACTCAACACACGCAACACTCCCCTGGCTGCCGCCATGCATTAAGGGACACCGATGTTCTCATTTGCATGCTGTACTTACCACCATCAGACCAATCCACGGGGTTTACTTCTTGGTCATCATTTTGACCCGTGACCTTCAGTGGTGGCGAAGCAATATGCAGGAAGATTGGAGCACCGTCATCCTGAAGATGATTGCACAATGCCATTAAGAAATGTTTTTATAGCTATACGTGTGTTGGGTAAAACCCAGAAAAATGTTGTTTGGTAAAGTTGAAAGAAAAGGTAACAGAGGTAGACAGAGAATAAGAGAGACAGATAGTACTGAAACTATTACTAGGACAGTAAAATAATGCTCTCAGAAACCCATGCAGAACAAAGGGAGAACATACAAACGCCACACAGAAAGGCACCCGAGTCAGAAATCGAGGTCAGGGGCCCTACTTGATGTGAGGCACAAATGTCAGAACATCTGTCACCCCATCATAGAGTAGCTTCATTATCGAGGTTACGATTACTCGGAAACGTGTAAAAGAATGAGGCAAGTCTGTCCCCGCGCACCTCTGCCGAGCGCCATTCATCATCTGTGCCAGCGAGCTCTGTGATCGATGCCCCCACGCTGCATTCCTGGATACGCTGGCGGAGGGCGACCGGGTCCTTTTCTCTCAGCTGCAGGGGATCACAGACGCAGAAAAATTGTGTCGTTTTTTCGACGTAATGCTCAGAATTCAGGATGAACTGGTTTGACACTCAAGTCTTTGGCATTTCTAGGGAACCCTAAAAATATCAAAAATGCCTCAGGCTCCAAAGCATCTCATATATGATAGGAAGCCCTGTGGCAGAGTTCTTGACTCAAATCCCACTTAGGGGTCAACTTGGCTCATTATTCCCTTGGGTCTAATAAAATGGCCATCACCATGTGGGAAGTGAAGAGTGGTTGTATTTAAGCTGTTGCCGACTCCTTCTTACAGGATGAGTCGTCTTTTTCATCATACCTCCCTCAGCTTCGCCAGGGCGGCCTGGGTCCGCAGTTGTCTCTCGGACAGCCCTGTTGCTGGGGCATAGTCTCCGGGAAGGACAGCCGGCAAATTGTTTTCACAGCGATCATCTGTGAATGAGGGCATCGCTGTTTGTGACAACCCCAAACCAGTTGACAATTTCTTGAAGACAAAATAACCTCAAGATATCTGCACTGCCATTGCTTGTCGAACTCCTTTCCATGATCCCAGCTCAGACATCTCTCTTGCTCCAGGCTCCAATGGTCAAGCCGGTCTTGGGCATCAGAGCTTTTTTATTACCAAGCACCCCCCAATTGGAACCGATTAGATTCTAATACATTGCTACATGCTTAAAAATTGATCCATTCTGCCATATAACTTATTTCTGTGCACATAATCCGACATTTTATGCTATTTTATAATGTTTAACCACCTATTATATTTGTCACTGTAAAATTATATTTCAATCTCTAAAATTATATATCACGCTATTGTGCAATATCAATGGATAATTAATGTCGCTGTCAAATGGAAAGGACCTCCTTGAACATTAAATGTGAATCTCAAGGGTTTATCCTGGTTGAATAAAACTGTTTTTTTTTTGCTACTCTGAACCTATCGGAATGTGAAACAAGTGCATGTTGGTGTAGGCTTTGATCTGGTTTAGGTTTACGACTGGCGAGACAAACCCAGGGTGTTAGGCTCCGGATTAAATTTAACATTTGGTTTTAGTTGGGTTCAAGTTAAGGGCCGCTGGTTAGTCCTTACACCAATCTGTATGGTTAGGCTACGGCTAAAATTATGGTTTATGCTGAGAGTTATAGTTATGCTATGCAATGATTTGTCATCTCATTGTTAAGGTCTGACTTGAATCATCCATAAGCCCAGAGCAGGTGAAGGAAATAGCCTAGTGTTAGACTTTAGCGTCACGGATAAGCTATAGTGTGCGTGTTAGACTCTATAATCTCTATTAGTCTGTAATGGGCTCATAGATAATGGTTAGGCTCTAATCTCTATTAGTTTCAGGGTTCGACTCTGTACTCAACCAGGAATTAAATTAGGATATAGAACCCTAACACACCGCCAGCTACAGTAGTTGCTGCAAAATATCTGGTGATTGGCTGTGGTTTAGCTTGTGCGGGGTAAACCACAGCAAGAGCCAGGGTGGATGGCACAGACCTGCAGAAGCGGCTAGTGGCGGGGTCTCGGTGGTCATCGCTTCCGGGAAGACGACCTTAGTGGAGTGCGCCACAAGCAGAACATCCACCTACGTCAACACACGACCTGCCACGTTACACCCTGCAACTGACATCGTCAGTCACCGTTAAAAACTGTTTCTAATTTACAAGGTAAAGCCCAATGAGCTACTGTAAAGAGCTTTTTTTCAGGGGTGACCTGGCCACAAATGATAGCTCAACGAAGTGGCTGATCATATGGAAATGTATAGCAGCCAAATACTCTTTAACGCATCCGGAGGACCCGGATAAATATCCACACGATCACAACATGCAATCTCTAAATATACAGGCATCAGGGTCGGGAGCGAACCCACGATCTCCTGTATACCAGACAAGGGAGATAAAATCTCGTCACCGCAGCGCCCCTCTTGTGCCACCCACCGACTGCTGACGAGAATTGGATTTTTCCCGTGATCTATGTCCTGCAACTATTTTATCGGGCTTTCAAGATGCAGTTGCATTTAGATGCTCGCTACTTAAAATTGTATTGTAAATCTGGTGAGAGTCAGAGTAAAAAAATTATACATGAACACTTTTTATATAGTAAACAAAACATTACATACATTGTTTTTTATTTGAGCAATAAGGAATTCACTTGCATGCAAAATTATTTTGATAAAGTACATACAACTGTTTGCTACAACTTACATTTCACAGATATACATGAGAAGAAATTTGCAAAAAAGTTAATTTTCACAAATGACATTCATTTTAATAGAAAAGGTTTTAGCAGTATTAAAATTAACTAAGAAAAGGTTGTTTTCCCCAAGAATACTGCCCAAAATTTGAAATCTAAAATTCAATTGTACAGAAATTACACTTGTAAAGACATAAAATGCATATAATTAGTTATAATAATTAGGACAGTTCAACAGGACGAGTCAAAATCATTCGCGAGCAAGCTGCCAGCCAGGAAGCTTCCACATGCGTCCGTGCACAGCACACAAAAAGCCTTCACAACACCTCACAAACACCCACATGAGCAGTCGCAGCAGCAGAGCTCCTGAACATGGTGGCCCGCACAGGCTGGGGCACTGAAGGCAGTGGTGGTGGTGGTAAAGACGTTGATGACAGCGATAGCGGTGTCTGAAGATGCCGGAATCAAGAGGGAGGGAGCAGACGCGTGTCAAATCGCTCAAGCAAAGAGCTCCAAATCCGGTGGCCAGACAGGGTGGAAATGACATCCACAAGCCACGTAGGCGATGAGGGTGGTAGAAGTGGCATGTCATTGGACAGTATTAAAATGCCACAGTGGTGAGATGTTAACTACCTCGCCTGGTATACATGAGGTTGTGGGTTCAATCTCGACTTTACCAACTGTATATTTGGAGTTTGCATGTTCAATTCAGCATCACAATTGGATACAATATTCAATATTTTTGACGTGTTTGTAGTCTTTTATTTGTATTGTCCGTCTCAGTCTTCATTCTTGTTCATTTTATTAGTCTAGAGCAGGGGTGGGGAACGTCCGGCCCGCGGGCCGTATGAGGCCAGCGAAATCATTTAGTCTGGCCCTGCCAAGGCAACCGCAGGCGGGACTCGAAATTAAATAAATCTAGAAGCAAACCTGGAAAAGCAGTTGCGAGTAGCAACATCATCAATACCAGCTAACATCACATGCCTCACCAAAGAGAAGCAGTTCCAGCCATCACATTAGGGGTGAGTTAATTAAATGTTTGACCAAATATAACAGGCAAATTTTTAAGTTGATAATTTTCTATGGCCCGCGAATGATGTCATAAATATCCAAATGGCCCTTGGCAGAAAAACACATTTGGATACACTTTGTACAATCATACATATATATTTATTATGCCCAATTTGATGCATGACCATAAGCATGAGTCAATTCTAATTGAAGAATATCCTGGAAAAGCCTGACAATCAACAAAAGCTAATTGTTAAAAAAATGTAGGTTTTGTTCAGGAAAGGTGGATTCCATGGATGGAATAAGTACATTTTAAGTGTAGTATGTGGCTGTCTGTGAAAAGATGATGAACTAAAAGTTGTATACGACCATCTCGTATTTAAATATAACTCGTGTAGGTTGTTTGAAATACATATATTTGTAGATCATGCTTTTTTATAGAAAATCTCTCATTTGAAGAATCCATGAAACTTCATCTACTAAGTGACATCATGACAGTCATATTCTCTTGGATACATGGCCATGGTACACATTACAAGAGCTGTTAGTTTTTTTTCCGGTTTCACCTCCCAGGAAAGCAGACCCTTTCATCCCACACCTCTTGGTGGGCGGTGGTGCCGACTGCCCTGTGTGGTTGTGTAGGTGGTGGCAGCAGTGGCCCTCCGGTTGTAGGCGGGGAGGCCGAATGGCCCTCCCACGACGAGATGCGCTGGGCGAGGGCGGCGGGACCCACGCGGCGCACGGGCGATGGGCGCACGTCAAGACGAGCGCGAGGGCCCCGTGTGGGGCTCACGGGGCCGGGCCAGTTCTCCGACGACTCTTCATCTGCACAGGGGAGAAAGCATTGAACACTAAATGTGAAGAGCGAAACAAAAAATCTGACAAGGTAAACGGGTTATGTGTCATAATGGGGTTAGTGTCTACTTTGCTAGTGTGGTTCGGGTTAGGTATAGTTTTTAGTGTGGTTGTGCTTAGAGTTAGTTATTGTGTTAATGTCTGTCTAACTCGTGCGGTTATGGTTAGGTATAGTGTCTGTTGTGGTTGAGGTTAGTGTTAGACCTATGGTATGGTTGGCTCGCGTGCTTAGGCTGTTAGTAGGACTATAGTCCGGTGGATTTCACAATCAATATGAGAATTTTCCTCAGTCTCAAATACAACCTCAGTGGCAATGAGATTGTAGTACTCATCTCAATTCGTAGGTTGCTTGAAGACAATTATTATGCCAGGGCAGTGAACGATATTGTAATCAATCATAGTCCCAACAAATAAAGAATGCAGAATTTCCATAATTGGTTTAGAGCCTCAAACCAGTGTCATCAATTACTCGTTTAAGTACTAGACGACTAGATTTCCTTACGTGAGGGTTAGAGTTATGGGTTAGTGCAGGGTGGGGAATGTCCGGCCTGCGGGGTGTATAAAGACCGCAAAATCATTTGGTCTGGCCCTGCCAAGGCAACTGCAGGCAGGACTCGAAATTCAATAAATCTCGGAGCAAACCTGGAAAAGCAGTGGCGAGTCGCAACATCATCAATGCCAGCTAACATCACATGCCTCACCAAAGAGAAGCAGTTCCAGTCATCAAATTAGGGGTGAGTTAATTAAATGTTTGACCAAATATAACAGGCAAATTTTTAAGTTGATCATTTTGTATGGCCCGCAAATGTTATAAATATACAAATGGTCCTTGGCAGAAAAAAGGTTCCCCACCCCTGGGTTAGAGTAACATGCTCAGCATTCAGCACTTTCTACATTCAAGGAAAAAAACCCGTTTAGATTACGTTTTTGAAGCACCCTCCTAAAGGAGTGTAACTCCAGTCCTCAAAATCCAAAGTAGCACAGCTTTCCGTGATTGCCAACCATCAGGCGCAAACAACGTGTAGTGGGTAAAGTTGCATATGAATGGTAAACATGAGTAAACATGGAAATACAGTCTGCGGGGATGTCGCAAGAACTGGAGTTTGAAAAACAGTATCTGAGTATTAAGTTATAATTTGAAACCGAGAAATTATCACTTTAATCATGACACAGTTTCAAAAAATCAGTTTAATTTTGGTGTATTTCTTTCAAAGATGGTGTGACTGCAGCCCCCCGTAAGGAGAGCTCCTCTGTGGTGATTGCTGGCATCCCTACCGTCTCCAATCTGTTGGGAGAGGTTGCGTAGCCGCGATCGCACCGACGCGATGGCAGGCGTGTCCGCCTTCACCAAACGCTCTACCCTGCGCGAATCCAGGCTCTGGCTCCTTGGGGCCGGGGAGCTCCCCCCTTCCAGTGTCGCGTCCCCCGCACACAGACGCTTGGAGGGCGATGGGATGCTGGCTCCGACTGATAACAGGGCATGAGGCGGGTAATTGTCAGGAAGCATTGGTCTCTTGTGGAGAAAGTTACAAGCAGTGGGCATGTCTGGTGATGACTCCAGGTTGGAGAGGAAGCAAACGCCGCCCTGGGTTTTCCTGACGCAGGTGACATGTGCAGGTGGATTAATTTAGTGACTAGACTGCACTGGCTTCATATGCGATTTCTTCACCAGAAAGGTACACGCAGCCCATGCTGCTTCCCATAAAACTGGTCTGTTGCAGCCCAGCACTGGTGCTTTATTATTATTATTATCTGAGGTTGTCTTTGCATTTCAACATCACATTAATACAAATGCTCACACAACCTGAGATTGGAAAACCAGAGGTGGCCTTTATTGCCTCAAGCTGCCACAGGTCAGAACAAAACTGTATAGAATCATGCAAATCTATTATCATTGATTGAGACAACTATTTTGATCCTACATTGAGAAATGTGTCCAATTCCATTGATGATTATCTTGCATCTAGGAGTGAATCAGATTATCCTAAGGAAAACTAACAGATATAAATTATAACACTCCAAATTTCACAGACGGATTCATGAACCCAATTACTGTACTGACATATCATCTCTAACTCACAGCCTAATGGGTTTGGAAGTCTCACTAGTCTTGGTGATCAACCAAACCCTTACCTCCCAAGGGCTGTGCATGACCACCCAAGGCTTGAAACGTTGAATAAACAGTGGTTAATACTGTGCTCTTATCTGACTATTCTCGCTATTTTTACACAAGCCTTTGTATTCAGCCAGGTGGTACTGTGGTCAGAGATATCAACAAGTGGAAGGCTAATTTTTTAAAATTCCAGTCAGGGTTAATAATAATACTAAAACAATGTAAAATCCAAAAAGGAAATGAATGCTTGATCACGGCTTGGGTTGATTCCACCTGTAATCTGTTTGCGGTAAAATATTTTTTATCAATTTGTAAAAGGTTAAAATGTGTTGTCCTATGGAAACACTGGCCGATCATAAGTGTTGAATTTCCAAAACTAGCTCAGGGCAACCAAGGGAGACGAGCACCGCTCATTGCTCATTTTAGCACACCTATATTTCACAACTGATGCCATGCCTTAGGCAGTGCCATCTCTGTAGAATCCTATCTTTTAAATGTAGACTTTACACAGCAGCATTGGAAAAACAATCTGGTGCCTTCTGAGCCGCGCGGAGCTGGCTCGGCAAGGCGCCGGTGCGCCTTCGTAGTACGGTGGAAAAGATGTACAAGCTGAATATAGAAGCCGATGTGCACGAGTCACTGCACTCGTATCAATGCAGTAATACTACTTATGTTGGCACATGGGTGCCGTGTGGGTACCTTGATTGCTCTTTCCGCGAGGGGGCTCCTGGGTCGTGAGGGGAGTCAGGGTACCGCCTCGCATGTTGGCATCGGTCAGAGGCTCACGCAGCCTCTTGCTGGGGCTTGGCCGCTCACTCATTTTCTGCTGTAGTAGCTCGCGGCGTGCGCGCGTGCGCTCCAGCAACTTCTGCAAACGCAAAGCAATGTTCACACCTCTGGAGAAACAGCATTTCAACGATAACCTTGGCAGCTAGTCTGTGGAGCAGTGTTTAATACAATCATTTAACTAACAAAAAATGATAACATTATGCATCGACTTGCTCATCTCTCATTGCCTTAAACATTATGTTCTCATTGACATCGCTCATGTACTTTTACATGCTTTTCTCATTAACTTTAACATGCTACTCTTTGTTACACATAAAATGACATTAACTTGCTAATTTTTTCATTAACTTTTACATGCTTCTCTCATTAAAACACATTCTCTCTCTCTCCCCCCGAGCCATTCTTATGCTAAGTTCATTAACTTTAACATACCACGCTATTTATTACACATAGACTGACATCGACTTGCTCCTCTCTCATTTAATTTAACATGATATTCTCATTAACTTCGCTCATTGACTTTGACGTGCTTTTCTCATCAACTTTAACATGCTATTCTTGGTTACACATAGACTGACATTAACTTGCTAATTTTTTAATTAACTTTTACATGCTTTTCTCATCCAAATACATATGCTAATCCTACATGCTAATCTGAGCTCTTATGCGCTACGGAAGCTCTTTAACTTTGCACTATAATCCAACATGCTAATCTAGGTTCATTTCCTTTACCATGCCACGCTATTTATTACCTTTACACTATAATACCCCAATAACACTACTTTGGCTACCTTTGTTCTCAAAAACTTCTATAAACTCTTGCTGGTAACAGCTTTTCTTCACAAGGCAGCAGACGTGCTGCTCACAGCAGACATCACGGCTGTCGCGATTTTCACCCGAAGACGATGGCTTGTGCTATCAAAACGTTGTGATTTATTTAGCTTTATTTCTACCTACGTGACTTTACCGAAAACAACCAAAGAGTATAGTTAATGTTTTATACAATATTTAGAACCTATTGGGAGAAATTCTCATTACGCACTATATCCGAGTGAAATAGGAGGCATGTTTCAAAGTATGAATGATGTGGAAACAAAACTAATCGAAACCCTCAGATTTGCAAGATTCTATATGAGTCCCACCATTGGGGTGTTTTGGCCAGTTATGGTTAATTCATGGAATATATTCAGAAAACATTTTATCCAGAGTGTACACAATAATTGATGGGGATAACACTTAAAATCCACAGATGGGTCAACATTATTACGTTTACTTGTGGGAGGAAATCGGTATTCCTGGATAAATTCAACAAATACAGTATAATACAGTACCCAGATGTCCTGATATCTCATGACCACACAGCCCAGCAGGCCGGGTGTTACACAGAGCACAGGAAGTGGTACCTTGTGTCCAATACAATGGATACAGCTATATGCTACTGCAAGCAGCAGCATTTGTACCGCACTGCATATAGCCTAATTGGAGTATAGAACTTTTCTAAAAAGTCATTGCGACCACCATTTCTAAACGCAATATTTTATTCTAAAAAAGACTGGCAGTTGCCAAACTAGAATTTGGTGCCAAACAGACCAACAATTAATGGAATCTGTCGTCGGTTTGTCTCAAATTCCAGGGTATGGGTCACGTGAGGGGGCGCGTCAAGTAAGCTGTGCCCCAGAGCGGAATGCCTCGTGTAATGGCCAACCAGCAGGAATCCTGTTCCAACAGCTTCGGCAACACAATTCTTTCTATTCCATTAATAATTTCACTATTAACAGGTGGAAAGTCCTTGCTTGTAAATGTGTTTTTTTGTTGCTGTGGTGGCATTTACTGCAAGGTCTTAATTGAAGATTTACCATAAACATGTACATTAAAGTTGACTACATTTCCATTAGGCTACAGGATAGTAAGAGGGAATACGAATGATTTTATTATTTCATGAAAATACTTATTTTAATCATGATGAAAATAGCACTGCAAGACAGACGCCTCCGCAGTGGGGAAACGCCGACCGGAGGTGAGAAAAAATGGTAAAAGTTGCTCTACAGACTACACGTTTCGGAGAGGGGCCAAACACAGGCATATCTGTCCTTCGTCAGGAGCTCAGACCCATCTGCATGCATGGCTAGAAGATAATATATACTTTATGTACATTGTAGAGTACTTTAACAGTATGGAAAGCAACAAAAATACTTTAAGATCCACAAAATAATGTTCCATAACTCGAAGTGGTGTTTGTAGATTACAAGTAACACGAACAAATTAATAATAACGGATTAAGTCAACAAGAGCGGTGTTTGTACTTGGTGGTTTTTCCAATGAAAGCATTCGGTTCTACCTCTGGAATGTGGAATTTCCACCACCGGAACGTGAAATCTCACAACTAGCTTGATACCACTCAAGAAGTTGCGCACTTCCCAATGCTTCTTTGAGCCCGAGGGCACTGATACACGTATGCTACAGCGAGGCTGATTTACGAACCGCAACTGCAGGTAATAATGTGCAGTTCAACGATGTAGAGAGGCCTCGGCAAGGTAATTAACCCTTTTAACCGGGTAAAGGTAAAGGGTAAATGTGTCGACATGCCAAGGGGTAAGGTAAAGGGTAGGGTAAAGGTAGCTCGGAAGAATTACCCGGTAGGGTAAAGAAAGCGCAAAGTATTATCGATAAATACAGTACCTAGTTTACCGCTAAAAGCTCCGTGGCGCAGTCCGTGGCCTCCATTTAATAAGTAATATTAAAACAAACTTGATTAAAAAACACGCTTTTATTAAATGTACTCGTAATGGCAGAACTCCACGACTCCATGAAATGGCCCCGAAGCTTGCCATAACGTAAAGGGACCATGGTGATTTACAGCCAACGTGAGTTGAGCGTGGACAATTAGACCCAAGCCGAAACATAACAAATACAAAATAATGTTTAAAAATATATATACATTTTTTATGATAGAATATATTGTCATCAGTATGACATAAGTATACCAAGTTTGCAGTCGATACCTCATTAGGAAGTGGGTTAAAATTTAGTTACAAGATTTGAGGATATGACGACAACAACGACAACAACAATGACAATAACAGAGTGAGTTAAAAGAAAGCGTGTAAAATTGGAATAATCGAGAGTATTCTATATGATTAAAGCGCTCTACCTACCGTTATAAACCTTGTTCATGTGTAGTAGTACCCCAGTAATTACCCTGTAATCGGGTAATTTGTATGGGGCAAGGGTAAAAGGTAGGGTAAAAGGTAGGCTCGTTGCTTTTTACCTTTAACCTTACCTGCTAAGCTAAAGGGTAAAATGTAGGGTAGAGTGATTGTATTGTGGTAAGGTAAAATGTATGGTAAAGGTAGGCTCGTTGTTTTTACCTTTTAACTTTTACCTTACCTTGCCGAGGCCTAGATGTAGAGGGAAAAGCAAGTGTACTTGTTAGTAAAATTGCAGTTTAACTGCCCAGTGTATGGTAGTGATATTTCTGTGACATTTGGTTATGCTGCTGTTGTAAATATCCAGATGCATTGTCCCTCAGGTGCTAAATATATATTGTATTGTTTGAAAAGATTTTGCTCATTTATTTAATATTGTTCAATTTACTTTTATAAATTAGTGCTCATCTTTGGTGCTTAAGCTGCGTTGCCATGCTGTCCTGTACGGGTTTGAAGTTATGTTAAGGGGAAACAGACATTAAAGTTATGGTTAAACATGTCTATGGTACATAAATGCAGTTGTGTGACTGCAGGGACTATGATTGACTGCATGCCCGTGACTTAACATACAGTATTTATTTTAAGGACTGTGCTGACTAGCAGCTGTTACAACTCTTAAGACTGCCCTCAGCTGACACGATATTAAACCTCAGGAAATTAAACGTCTAAGGCAGGGGTCGTCAACCTACGGCTCCGGAGCCGCATGCGGCTCTTTACGGGCTGCTTCTTGACGATATGTACGTATGTACAGTATGTACTCAGATGTATTGCGGCTCTTGAAATACTGAATTTTGTACCGAATTGGAAAGAAATGGCTCTTCTTGTTATTTTGGTTGCCGACCCCTGGTCTAAGGGGACAAATGAAAATGTATTTTTTTATGCACAGCCCATTATCAATCCACTCTTGGATGACAACCGCCATGGCGTTATCGGTCATGGGGGTTGTTTGACCATACTTCACCACGCTAGTCATTGCGGGTTGGTGAAGGTAGAGGCTCAGGCACGGTTCTGATATAAATCGCTACTGATGTGAGCCGCGGCCTGGAATAGGCTGGCACCGCTTAGCAATCATTATCTATAAACATATAAAATAGCATTTGCTATGAAGATTATAAGGATTTATATAGTGTCTGACGACCAACAACAACACGTGTGATGTCAACTTACGCGCGACAACCTTTACATGTGAATCCACTACGGTACTTTTATTTCAAACTGGCTTAGGGCCGCAAACTTCTAACCATACCGTGCAAGCAAAACTGAAAAATAAAGCAATCTTTAAATGTGCAGGACCTCACCTGTGTGAAGGGATCCATCGCGCCGAAGTTTTGTGGGAGGCGAGATGGTGTTGAGTAGACGGGGTTGAAGGTGGCTCCGAGTCAGCGATGAGCTTCAATCTCGGCGTCGCGTTCAGGGGCCGCGCCACGCAAGTCACGACGCGCGTTTGAACTATCGCGGAGAGCATCACGGGTAATAACGGGCGCTTTCGGTGACGTCATGTGCGGACACGACGGGAACCTCACTGCTTAATGACGTCATACGAATGTACGCGCGCCGAAGGTTTGTTGACGCTTCGCGACGACGTCGTGTGTAAACAATGATGGCGTTCGTCTCACACCGTAAGCTCCATTATATTTTTTTATAACGTGAACACACTACAGTACTATAAATTTCGAAATACGTCATCGCAATAATAATAAAAAAAATTCCTTTCGGACACGTCAGGCGCGAACATCGGGAACGTCATCTCGCAGGAAAGGGCCGGAAAAAATGACGCAATGATAATCTCAGCCTCGACACCAGATCGCCGTGCATGACGTCATCCTGTTTTTAAAGTGATGTCACACCACAACGTTGATCCCCGTTGCACGGTTTCATATTTCTCTAACAGTGCCATTGGGGGAAAGAGTCATTACCAAGAAGGCTGTGGGGGGGATGGGGGGTGCTTCATCCAGAAGTGGATTTATCATGGCTGATGATTCGCCTGGTATACAGGAGGTCGTGGCTTCGATCCCGACCCCTGATGCCTGTATATTTGGAGTTTGCATGTTTCTTTCCCCTTAGTCGCGTGAATTTTTCTCCGGGTCCTTCGATTTTCCCCTCCACATTTAGAATCAGAATCATGCGTTGAGAATATTTGGCTGCTTTAGAAAAAATGTCCACATGATAAGCCACTTCGTTGAGCTATCATTTCTGGCCAGGTCACTTCGAAAAAGAGCTATATAGCTCAGTGGGCCTTACAAGGGTAAAATAAAAATAAGTTGTTTAAGTTCCTCTCTGAAGGCAGTGTTTCGTATTTTAGCACATTATAATTGCTCACATTACTTTGGAATTATAAGCTCGTTTTTAATGCTATGCCCATGACTTAAATGTTATTGTGAGCCGTATTAAATCTTTAATAGGGAGCACTTGGAATGTTTCAAGAGTTAATCTGCAAATACAGCACATTTATAGTCTCAATACATGTTCAGCATGACTGCATTCAATTTTAATCTTAAACAATACGTTACTGTTGCACATTGCGGTATCCACTTCCCTATTTCATTGGAACATGTGGCATAGATTGGGTGAGCTACGTACGGTGCGAAAGTAGATCAACACACAACTGAAGGATTTTGACAATGCGTGAAAAAATGCATTGGAGAGCTAAGCCACAACTAGCTTCATCAGGCGACAGACAGATTTGTGGAGAAGTCTTATTGTTTCATTCCTTATATAGAGTAGATGTGGTGACCACGCTTCTGCGCTCTTGCAGTTAGACTTCTCCACAAATCTGGCTATCGCCTGATGAAGCTAGTTGTAATTACTGGCGAAACGTCGTACTCAGATTGTAAATGTTGTGGCTTGGCTCTCCAACACACAGGTGTGCTGTACTCGTGACGAATTGGCACTTTCTGTTTCCGTAATTGGCTGTCGGGTGATGGCGGGTTTTAACGGGCCGTTTATACTGGTAGGAACGAAGTGGACCAGACCACCAATAGATTAATGTGTCCGTCCGTCCGTGTATCAACATCGCCCCCTACTGCAAACACTTGGCATGACCCTGTCCGACAAGATGGCCGCCCGCTCCCCCTGCGATGTGAATTAAACAAGATGGCCGTCGCTTCCGGTGCATCACGGCAAAACTTTAAACTTCGCTTCAAAATTACTTTACTGAAACGCAGCGCGTTTTTAAAAAAAACTAGCTGTACTACCCGGCTTCGCCCGGGACTTGTATCCACCACGGCCGGCCGCCTTTGTCTCCCCAGTGGCGATGTTAATACGCCACAGCAGTTACTCGCTTGAGGCAGAGTCGACCTAGGGGAGGTTCAAACAATGGTCACCGGTGGTGGCCGTGAGCGGGAATCGAACTGGGTTCGCCGGGTTGGTAGCGCAGCGTAGCGTTAAGCACTACACCCACCGATCCTCACACACCACACACGCACAGACACAACAACAACAACCGCCATTCGCCACTAAGTGGCGGTGACGTCACCACGATGCTTGTGCCAGGCCAAGTGCACCTTGAGGCCACGTGAAGTGTCGAAAGCCCGCTGGCAGGAGGTCACGGGGCAGACCCAGGTGCCACTGGTCGACTGACCGAGATGACCGAGATGACTGGCTGATGCACCACCTGTGCCCCCTACTGTACCAACTTGCTGTGCTTTAGCCACCCGGCGCTCCGCTCGTTGTTGTGAGCGTCGCTCCTCCGCCCTCCGTTGTTGTTGGAGGGCGACTGCCTCCAACTGCCCAGTAGCGTCCTTCACGAGCCTCCTCCACTGAGGCCGATCTTGACACCGCTGGTACCAGTCATCGGCAAGTCCACTCAGCTCCACGTCCTCCTGTACCACATCACTCCATCTCTTCTCCAGCCCGTGCCGCGCCCGTCTAGCCCCCTCGATCCGGCCGAACAAAAGCTGTTTAGGCATGCGGTGGCTGGGCATGCGGGCTACATGACCCAGCCAACGCAGCCTTGCCTGCCGGAGGAGCTCACTGATGGGACTTTGCCCAGATCTTTCAAGGATTTGTGAGCTCCTCACACAATCCAGCCTGGTTAAACCCAGGATGGATCGTAGGCACAGACACACACACAGACACACACACAGACACACACACACAGACACACACACACAGACACAGGCAGCACGCTAAGCACTACACTACCGTTCCCCCTACACAACACACGCGCGCGCGTCCATAGGTACACATACACGCGCTTGCTGCAGACACACACGACTGTCAGGGTGCGTACGGCAGTAAACGACTGAAATAATAAAGCGGCAATGCTGCGCAAGGAACGCCTTAGACCTGCAACACATTTGTGTAATGCGAGCGTAAACACACAAACACATACAAACACATACACAATACACACACACATACATGCAGACACACAGACAGACACATAACACACATACATACACACACATACATACACAGAAACACATACACACACATACATAGACACACACATACATACACACAAACACATGAACACGCATACATACACACATACATACAGACACACAGACATACACATAAACACATACACACATAGATATGACCTGGCTTCGCCCGGGACTTGGATCCACGATGCCCGGCCGCCTTTGTCTCCCCAGTGACGATGTTCACACACGACAGCAGTTACGCGTTTGAGGCTGAGTCGACCTAGGGGAGGCCCAGGTCCGTTTCAAATAATCGTCAGCGGTGGTGGGCGTGAGTTGGAATCGAACTGGGGGCGCTCAACCAGCTTAATGACTATTTGTACAAAGAACATATAAAGAATCGATTATAATAAGCAGGCAACAGTCCACATTATAGACTGCCAGTACACGCACTCAGCTTCATAAGCAGGCTAGAGTGTACATGATAGACTGGCAGTAAGCTGACCCAGCTTAATGACTATTTGTACAGTGAACATTTAAGTAATCGATTGTTGGCGCGTTGGGTTTAAAAGTAATATTAATTGCACACATTGTGGTGGGGGTGGAGTGAAGAGTACGAAAAACTTTGATGAATTTACCTCAGAGTGGTGTGGTGGGTGTCGAGGCCTAGTAGCGTGCAGAGCCTGCGGCCTCGCCAAAATTGGGCACCCGGCAGAGGCAGGGTACGGGTGCCGTTCCTTCCCCCCCCTCAGCGCTCCAACAATACTGTGTAATGGCTATTATTTAATTAATTACGGAGCCTATGAAAGTGGCGAAGGCGTGGCTAGCCGTTGGCAGGGGCAACCGCCGTCCAATGAAAGTGCAGCCCTTGGCGAAGGCGTCGCTAGCCGTTGCCAGGTCCAATGAAAGCGGCGAAGGCGTCGCTAGCCGTTGGCAGGGGCAACCGGCGTCCAATGAAAGTGTGTATGGTCCGGAGACACACAGACACACAGACAGACAGACAGATTCACGATTTTATATATATAGATTACTTTACTGAAACGCAGCACGTTTTTTAACACAGAGACAAGAAACATTTATTAACACAGAGACGACATACATTTAATCGCCTTATTTGTGCACGAAAAGCACGGCGCGAGGCCTAGTGCGGCAGGCTTCGCGAGGCCTAGTGCGGCAGGCTTATTAACACAGAGATGAAACACAGCACGTTTATTAAAAAAAAATTACTTTACTGAAACGCAGCACGTTTTTTTAACACAGAGACAAGAAACATTTATTAACACAGAGACGAGATACATTTAATCGCCTTATTTGTGCACAAAAAGCACGGCGCGAGGCCTAGTGCGGCAGGCTTCGTGAGGCCTAGTGCCGCAGGCTTATTGACACAGAGATGAAACGCAGCACGTTTATTAAAAAAAAATTACTTTACTGAAACGCAGCACGTTTTTTTAGCACAGAGACAAGAAACATTTATTAACACAGAGACGAGATACATTTAATCGCCTTATTTGTGCACGAAAAGCACGGCGTGAGGCCTAATGCGGCAGGCTTCGCGAGGCCTAGTGCGGCAGGCTTTTTAACACAGAGATGAAACGCAGCACGTTTATTTAAAAAAAATACTTTCCTGAAACGCAGCACGTTTTTTTAACACAGAGACAACAAACATTTATTAACACAGAGACGAGATACATTTAATCGCCTTATTTGTGCACGAAAAGCACGGCGCGAGGCCTAGTGCGGCAGGCTTCGCGAGGCCTAGTGCGGCAGGCTTTTTAACAGAGAGATGAAACGCAGCACGTTTATTTAAAAAAAAATACTTTCCTGAAACGCAGCACGTTTTTTTAACACAGAGACAAGAAACATTTATTAACACAGAGACGAGATACATTTAATCGCCTTATTTGTGCATGAAAAGCACGGCGCGAGGCCTAGTGCGGCAGGCTTTGCAAGGCCTAGTGCGGCAGGCTTCGCGAGGCCTAGTGCAGAAGGTGGTGGTGGGGGCTGGTGGTGGGGGCTGGTGGTGGGGGCTGGTGGTGGGGGCTGGTGGTGGGGGCTGGTGGGGGCTGGTGGTGGGGGGTGGTGGTGGGGGGTGGTGGTGGGGGCTGGTGGTGGGGGGTGGTGGTGAGGGCTGGTGGTGGGGGGTGGTGGTGAGGGCTGGTGGTGGGGGGTGGTGGT